CAACACTGGTCTAACACGAGTCTGCAGACCTACACACACACACACACACTTTCTCACACCAATATATACACACACACATACACGCACATGCATATACTGTACATACACAACACAAACACACATATAGGCAGGTCAAGATTATAGTAAAGCACAGTTCATACACTAGGTAACTCAAACGGCTTAACAAAACTAATAAATAAACACACGCTCACACTCTCTCTCATACACAGTCACACACACGTACACAACACATATAGGCAAGTCAAGATTATTTTGCTCAGTTCATAGTTACGCAAGGCCACTCAAAGTGACTAACAAAACTAATAGATAATAAACACACACACACAAACCTTGAACACAAACTCTAACCTCTCACACACACACACACACACACACACACACACACACACACACACACACACTCTAACCTCGCACACACAGTGATAAAGCTGCAGACCACAGAACACACCTGGATGTGGTTAGGCAGGAGGAAGCCCAGGCCATCAGTATTAGCAGTCTGTCAGTGTCCATCACGGCTCCAAACACCAACCCAACCCTGGACACGCCGTATTTATTTAATATGCGCATGAAAAACGATATTAACATGTCGTAATAGTATACTGCGGTTTACGTACGGGGGGCACGTAGGCTGCGTCCGCTGAGTGATGCCTATTTTATCACAGGCCGGGGACATCGGGCGCATTGGTCACACTAACACACACTAACACACACTCGCCGAGGAGGAAAAGTTTTGTTTTTACAGCGGAGAATAAATGGCTCGAATGACACAGCTCTGGTCTGCACATTATCAACACAGGCCATAAGTCACCATTACGGCTCATTCCCAAACAGCGGAGCCCCCACCCCCACCCTCACCCTCACCCTCAGCCTCCCCTCCCCCATCCCAGCGACCTTCCCTTCCACTGTGCGCGACCCCTGGTTATTTATACCCAGACTGCAGAACAATACTTTCATTAAAACGGCATTTAAACCCAGTATATTCTCAAAACTGGGAATTCAGAGGGAGCAAACATGTGCGCTGGGTTTTAGTGACCTTGTTATCTGTATTTATGGACATTTATCAATATTTATGGACATTTATGGACATTGGTCATCTGCCCCTTGTAGACCAATGGCTCTATGTGTTTTTAGGCCCGAGCCCCAACTGGAGTAAGGGCCTATTGCTCTCCAAACGAAAGTTACTCGTTGTAACTGTCAAAAGTCACAATCTATAGTGCCCAGTGAAATGAATGGGGTCCTATGGAGGGGGTGGGTGACCTCATGATGACCTGCTCTTCAATCGACTGAGAACCCAATGGCTGTGCTCGTTCGCTTTAAAACGGTGTATCATTTGTAATATAGGTTACTATGGAAACCTATATTGTTTTTGCTCTGCGATTTTATTGGGGAAAAAAAATCTTCTGCTCTTTGAACCTTAATTTCACCCCTGAACATGCATGAAACGTGCCAAATGTTGCCTAAAGTTCAGAACCAACGACCAGAACCAAAACATATTATTTTTTGAAGTTTATTTTAATGGGACTAAAAAAATGCCAGAAAAGCGCCCGCTACAAAAGTCAGTTTACATTGCGCTTTTGGGAGAGGGTCCGAGATCAAGTCTGTCGTAGAGCTACAAAATTTGGTACCTCAACATCCCCTCATTTACAAAAAGCTTAATTGGAAAATGGAAAAATGACAATTGATCATTTTCACACATGCCTCAAAATCGCTCCACATCGTCTAAACACATGTCCCATCAATAGTTGATCAAAGAATTTTGCTCAGTTAAACGTTGTTTGAGCTGCAGAGCGGCAAAATTTGACAATAGCAACTTTGCTCCCGTTCGGCTCCACCAAAACAACATCAACTTCCTCCAAACAGGTGAAAACATGTGTGCTGCTTTTCAGTCGTGTTTAATGTTTAGTGCGCATTTAATATGAACATTAATGTGACTTTCTCCCAGTGTCTCCCAGTCATGGATCTATAATAATAACTGGATAGGGTATTACTAGCTTATAGCTGTCCCACCCTTGGGCACAGGGGGCGCCCGTGGTACTGCAGACTAAATTCACAAGAGCTACCCAGAAAAAAGTCCCATAGAACTCAATGTAAATTAAAACAGCATGACCTCAGCTGACAGAGAGCCTATACGGCTTTCATACAGATCGGATTTTGTGGAGATTTTAGTGTCCATCCTGAACTTTTTTTCTTCTTAAATCCTTCTGTTTTCTTTAAATCCACACTTTACTGCCACAAACTCTGCTCGTTTCCTTCCCGCTCTGGCTCCGCTCTTTCGCTGCTCTGATAAACAGCTCTGATTGGTCAGAGCACGGCCGAGCCCCTCTGTGCGCGTGCATGAAAGCCATGAAGTCCCATGAGCTACTGAGCACAAGCCATTCATTTGAATAGGGCGCCATCTTGGATCACCGGGGCTTGGGGCGGGTCCCGGCCCAAAAGTGGCCAAATTAACGTGCGCTGACATGCTTGCAATACCACCCCGGGCCGATGGGGGTGGACCCGGAATAAGAATTAGCCAATGCTAACATATAGCATTTTCTTACCTCTCAAAAACTTCTTTGCAGGATGGTCCAAAAGTTGGCTCTTGGCCCAAAGCTCCGTTCCACATGTGTGTCAATGCTGAGGGGGGTGAATTTTTTCGGACCACTCTAGTTTAGATGATGTAAATTTTTGAAGTCACTCGTTTAAATGAATGGGGCTCGTGCCGGCTGACACATGCGCAGACGCGTTTTTGAAAGCCCAATTTTTGGCCCATTAGTTAGAACGGCGGAGATAGGCGTGACTACGTCTGTTAATATTTACAGTCTATGCTTTCTCCCACAAGAATAACAGTAAGTGGCTAAACTGGCCACTCCACAGTTCTCAGTCTGACTAGTGCCCAAGCTAATAACCTGTCTCTGTATGTTGTTCTCGTCATGATAGGATGCTGCTAAACCTACCTGTATTTTCCATGAGATATTATTATTGATAATATGTATATAGGAAACTTAGAATAAATTAGACGAGCTTAGACTGACTTGTAGATAGTATATGTAGATAAGTTTTATATGTCTAATGTTGCTGTCTACTAGGGCTGAACCTACTAATACAAACAACATAGTCTTATGAACAAATATACTTTCATATTAGTCACGTGGTCACTGCTATAACATAGACAAGGACACGCTTGAAAATCACTTCAACGACATTTATGGACATTGGTCTCTGCGTCTTATGGACCAATGGCTGTAGGTGTTTTTAATTGCATGTCTTGTCTTAGAGCGGTTTGATTTTCTGATATGGACTCTGGAGAATTCTCAATTAACATGGATAATATTTGTACAATAAGTTGAATGTAGAATTAAAGCCAAAAGAATTAGAGTGAGGGCTTCTTCAAAGGAAAGTATAAGTCAGTTTTATGGCGATGCAAGCCCGGCACAGTAATTAAGCATGATTTAACCCTGCTCAAACTTATGTAACACCTGCTTAATATAATTAAGTTAGGGATTTCAGACTAGGTTCTAGAGGAGTAGGAAGGAGAAAGAAAGAACAGCCGGCAGATTTATTACAATTTAACAATTGCACTTAAATCAAAATAAATAATAACACGTAGCGCTCCTTAGAAAAAATAAAATAAAAGCAGTCTGATTGTCTCTAGTCCCGATATACAGGAAAGTTCAGTGTGGAAGTGGTCTTTCGCAACTTGTTGTCCGTTGGGATATGAATTTGTTGTTCTTATCTGGTATCCAAAGGATTTGAAGTGTCGGGTCTTTATCCAGAAACCAGAACAGCGGGCCACACTGTTCCAGAGTCTAGAAGTGAGTTCACTGGGTCTGGCTTGCCATCAACTTCAGTGTTCAACTCCAAGATCCGTTTCCCCGCAAGATGGCAACCAATTAAATTATTAAAATACAGAATAATGACAGAAAAAGAAAGATACACCACTGTTCCGAAATTCATGTTTTTATCTTCATTTTGGTCGTTAAACACAATTTTAGTTTGGCATTTCAGAGGGTGAGGTACTTTTGTGGACATGATTCAGAATTGGACCAGGAAAGATTAGATCAAATGAAATACTAATACAAAACTCTGAGCTAACTATCTCTATGAGCTGAGCTAAATAAACTGTCCCTCCTTGTTTTACACTAAACTCATACTCACTGACACACAATACTATGTAAACACGTTGATATAAAACCGTTCAGGGTCAAATATAATAATTTCATAGATTTTGAAACATGGATGAAACAAAAAAGAAGTGTGTTCTTGTATCGGCGTTTGATCTTTAGGGATAGGGAACACTGCATTAGCACTTAATTAGCTGTTATTAGTAAAGGCTCATCTAATCTACTGTATTTCCATGTGGTTTGTGTCTATATTAAATAGTCTATTCTTTCCAGAGACGCAAATAACTTGGATGTTTTTTTTTTTTTTTGCAGGTGGCAGTAACGGTGACGAGTGGAAACTACTGATTTGACTTTTTGCTGTTGTCTGTGTCACTTCCTGCTCAGCTGTGTGTCAGAGAGGAGAGTCCTGGTTTGATTCACACTAAGACTTTTAACACAAATTTAGCAAAAACGAAAGAAACCAGACACTAATCGTTTCATGTATCGTAATGTATTGTAATTTGAGCACATTCTGACCGCCTTAAAACAAAATTTAAATGGCTTTGTCCCGTTGGCAAATCTTGTTTTACGATATTCAGTCATGTATTCAATTTTGGATTCAAAAAAACACTTGATTCAAGCATCTATAACCTCATATTTTATCATTTTTTTGCAGTGTGGCAGCTTTAAAATGAGGTATGACACGTCTGTATTGGTTCACATTAATAATCAGAGGTTGTGTAGCTTCGAACGTTCGCAGATTCCACCCCACAGTCCATAATCTGATTGAACCCAGCCTTAAACACTGCATTAATCTCCCATTATTGCATTCCACTGGTCAGCATCGAACCAGCGCATTACGACTTCACCTCGAGGACCATAAATCTGAGAAAAGCTCTAAAGTGAAAGGGCAGTCGGCACGCCCTGGCGGTGAACCAACTCTCGTCTCCCTGGAGGGGGCTGAACCTCCACTGGGGCCGCATTCAGAAGGCACCGAGGCCTCAGCCAATATACTGGGTGCTGCTGACGAGGACCAGAGCTGGAGGAGACTGGAGAGAGAGAGAGACGAAGGAGGCTAAGAGAGGAGACTGGAGGTGCCTGGAGGAGGCTGGGGGAGAGTGAAGTAGAATGGAGAGAGACTGGGGGAGAATAGAGGAGACGGAGGAGAGAGGAGCAGACTGAAGAGAGGTAGAGACTGGACAGAGAGGAGGAGAATGGAGCAAGAGGTAGAGAGAGGAAGAGACTGAACAGCAAGGAGGAGACTGGAGAGAGAGGAAGAGAGTGGACAGAGGTGGTGACTGGGGAGAGAGGAAGAGAGTGAACATAGGAGACTGGAGAGAGGGTAGACAGAGAAGGGGAGATTGGGGAGAGAGGAGACTGGAGAGTGAGGAGGTGACCGGAGAGAGGAGACTGGAGAGAGACACTGGGGGAGAGAGGAGGAGATTGGACAGAGAGGAGATTGGAGTGAGACTGGAGAGAGAGGAGGAGATTGGAGTGAGGCCGGAGGAGACTGGAGAGAGAGAGAGGAGGAGATTGGAGAGAGAGGGGGAGATTGGGGGGAGATTGGAGGGAGAGGAGGAGATTGGAGTGAGGCCGGAGGAGACTGGAGGGAGAGAGAGGAGGAGATTGGAGGGAGAGAGAGGAGGCGGCTGGAGGGAGATTGACACTGCTCAGAGAGTGAAAGCAGAAGCACTTGTCAGACAGATTCATGCAGCATCAGACAGATTTATGCTGGAAATGGGGAATAGTACAAAACGATTGAACAAAACCACTTGGCTCATGGAGACTTACAGTTGGACCGGTTCAATAGTGCCGACAGTAAAACGTAAAACAGTTGCGCAATAAAAATGTGTTTTTGTTTTATATAGTGCTTCTTTGGATCAAAAACTGTATATTATAGGAGAGGACAGAGAGCTGACATCACAAAACTGTCGGCCTTAATCCGGAAGAGTCCGATTTGAACACTATATTTTTGAGTCGCCCTGACCCATGGCCTCTTTGGGACAATGACAATCTATAGGATCTAACAGTCCCAGGGCCGGTCAAATTAGAAAAAGTCATCAAATAATTGTCAATAAATGGAACTCACTTGTCAGCATGCTTTGCCAAATATGGTCAATACATGTGTGTGTGTGCATGTAACATGCCGAGACAAGTTTTTATAGCTCTGATAATCCTATGATTGCCCAATGAAACGAAACTGTTGGTTTACAAAACATGTTCTTATTAAAGCTTTTTTCCGCATACATTTTCTGCCAACTTCCCATTATCTTAGGTAACAAACAATGGGCATTTGGCTTCATTCATTTTACCATCTAGCTAACCCTTAGCTTAGCATACTCCAGATGCATTTTCTTTTCTTTGTCACAACAGGCAAAGCGGGTGGCAAACATTAAAGTGGGATTTTCTGTTCAGCCTTTTAATGTTTTAGAAAATCTGATAACTCAGGTGCACTCGCGAGAAAGGGGAAGAGGGTGACTATAGGCATCTGGTCAATTCCATTACTATTTGAAAACACATGATAACTTGACTACTTTTATTGTTTAGGGACATTTTCCCACATTATTTAAATGCGTCTGGAAAAAAAAAAAAACACTGACTGCATCTTTAAACTGAATTTCAGATTTGGATTCAGATTTGATTTATTATGATAATCCGAGACAAAAAAAAGACAGAGGAACGACAATACCATTACTTTTATTGTAGATATATTGGGCTACAATTACAAAAAGGAAAAAAGGAAAAATAACACAAAAAAAAAGGTAATTGTGATCCATAAGGTGCAGACCGCTGCAGCTCGGTACAGTATGAGGAGGCGTCACTCTGCCCATTTCCTCCTGTGACGTCACTTCATTTTGATCCATTCTTTTTTTTGCTGGTGTTGTAGCTGCTCGGCAACTCAAGCAATTCTCACGCAGATACCGTCCAGGTTAGACCCTAAAACCAGTCCATATGAGTTCAACACCGTTAGCCCAGTATGAGGAAAAAGCCACTCTTCGTTCACCGGCACCGACTTACATTTAAAGCTGGGGCTCTCAACATTTGCATTTTATTCTTTTCTCTATAAATAATACACGTTTGTCCCATTATAAATAGTATTGTAAAAGTGACCACAACAGTCGGACCACATCTTTTGCATATGTGTAAGAAAGATAGAAACTCTTATGAGAGCGAGGAACTAGTTTAAAGATGGAGCTACATTCTTTTGTGGTCTCCAAGTTGAGCACCCCAGCTTTAAAGAAACACTTTAGACGAGTTTGAGTTATGTGTTAAAATCTGGCATAAAACTGTTTATTGGTTAAATACAACCAGAACCTATATCACTGCAGAAAGTGAGGAAAAACAAGATTTGTCGACGGGACAAAGAAAAATGATCTTGTTTTAAAAATATACACAAACTATCTCCCTTGGAATGAGAAAATAAAGCAAAAGTTCTTTAAATAAGTCTAAATGGCTGTGTCCCATTGACAAATCTTGTTTTAAGAGTGTCAATGTACTCAGATAAACATAAAAACTATTTGATTCAAGCATTTATTACCTCATAATTGCTTCATTTTTAGCAGTGTAAAAGACTATTGTCATTTTCGGTGAAGGTTTGGCCACTTGTCTCAACGTATTTTTAACAACGTTTTTGTTAAGTTTGGCTCAACACTGTAGCTGGTGTTCATTTAGAAAGAAATCTCAATTCTTCCAGGAACTCGAATTTTGTTACTGCGTGTGCTGTGAATGTGAATCTATAAATAAAATCCATTTCTAACTTTGCTTTTCCTTTCCACAGATCTGACCTGAAAGTATCAAAAAATGCATTTCATTAACGTTACTTAAACTTAGTATTGAACACTTATTAGAGAAAGCATCAATACAAATATTTCATAGCAGAACAAAATTGGGCTTTTCCTGAAAAGCTTTAGAACAATTTCGATCTGAATCAGCTTATAGGGAAATATTGTGGTACCATTAAAACTATTTACAAATAATATACAATACAAATATTAGTAAACTGCAATGAATGTTTACAAAAGAGCATTTTTCTATCTTCAGCATAGTATAGAAATTGTTACACTGCAAAACATGGTAAAATACGGGGGTAGTAAATTCTTGAATCAGGTTTTTTTTTATCTTAATTCGAGTACATTACATACATTGAGTAAGTTCTGACTGCCTTAAAACAAGATTTGCCAACGGGACAAAGTCATTTAATATTTTTTCAAGAACTGTTTCTTTATTTTCTCATTCCAAGGGAGGCATTTCTTGTATATTTTAAAAATACATCATTTTTCTTGTCCCATTGGCAAATCTCGTCTTAGTGGAATCGAAATCTGCTCAAATTAAGATTTATGAGAACTTTGACATATTTTTCATCGCTTTTTGCAGTGTAGAGTTAAATCTCATTGAAATAGTTTGAAATATTTGTATTATAGAAGTTGTGTATGTATAGATCCCTCCAGTGAAACATGCCAATGCCAAACAGGTACATTTCTAATCTTTGTTTAAATTGTGCCAGTGCCAGAACAGTGGATTTTTCCTCACGAGACTCCAACAATCGGAAAAACACGAGGAAGCCCTGTGTCGTACAAAAACATGAGTAAGGCATTTTGCATGTTCGTACGCTTTCCCACAGCCCTCTGTATCTGTCAATCGGTAAATACCAGCAAACGACACGGCATCTTTCATACTATTTACAACCCTTTCCCCTCAAACTGTCCGCTCCCTTTCACACTCTTGACATGAGGTAACATATGGCGCCCAAGTGCAATGCTCAATTGTGCTACATGTACAAAAAAAGAAAAGAAAAAATTTGCCTGAAAAGTGGCTCATTGTAATGAGTACTTTTTGCCCAAAAAAAAAAAAAAAAAAAAAAAAACACAATTACCAAGAAATGCACCAGTTTGGGTAATCCATGTCTATTTAAAAATCAGACATGAGATTATAGTAATAGGGTGTGGCACCGTATTCTCAATTTCACATTCGTCAAGGTCAGTAATCCCTCCCTCTATGTTGTAACGCAATTTATATTTAGACTTTGGCTGCATCTGAATTCATGAAAACCTCCTTACGTTAATTTCCATTAACGGCAATACGTTTTAAATACATTTCTTTTTGAGAATATATTCAAACGTATCAATAGCACAAACACGTCCCTCCACTCCTTCAGTCTAAATACTCAAATCTCAAACTTCTGCTACAACGGATGCAAAAACTAGAACATCAAGACCAGTTTTGTGACTGTTTTAGGGAATCTTTCCAGTCGACTCACGTTCTTTGCAACGGCGTACCTTCAAGTTTACCATAAATAAAATAAATAAAAAAATAAAGAAGCTGTAATTTCCAACTACCACCACCAGATGGAGGTGTTTGGCAACTTTAGACCATCTGTGTATAGTACATGTTGTTCTATAAAGATTTTTATGATCTTTCATATTTCACATTTTAAAACGACACAAAAGCAAATATGTTAAAGTTCATGTTCTGGACCAGAAAGACTTTTGGGACATTTTTTAGACTTTTTAAACAACTGCTCCGTCCCAAAAAAGGTAATTTGTAAAGATTTTGTTTTGAAGAATTCAGATGCAGTCACAGTGGTGCAATTATATCTGTGGCCTTAAGGTGGCGACACCGAGCTTGAGAACTATCGACCGGCTGTTTGTGTTTGAGGGCAGTGACAGGAGATCTGGAAATGCTCCGGTGAATTCACATAGTCTTATTTTTCACATGATTTAAAAAAAAAAAGGGTTCACCAAACTAACAAGTAGAAACAAAACGCTTTTGGCAAACGGTAAGAAACCAGAGCAGAGACAAGAGAACATGCAACAGCTGAACGGAAGTCTGCGTCTATTACAACCAAATCTCATCTCATCAGAGTCATTTCTTTTTCTAATTTTATTATACGTCTTGTATAATAAAATTTCTTTTATATCGACCTTGAGTCTGGAATAAATATGTGGCATTACTATTATTTTCATCTCACGCAGGCTTACAAATCTAAAAATGTTAAAACTTACATAACACATATTATGAGGGTATTAGTTGTTTTGGACGACTCTTGAATGAGAATTACCCTTGAACTACTACCTCCACAACCTGGAGCCTGTTAAAAAGCACAAGAAAATTTAAATTTTGAACTTCATAACACCTGCGTTTTCATTTTGAATGTGTTGTATCAAAATACATGATATAAAACACAATTATAATGAATATTATGCCTATATCCATAACGACATATATTAAATAGGTTTCTATGAATGTGCCTGTAATAATAGCTCATGGGTAACCTTCACAGAATGGATTGCTTACCTAACCCTAACCCACAGACAATATATTACTATAGATGGAGCAGGGATTCCAACCTCTGGCACTGCCACAGCCGTCACATGAGGTAGAGGCACCTTTGGGTGGGATTACTTGACCAGGCAGACACATTTTTACATGTTTTCAAATACAAAAAAATACAAAAAACTGTAGCTTAAAATTTCAGAGTGCAATGCGATTAACCTATACAAGTTTTAATTTGATCAAAACATTTAGCTCACTGTGAACAAGCTTTCTCGATTTGTCCAAATTATATAAAAACAGGCCTGACATGCAGGATACAAGGGGTGGGACAGTACGAGTGAGAGCTAGCCGAGCATGGTTGTAGCCAGGGTAAATCCACGTGAAACACAACTTTTTGCCCCAGTCTCTGATGTAGACTAAATATTCCGGCCTTCACAATGTTCAGCTTTTATTGCTCTATGTCAGGAGTGGCAAACTAGCTCCAGAAAGAGCAGTAGTGTTTCATTTAAAGGACTCCACACATTTCCTTTTCCAAGACTTCAGGTTAAGACTTGAGGAAATGGGTGGAGTCTGGTGTGCTCCTGCTTGGTTGGAATAAAAACCTTGAGAACCGGACAGACCCCCTTGCGCTATGTGATCCTGACATTATTATTTCATCATCAACTTGATTAAGTCAAGCTATGAACAAAACAAAAAAACAGTAAAATGATGTCCCCGTTTGAGTTTGCCACCCATCGCTATGCTAGCAATAGCTTTAATAGCAAGTAAGAAGGCCCGTCTCTTGCGTTGATTTGGCGTTGAGACTGTTATGGAGGCTGCAAAATTATACTAGGTCTCCGCTAGCCATGTCGGGCTTCATCTAGGGGCAAGTGAGTGCGACGTTAGCACCAACTAGGTCCAGTCCTGGCTACGGTCTGGGTTTTCGCTCCCACAGCCCAAATTAAGTCTCACAGTATGGGTATCGTCGCATTTTTCTATCACTATAGTCCCATTCCTACAGGGCACACATTTGCCATATCCCCCAAAAGCGCATATAAAATCAACCTCAGGTACGAGAGGAGAGGGGCGAGAGGAGGAGAGGGGCGAGAGGAGGAGAGGGGGAGGGAGGGGATGATGGACGCAGCACTTCACTGCAGCTTCGATGGCTGACAATCAGGACAACCCAAAGAGATTCCAAATAAAACAGAATCAAAAAATAAGAGGTATTATAGTTACAGTGCAAAAAGTTGAGAAGTTCAAGCTTAATAACAAAAAACATAGCACCAAACAAAACAAAAAGTAGACAGAAAATGCATGCAGTTAACTGAGGTATTTTAGTGACAAGGGCTTTTGCTAAAGAGAAAAAAAAGCAAAACAAAAACAAAAACTGAAGCACACAAACAGATTTCTCGAGTCCTCTTGTGTCGCGTTCGGAAGCTTTGGTAGAAGTGGGATTCAAAGTAGAACTAGTGCGATTGAAATGATCGGTGAACAAGCAAAAACAGTTTCCAATTGAGTAGAAAAAGTCTGCGGCGTCAATTTTTTGTGTGAAGAGTTTTTTGCCTGCGACACGTTCGTCCTTCTGTTTATTATCAAAAGTGGAAAGACACAAAACGACAATGGCCTCCGCGGTCGTCAAGAGTATCAAAACACGAGAGACCAAAAATCACCGATATATAATGCCAGAAGGTCTCGCGTTTTCACACACTCGATATAGACTTTTCAACATTTATATTAGAGGCCATCCAGTTTTCTTTTTTTTTAAAATCTTTTTACATTATAGCTACAAGAACATGCAAGTGCGGTTTAAAAAAAAAAAGAAAAGAAAAAAAAGAAAAAATGAAATTACAGTAACTGGGAATGTTGCTAATTCCTGTTTAGGATTATCGTTCGGTTTCTTTTAAAATAGATTTATATACTTTGCTACGAATATGATTTTGGTGTCAAACGTGACCACGCAATTGTCTAAATAACAGATCCTTGAATGGAATAAGTGCAAAATGACTTTAGGAAACTTAGGAACGTTTCCAAAGAGAGGAGGTGCCACTCGGCGTTGCGTTTGCTCCAGTGGTCGAGTTGGCAGGTTCAAAAAAACGGACTGGCACTAGTGCACAGACTGAGGAGTTTAGCGTTTGTTTTTAATTACATTTTTTTATATACTTTTTCCTACTTTGATTGAAGTATTTACAATCTAATACGACACAAAAAGCTATGACAAAACCAATGACATCTCACACAAACGTTGCGGAATAGACGTTAGCGAATAGACCTGACCTTATACTTTCAATTTTTTTCCCCCCATCACTTTTGCTCAACGTTAATAAAGCACTCGTGTGATTAACGAAGAAACGGAAAGAAAAAAAGATTGTGTCTGCGCAAATGAAAACTGAATAATCCGATGATCCTGGAAATCTGAGTTCCGCCTTGGGACTCTTGGGTCTCTGGTTGCCTCGGTTGCCGCGGTATAAGGTTGACAGTGCATGTGTTAGCTTCGGTGCTAATGCTAATGCAGTGAGCTCTGCGAGGCTCAGCTGCTCTGGACCTGAGGTTGATTGGCTTTGAGACTGCGCAGCGCCCGGCGAGCGGCGGCAGACTTGGCGATGCGGTAGCTGCGGCCGACGCCCTTGAACTTGCCCTTCCCCACGACCTCCACCGTCACGCGCACCTTGCCGTCGTAGGTCCTCTCTGCGGGGCTAAGGAGGGGAAAGAAATGGTCACTGTCAGTTATCATCAAGTGTTTATGTAAATTAATATAGATTTTTATTCAAGCCTGCTTTATTCTATTCTCTACTTTGTTGTTACTCACATGGCAATAAAAAAATTCTTAATCTTAAGTGTTTAATATAGAGACTTTAAATTAACAACTTATCTCCTTGAATGCTTTTATGTACAGATTGAGAGACATCCTCATACATATGTACAGTAACTGTTTTTATAATCTAATCCTGTATAATTATGAGTAACTTTGGCTGCCTCTTTGTCAAGGACTCCCTTGAAAAAAAAATCTTAATTTCAATGGGACTTTCCTGGATCCTTGGATCAAAATTAGCCGCCACAGAGATTAAAAGTACCAGAACATTACCCTCAAATAGGGTCTAAAAGGGTGTAGAATTTCAGAGGACTGGTCAAGTTAGGGAAAATTATAAAAAACAGCTGAAAATATATTTTTAAAGGTTTTTTTTTTTTTGTTTTGCGATTAAACAATTTGACCCAAAGGATAGCACAAAGGTTAAATGTAGCTGTCAGAATAGACAGCTAGATGAGAGAAATGGTCCAGATGACTTAACAAGAACATGAAATGTACACAAGAAACAGAAAGAGCAGGAGTTATGCTTTAATAATAATTTTAAAAAACAGTAAATGGCCTCAGTCCTTGTTTTACAGCCTGAATAATTGAATTGAATTAAACAAATCAGAAATCTGGGAACAGGGACAACATCCTGATGTTCCTGTGGCACCTGATCAAAGTGTGAGAGACACTGAAGCTGGCATGTCCAAACTCCGGCCCGTGGGCCAATTGTAGCCCTCTGACATTTTATGTGGCCCTTCTGCTGCTATCACAAAGTCGTAGTTGGGGCACTTTGACAGTGTCAAACCAACTTCAGCTCCACCAATACAGTCACATTCCAAATAAAATGCAGCTGTGGTGTGAATCAATAAGGATTTATCAAACCCATTTAAAATTTCATAATCCAGTCAATCCAGCTTTCAGTTTTTTTAAAAGGCCCCAGGTCAAGTCTGATGAACTAAAGTGGCCCCCTCATAAAAAAGTTTGGACACCCCTGCTAAAGTAATGCTCGGTTAAAGACTTTTCCTAGTTTTGCTTTAAAAACAAAAAGTGAAATGTGATACCTGAACTTGGCAGTTTCTGGCTCCATCTCGAGCAGCTCTCTCACGGGAGAGCGTGGCACATTGGCAGAGAATTTTTCTGTAAATAAACAAATCACAGTATTCAGTATTTTGTATTTCTGCCCAAACCATTCGATCAAACATTTGCTCATGTTTTCGTTCAGACGCTGCTTCAATTCATCAGACTGTGCCTCACCTATAAGTGGCCTCATCATTGGATAATACACCTGCCACACGGTCTCCAGGGACATGCCGCTGTCCATGTAAACTGCCCCAGCCAGAGACTCAAAGATGTCCCCCATGGCTTTGGGGACCTCAATGTCCTCTTCCTTCTCCTCGTCCTCCTCAGAACGCCGCAGCTGAACACAAACAAAAAAACTTTAGGAAAGAGCGAAACAGGGCATTTCTGAGTGGAACTTTCATGTTCCCGCATGTCTGTGTAGGTTTCCTTATTTTAATGATGATTAAAGCCTAGATATTGGTGCTAATTTTAAGATTTTGTGATAAGTAAAAATCACTTACCCCACTGGCAGATAATTCCATTTATTCCTACTTCTTTTTCAGTATTCTAGTATTTTATGAACGTGTGTTCTTCATGATTGGCTGTCGTAATTATATAGACTTCAACTGTATTACGAAAGGTTAGAGACCCCTGTGCTAAGGACACAGACACAGTCGCAGCCGGTCTTAACCTTGAGCTTTATAATGTTCATGACGTTTATAATGACATTACTTAACATCTCGTCTCACTTGATTGTGTGTCAGGCGTTTCAGAACACATGGATTTCTGCTGCAGAGATCAATCCTTCACGATAGTTTCCATTTTACGTAGCATCTGTAATCGTGTTGAAAGCTCTGAAAAGGTCCAGATCACTAAAGCATATTTCCTCTTTCCCTTTTTTCTCTGCGGTCGTGTAGTCTGTCCTGAAGGCAGAGCTGAGTGAGAAGAGGGAGAGAGCCAACTCAGACGTTTCCAGCCAAATTAAACCCAACTGGACTTTCTCTTCAGTTGTGAAATCATGTGAATATGAACCAGATTCATGGAAGACGACAGCCCCGTTACACAGACAGGTCACTACTCAATCTGGAATTTCTTTTAAAAGGGAAAAGATGAGGTTACTTGACCTACTATCCAGACTTTGTTGATAAGGATGATTACTTATTGTGACCCTCGTGCAGAGAATACCTTATTCTCTGTACTCAAGCAGCAGTTTATTGGGGATTGGGGCAGACTAAAAAAAAAAATTTTAGTTGTGTTCCTTGTACCCAGCCTTTTGGTCAAAAATGATTGATACAAGGTTTGAATATTGACGATAAACATTTAAAATAAGTTCTATTGTATCTATCTTTTGTAAACAATGTTAAGTGAAGCTGAGGTTACTCATGTTCAAATCACAGGAGATATATCATGAAACCCTCAACACCCATTTCTTTGTTTTACAATGAAAATAGGATAAAACTCATCATTGAGGCCCAATCAGTTACAATACGTCTATATAGTAACACTTATTTCCTAATGAAGACAGAATGTCCCAATCTGGTTTGTTCACAACTTTTAACTTTTACAAGACTTTTTGTTGAACAAACAACTTTTTTTTTTCTGAATATGAAGTTAGGTACCCCAGCTCAAATGTTAACAAAGTGAAATACTGTTTCTTTACAATGATCAACAGCAGGGGTGGGCAAATGGTCCTCAAAGGGCCCCCCCATTTCCCCAGGTGAGTGCAGTTTGAATCTGAAGATTTGAGGAATTGTTGGAGTCTGGTTTGCTCTTTGAGGACCAGTTTGCCCCCTGATCTACGTCCTGTGAGTGCAGAGAGAGAGTCACCTCAGAGTCCATCCCCTGCATCTCGTTCTTCTCCAGCTGGAACTGCACAAAATCGTCGATGACGTGGAACAGCTCTGGGGAGATGGCCTTGAAGTACTTGTGGTAGTCGTACTTGACGGCCAGCGAGGCAAAGATGGTGTTGTTGACCAGGGCCGAGCGCAGGTCGGTGAGAACACCGGGAGAGTGCTGCCGCGGGTCTTCATAAAGGTGCTTAGTGATGAGGTAGTCTAAGATGGCATCGCCCAGGAACTCCAGCCGCTGGTAACAATCTGAGGGATGACAGAGAGATGCAGGAAAGTCTCATAACTTTGTTTTGAAAATGTGTAACTTTTTGAGACATGTTAGTGCCATATGGACCAACTCAGACTCTTGAGGAGAACAGGGACTGGCCTCCTGCTGGTGCCCAGAGTCAGAACTAAACATGAGGAAGCAGCATTTCAGAATTATGCAGCCAAAATCTGGAAGTCTTGTTGAATGTTGAAATACAGATTAAAACAGTTCTGTTTAGCTGTGCTTACAACTGTAGGATTGTATCTTCACAATTTATAATGCATTGTGATTATTCATGATTTAAAAGGCTTGTGCGAATGTTTTTATCTCGTTTTGTTCAGCACTTTGAGTTCCCTTGTGTATGAGCTGTGCTCTACAAATAAACTTGCCTTGCCTCTGCAACTTCGATTGCATTTGTTTGAAAATCATACATATACATAGTGTTATCAAAATTAAGTATTTTTCATAATTACTTTTTTTTAAAACCCACCCACTGGCATAACCAGTAAGATTATCTGGAGGAGAATAGTTCGACAAATGTATGTCGTCTTGTGAGGAGGCGGTGGGGGCGGGGTCTAACTGGCGCATGCATTCCAAAAATTTTATATGAAAATACATTGTGCTGATTATTCAAGTTTGTTTGTTCAACATTTATAAACATTTATTTATATACAATGCAAAGTGCAGCAGACATAAGTGACAGCTACAATAGTATGTTATTATGTAGTTGCTGCCTCAGTAACATGAAAATGTCATTTCAATTTAAGATGAACATAAAGTCGGCTTCCCTTCCCAGAAAGAATTGTACAAACATATTCTAAGCATGATGCTCTTGCCCCACATCTGACCCATTGAGAGAATTTAATACATAAGACTTTCACAGCATTATAAGGCTGGAATGGGACAGTGTGTATGTATTAAAGCGACTGCCCTTTATTTTACTTACTAATAATTAATTGAAAATTGGAGAATAATTAATCACGATTAAAATGTATTGTCTTTTTAAAATTGTGATAAAATAAATAGTATATTTATCATCCAATGCATAAATTATACAGCAAACAATTATACAGGCATGTCATCCACTTAGGTGTCCAGAGCCTTGTTTTCATGTATTGTAAATGGATCTGGCAGTTTCTCCTCCGCTCCCTGTTCCTTACTGATGAGAATGGTCTAAGCACAGTGGGAATGGACATTAAATGGACATTTATGGACATTGGTCATCAGTCCCTTGAGGACCAATGTGTTTCTTATCATTGCATTTCCTGTGTATGAACTGTGATTCTCTGATCTGTGTCAGTGAGTGGAATCGTCTTGAGCTCCACATGCGCTACTCAAACCTGTGATTGTGTTGTAATGGTAGGAGGCGTGGGTGAAGGCCTGCAGGAGATAAGCCTTGTTCTGAAACGTGTAGTTGATTTTCGCCTCAAAGTTCTCAAAGCCGGAGATTAGGTGGTGCAGGGTGCGCTGGGCGTGTGGGTGCTCCAGCAGGGAGCGGGGGGGAATCTTGAGCCACCCGTAGCCCAGGTCCAGAGCTGGGAGCTGGGGGAGCGAGGAAGTGGAGGCGGGCCGGCTCTCCAGAAGGTTCCTCTCCACCGGAAGCACCTGACGACGATAGAACACATGTAGCATTTCTATTCAAGTCATTTCACATTTCAATTTAACCTTTCTAGAAGATTAAGATAAGAGTTCGTTTATTCGTCCCACAGTGGGGAAATTTCAATATAAGATTAATAAGATTATAACTCATTATTCATTCACTCCATATACGGTGGTGATAAACAACTACTGTAGCCACAGCTGCCCCTGGGGCACACAGACAGAAAGCATGGTAACCAGTGTGGGTGAAGTGTCTTGCCCAGGAACACAGCAACAGTTTGGCACTTTACAGCCGCAGCCGCCCCACTGTGGCACCTGGTGTTTCCAGAGGTCTGCTTCAGAGGTCTGACAGAATCTGGCTTTTATTTTTTTATTTGCTTAATTGTTTTAATTATGTAGCTAATATCCATCTGTAGTCCCACAGAACATGTTTAGTTAGGGGAGACCAGAGCATCTGAAGGAAACCTATGCCGACACAAGGAGAACATGCTAACTCTGGATGTAGAATCAAACCAGGACCTTCTTGCAGTGTTACCGAGGAGTAAATTAGTTGAGAATTTTCTTTACTCATAAAATGTGTTGATGTTATGCCTTGAGTGATACGAGTACAGTTTAAACCTGACACATAATGCAGGTCTTCCCACTGTGGGACGAACAAAGGATCTTTTCATCTTAAAGAAGCTATACCCGATTTTTTTTCTAAGTAGTTCATAAAAATGCTTTTTACTACATACAAGTTGTATCATAATACATAATTTAATTGAAAACTTGAGGTCATTGATTCCACTATGTATGAAATTCAGGCAGTGAAAAGTGCTGAGTAGAGTCTGAGCGGGCCGTTTGTTCTCCTCCGCTCACAGAACGAGCAGCGAACAGCCTGCGTCCTCTAGCCCCTACAGCGCTGCTCAACACCAGGGCTTCGACTTCAAAATTCGAATATAATTCTAAAATAAAAAATATATACATATTTGAACAAATATTAGACAACCCTTATAATTAGAAATGTATTTAATGACTGCAAATAAAATAGTTAGCTCCCAAAGGTTTCACCGGGACGTGCTAGGCAGGTAACAGCTAAGCTAGCTAGCTGTTTCATGGTAACTTCCGGGTTTTTCGCGATCGCTTTTTGTCACTTTAAAACAGTATTTTTGTCATGAAAACGTTGACAGCAAATTCTGAAATCGTCCGTGCATGTGTGTTAAGGATGTATCTGTATACTGTATTGTCCGATTGACGTTTAATTGTGTTGATTGATTGATATGTATTTGTTTATTGAGCGTGGCTAGCTCCGCTAGCTTCTCTACACAGACAAGTGTGTAGAAAAACTGCACAGTGTAGTGACAGGCGCTGATAGCTTGTTGTACTTGCAAAGTAATGGCAGTATTTTACACACCTGAATTACAAACAGATTGCATTGGGGCTGCGGTCATTATTGGTTTGAGAGTTCTGTTATCAAGAAAAAATGATCGGAAGAATTGCATTCAAGTCAATGGAGTGTTCTACTGCTGTGAGGAGCTGTATAATAAATTATAATTAAATATTAGAATATATTCTAATGTTTAAATTAATACATCCGGACGCGAAACATATTCTTTTACTTATATATTGTGTTAGCAGTGCATTGCTTTAGTGCCATTTCATCAGTGATTGTTGCACAGCTTACAAGTTACGCTAATGCTAATGTTAGAATACGTATCAGATCGCAAATAAAACTAGGTGGCTCTGTGTTATGAGAGCGTAGGGGAAATGAGAAGCCTGTGAGCGAGCTGGGGGGCGGTGCTAAACATTCAAACATTGTAGAAACGGGTATAGCGCCTTTAATCATAACACAATGTTTGGAGATTGTTTGACTCTTCATCAGAGGATACACCATCTCTGCTGCTGTATTAACATTGTTAGCTACTGAATAATGTATCTATTTGTTTTGTTTGTTTGGATTAGGGTTTTGACTTTTGCACAAAAATCATATTCAAAGTTTGTTTGTTTATTAATTTAAATATTCAAATATATTCGAATGTGTCACTACTTCTCTCTGTGCAGGGAAGCTATCGGAGCTAGCAATGCTCAATAACACAAATATCAATCAGTCAACACATTTAAATGGGAGAATACATTATGCATACACATTCTTAACACACGTGCAGAGGTTTTCAGAATGATCTGTAAACGTTTTCATGACAAAAATTGTGTTTTAATGTGACCAAAAACGGTCGCGAAAAACCCGGAAGTAACTATTAACATTAGTGGAACATTTTAGGCCACATTTGAAGAGGATCTGATTATGGATTTAGGTTTGGTATATAAATGGGTCACTCACCGCTGATGTTCAGAATTCTTTGTTCTAGTTCTAGTTAGTTAGCTAGCGTAGCTGTTACTAGCATAGCTATTACTAGCCTAGCCACGTCACGGTGCAACCTTTGGGAACTAACCATTTTATTTATATATATATATATATATATATATATATATATATATATATATATATATAAAAATAAATAAATAAAAGATAATGACCATTAAAGCTTAGAACATTAAGGGCTTTCTAATATTCGTTCAAACACATATATATTTTTTTATATTCGATTTATATTTGAAATTTTGAACTTTGAAGTCAAAGCCCTAGTTTGGATGGATGCGTTTCTGCTGCTACTGGACACCTGTTATTCTCCTATGTGGGATCAATAAAGTATCAATCCATCTATCCATCTTGTGTCTATATTTAGCCACATGTCAGATTGGCCTCTCACCTTGAGGCCCAGGGAGCACAGGAACATCTGGGCGGCCCTCTCTCCGCAGCTGGTGAGGTAGCAGCCAAGCAGTGCCTCCACACAGTCTGCGATGCTCTTGTCCGCAATGCACTGCTCCGTGTGCAGGTCGTAGGAGATAGACTGCTTCCCCAGCTCCGCGCCGCAGTTCTCCTCTGACGGGTTCCAGAAGCCCACCACAAAGTCGTCCTCCTCCCCTGCCTTGCTGGGGTCCAGGTAGCACATGGCGTCCCAGGAGCTGTAGTCGAACTCCTCGGTGTGGGCCGGCTCTGCATAGTGCGCCGAGGCGTGGGGAGGGGGCTTCTTGGGGGCCTTCCACTCGTACGGGGAGTCGGGACCGGGACCGGGACCAGGGGGCGGCGTGGGGGTGAAGGTGTTCAGGGAGATCTTTTTGCCAAAGGCTCCGGAGCCCAGAAGCATGTTGTCAATAAACCTGGTGAAAACAGGAGGCAGTGTTATTTAACTTTCTTACTAGATCAGGGGTTAAAGCAAAAAAAAAGATTTGACTGATAATATTCTCATGGAAATTTATCACATGTAAATCACAGTCATATGCAGGACCAAGTTATATTTTTTATTACAATAAATAATTGTATAACAGATATTGTATACAGATCAAATGAATTCTTAAAAAATATACTGGTGTATTTTGATGTGAAATTACAACAAGTGGATCAAGCAACTAGTCAACTTTTTGACAGAATATAAGTGAGAGTAGTTTCATCCGCAACATTGGCTTTACTTGAGGCGAGATGGAGCGTCAACACTTTGGTTCTATCCTCGTCAAAATATCGCAAAAGGACATTCAACATTCTGTCCACATTTGTTTGTGGACTCGTAAATGTTTAAGAAAAAGGTTTCCCTATAGTGCACTCTGATCAACCGCAAATGATTTAATTAAATCTACCAGCGGTAGTGATTTTCTGAATGACGTTATTTTCTGCGATAAAGCCACAGACTCTTAGGCTAATAGATTCATGCTCTTAGGTCACAGACACGGTCCGCCAAGCCTAGTCTCAGTTGTCGCTGATGCTCCAGGTAAAGATGAAGTGTGGGAAAGTGCACAGCTGCCTTGTGCGCAGTTTCAAGCTGGTGGCGAATCAAAACTGTTTTCTCATTACTCCCTTACACAATTTTTTATGTCGAAGTACGCACAAGCACCGGCCACCTTCATCTTTTTGCACCATGACCGCAACGGAATCCCATCGTCTCCACCTCATCCAGCCATGCCCACCTCCATTTATTTTTCACTCCGTGGTCAATTGGAACTTGTGCTCCTTCTTCCATAAACAATGAATCCATGATTGAGATTGTGCGTACATGCTAGGCTAGCGTGGATAAATGGATATAAGACGCGCTAACACACTAGAGCACACCTTTCTTCAGCGAGTTTCTTCCGTTCGCTCTCGTTGATTGGCTCTTTTATATCACGCAGAGTTTTGCATGCGGATCGCAAACAAGACATTATCAAAAGCTCACCAAGACATGTTTGTCCCCATTCCCAGTCCCAGGAAAGTACTTATTTTACATTCCGTTAAATAAAAAAGCATTGCGTTTGATAAACGTTAATTAATTATGTCCTACCTTTCCTCTGGTAACGCGCCTAGCTTACCGGTCCGCGGGGCAGCTGGCTGTTATTGCTCCGATCGCGATTAAATTTTCCTTCTCCTCTTCTCCTTTTCAAAAGCTCCGTGCACTTTCCAGAAACTTTCATCTCCGTGTTAAATTGCTTCATCTTCATTTGCGCGTGAGGTCAGCTATGTCCCATTGCCTTAATTAATTTGCGGAGCGCTCATGTAGCTAGCCATGGCACGTTCAAGGCCCACTCGTGATTTGTTTCTTTTTATTTCTATAATCATATAAATACAATTATATTCAAATTATTATTATATATGTATAGATATATATAACAGATACACACATATATGTATTACTGTATATTATGTTTATAATCAACCATTTAACTGTTTTTATTATTATATATATATATATATATATATTATTATTTTTTTTCAGAGCAAATTCATTTGACGGAAATCCGTCACCTAGACGGAACTCTTTAATCCCTGTACTAGATCGATAGTCACATAGTTTATTGATCCTCCAACGGGGATCAATAAATCATTCAAAAAAAATCAATAAAATGTCGAAACAGTAAAAAACAAGTTAAAAAGTACGACATAAATAATCTGATTTGGTATTGCCAATTGAAATGATGGTGAAACATTTTACTTTGTCATTTCATGTTTTAGAGCATGAAATCATATCTTCAGTAGAAAATATGGGTGAAACAAGTAACAAGGGCTTCCCTGAGGTTTCTCACTTTTATTACACTGGGTTTTTAGTCGTCAGTGATGATCCAGGACATTGATGGACATTAATTATCATTTATGGACAAATGGCTCTATGTATTTGTCATTGAATTTCCTGTATTCTTTAATCCGTCTTGGAGATAGTACGGCAGTTGTATCTACGGTGTAAGACATGTTTGATGGAATCACCGGATGTGCTCCTTGTAGTACTCCAGCTCGTCCTCCATGTTCACATCGTCTTTTGGCTCGTCTTTCAACAGCAGCTCCTCCTCCTCCTCCTCTTCCTCTTCCTCCTCCTCCTCCTCACACTCATCATCGTCGAAGTCCGTCCCTGGCTGACCGTTAGACAGAACCTCCTCTTTGAGCTGAGAATGACAAAATATGCAAAACATTAATGTACAATGTATAGGAAAATAAAAAGCCTTGTCCTTTCTGTTCAAATGAGAGTTGTGCACAAGTTTGAAAAAAATCAATTGTTAGTATAATCATATATGTAATAAATTATTATTAATTTATACATTGCACAATATATATTTGGAGGAATAGATACTGCTGTCACAAAAGAAAACACAAAGTACAGCTTGCCCAGTAGCTTCTCCTCTCCCATAGTAGCACAAAGACGCTTACAATCTTTCCGCAGCTTGACGTTGTGATGGATGCAGTCTCTCAGTTTGCCTATTCAGCTAATCATGTAATTGTGTTAAATATGTTTTTCTTGGGTTAAAGGCATATTATATCAATTTTGTGAAATAGAAACATTACATCAATTTTCCCTTCTTTTTACAACAGAAGAGTCTCAGGTTTCTAATCAAAACATAAGCAGCGGCAGACACAAGGTATTGGCTGCCCTCTGGTGGTCACACCAGGGATTACACACCTCATCTGAGTCCAGTTTGTCAGTGCTGCTCTTGTCCTGGTTGACCACATAACCAGGAGGCAGCCAGTTCACAGGAGGGTCAAAGATGGACACCACCATGCGACTCGGCAGACCTTTCTTCTTCCCCAGGCGGTACAGGTTACAGTTGCTCACCTAAATGTGACGAAAACATATGTAAACATATTTGTCGTAGTAAACAAGCACACAAGTGAATATCACGGGACCTTCTTGCTGCGCATGTAGCTGAGGCGTCCCTCGTGGGCGTCTGGGTAGGTGCAGAACAGATATGTAGTGATGGCGTGCTTCAGGAAAGAGTCTCCGAGCATCTCCAGCCGCTCCAGGTTGAAGCCGTCGCTGGCGTTGGACAGGGTGAGGGCCTGCAGGATAAGCCCCGGGTTTGGCCCCAGGCTTTTGGGAGAGTCTCCTGCCGGAGCAGGACAAGGTGCTGTGGGTGCGCTGGGGGCCGCAGCTGCCCGGGGGCAGAGTGAGGTAGTTTTCTCTGGAGAATCTGAGGGCCTCTGTGTACAATCATCTTCAGGCTGAGGACAGGAGCTCGGAGCGGGCTGCACAGGAGCTGAGGTAGTGACTTGTATTGATTCAGGGCTCTCCTGCTCAGGGGAGCGTTGGCAATTGTCATAATGGTGAAGGTGCTCTTCTCGGGGGCCGTTGTCACAGGTGACGGTGGCAGTGCCGTTTGTTAGGTTCCTTGTGCAGGGTTCGTCAGGGTCAGAGTCAGTGTTTTCACTGATTCTGTGATTACAGTGATCTTCATCGTCCCCATCACATGACTCCGAACAAGAAATATAAGTCTTGCTGTCAATGGATTTTTTCCAGCCGAAGTCCAGGTTTGGATATCTGCCAGAGACACACAAAAAACTGTCAAATCTCCACAGATGGTTCCTCATACAGTGCCTTGCGAAAGTATTCGGCGGCCTTGAACCTTTCAACATTTCGCCATATTTCAGGCTTCAAACATAAAGATATACAATTTAAATTTTTTGTCATGATTCAACAACAAGTGGGACACAATCGTGAAGTGGAATGAAATTTATTGGATAATTTAAACTTTTTTAACAAATAAAAAACTGAAAAGTGGGGCGTGCAATATTATTCGGCCCCTTTACTTTCAGTGCAGCAAACTCAGTCCAGAAGTTCAGTGAGGATCTTTGAATGATCCAATGTTGTCCTAAATGACTGATGATGATAAATAGAATGCACCTGTGTGTAATCAAGTCTCCGTATAAATGCACCTGCTCTTTGATAGTCTCAGGGTTCTGTTTAAAGCGCAGAGAGAACCATGAAGACAAAGGAACACACCAGGCAGGTCCGAGATACTGTTGTGGAGAAGTTTAAAGCCGGATTTGGATACAAAAAGATTTCCCAAGCTTTAAACATCTCAAGGAGCACTGTGCAAGCAGTTATATTGAAATGGAAGGAGTATCAGACCACTGCAAATCTACCAAGGCCCGGCCGTCCCTCCAAACTTTCATCTCAAACAAGGAGAAGACTGATCAGAGATGTAGCCAAGAGGCCCATGATCACTCTGGATGAACTGCAGATAACTACAGCTGAGGTGGGGATGGTGTGTTCAGGATGATGAGCTGTGTTGCTTTTACACCAAACATATCGTTTTGCATTGTGGCCAAAAAGTTTGATTTTGGTTTCATCTGACCAGAGCACCTTCTTCCACATGTTTGGTGTGTCTCCCAGGTGGCTTGTGGCAAACTTTAAGAGACTTTTATTGGCTATCTTTGAGAAATGGCCACTCTTCCATAAAGGCCAGATTTGTGCAGTGCACGACTGATTGTTGTCCTATGGACAGACTCTTATACGGAGACTTGATTACACACAGGTGTATTCTATTTATCATCATCAGTCATTTAGGACAACATTGGATCATTCAAAGATCCTCACTGAACTTCTGGAGTGAGTTTTCTGCACTGAAAGTAAAGGGGCCAAATAATATTGCACGCCCCACTTTTCAGTTTATTTTTTTAAAAGTTTAAATTATCCAATAAATGTTGTTCCACTTCACGATTGTGTCCCACTTGTTGTTGATTCATGACAAAAAAATTAAAATTTTATATCTTTATGTTTGAAGACTGAAATGTGGCAAAATGTTGAAAGGTTCAAGGGGGCCGAATACTTTCGCAAGGCACTGTATGTTGTTGATCAAACTTTATCAAAACAAAGCTTGTTAGAATGGGTTCCCGGAGCATAGTTCCACTTTTCTTTCTACCTTTACAAACATCTTACACTTAAATATAATGAAAATGTTCTGGTGAAGTATGATATTACGTTAAGGACAAAACCAGCAGAGCGTGTACCTGAAATCCGGAGGCAGGGTCTGGGAGCCCACTCCAGCTTCAGTGGCTGTTTGAGAGCGCAGCTCCTCTGCAATGAGGAGACAGTGGAGGCGGTACAGAATACTGGGCAGACACACAGCCTTCCTCCACAGCGACGCAGGGATGGGGTGGATGGCACACAGCTCAGGGACCAAAATCTGCAAAAGGGGCATTTCTTAATGCAAGTACTTCCGGACACAGACACTTACACATTTATAATGGCTGCGGCTCATTTCTGCATTTAAATCTCAATATTAAAATCATAATGTAAAGAAACAAATTGGTGCGTTTCTGCATTAGGTCTCATTGGCCTTTTACCTGAGTTGCATGTGGAAGTATGGCAACAAAGACATGGCTTCGACCACTAATTTTAGTTAGTGATCAAAGTCAGTAAAGGCAGTTGACATGTAGCAGTAGCCAGAAAATGAATTCATGCAACAATCAACGTAGACACAAGTTGAGTGACTGAATGTCAAGGGAAACAAAATAAAAAGGTCAAATGGATGGATTAGGTTTTGCAATTTATGATTTTATTTCCATTCATAGTATGTTTTGTCTGGTGGTCACCTATCTATCTGAAGCTGTGAAAAGTCCATCTTTGTTAGGTCTCTTTGTTAGCCATTAAGGTTACCTACCTTAATGGCTAACAAAGAGACCTAAAAAAGAGAAATAAAAAGCAAACTGTATGGCTGTCTCTGCAGAGAAGACTTTGCCAATAAGATTTCACAGTAAAGTCCTGAAACCTTAATTTGGTTGCAGGTAATATAGCTCAACACAGCTTTCTGAAAGAAACTGAGCCATAACTTTTCAGACTGTGGCAGAATCCCCCACCAGCCAAAACATGACACTGATAGAAAACCTTATTTATGTATCTGTATTACTCTCACACATTCTGATGTGATCACCTGTTTGTTCTGCAGACTCTCCCACTTGGCTTTTCTCTTCTCTGCACTGCTCAGGGGAAGAGCTTTTCCTTTTTGATTCAGGTGTCGGGGAGTCAACAGGTTCAGTCTGTAAGCAAACACACACATATTTAGTTCAAAGACACCTTATAAAAACAGGTTCAATGCATGGATCTATCAGAATCTATCAAACTATCAGGATAGGGAACCTACAGCTCTCAAAGCTTTTTTCATGTTACATATATCAGTTTTTAAATACACATTTTAGAGCAACAAACTCTGCTCATTTTTTTCTCCCTCTAGCTTTGCTTTGATTAGCAGCTGCTGATTGGTCAGAACCATAGACTGTAAATAATAACGAACGTGCTGTGCCTTTGTGAACGTGCATGAGGGCCTTACACACTGCTCATTAGTATTTGGCGAAATGCATCATGGGAGGTCGTCCACTGTGCAGAACCCAGAGGACCAGGGAAATGCCCAAATATGGATGGGCTCCGCTAATCTTTCCGTGCCCATGCTGGCACATGCACTACTGAGCAAAAGCCATTGATTTGAATACACCGCCATCTTGGATTACCAGGGCTTAGTTCAGTGCAACTCAATTTCAGTCCAAGATGGGGAGACACAGATATGGCTGTCTTTTAAAGTCATTAAAAAAGTCAGTAAGTAATATTTGTGACCAGAGTCACAAAAGCACTTTACAATTGTTGTTGGCAATTGTCTCTAACTCCATACAGAGCAAGGTTGTCATACACAAGGGGAAACCAGAGCACCTGGAGAAAACCTATGCAGACACAGGGAGAACATGCAAACTCCATGCAGAAAGGCCTGGAGGTGGAATTGAACCCAGGAGTTTCTGTGTTTCACAAGTGCTAACCACTACGCCACCGCAGACCTAGAGTCTGTAATAAAGTTAAATTGGATTGAATTATAACTGCACAATATTGAATACTATTCTAATATTGAGTCAAACGGATGATTCCTCTGACCTGGAGGAGGTGTGGTCTACATCCAGGAGCGGCTGGTTGAGGTTAGAAAGGTCCAAGTTGTACTTGGTTTTGTAGTACTCTGCAAACGTCTCGTATTCTGGCGAGGGGAACTTGCTGAGGGGCGTGAGGTCTGTGTACACGTCAGCCACATAGAAACGGTGCGGCTGGTCAAAGTTACGATACCTGAGAAAGAAAAGGTGCACATTTACAATTACATTTACAATTCTCTCCAGGCTCTGTCATTTTTAATTGTGTTCAGTTCAATTTAATCTGTTTTTGTAAAGCCCTAAATGACAACAGGAGGACTTCGCAAAGTTTCGCCAACACAAATCAGAGAATCAAACGGTTCAAACACAGGAAATGCAATGATAAAAACACACAGAGCCATTGGCCATCAGGGGCAGATGACCAAAATCTATAAATGACCATTATGTTTATAAATGTCGTTCAATGTCCTAGATCATCTCCACTGTCCTCAGACAAATCTGCATCAGCAAGGAACAACTCAATAAAACCCAGTGGCCGTTTAGGGAACATGTTATTCCACCATCACAAACACATGTGTGATGCTAGATATTAGTTTTACACTAATTCTACTCTCTGAACAATGTTTGTAATGGCAAGTAGTCATGAAAAATATCAGGAATTTTTTGATAGAAAGGGTCCATTAACAGAAGACATGGGGTATTATAGTTGACTGTGTGTGCGTTTGTTGGTTTGTCTGTGTGGAGGATTTCTGAATGGATTGAGGGAATTTGTCACAAGAATCAATCGGGGGTGTCAGACTGGTTCCCAAAGGGGCGGTGTGGCTACAGGTGAGAGTCTGGCGTGCTCGTGCTCACATTGGAACTAATCTGGGATTCTATTGTTGTTTGGCCATTGTACAAATAATTGTGAATTATGTTTTATTTTCATTGCCAATTCTGTGTCGGTACCTTGGAATGATGACAGCGTCCTGGTAATCCTCCAGTTTGAAGGAGAAGGGGTTTTGTTTGGTGTACTGCGTGGTCGGGATGCCGGTGCGCGCCTCAGACTTTTCTATGTCCTCCATGAATTTAAAATCCATGTCCAGAGTGTTGGACTCACCCACTGGGAACAAAGAACAGAAACAGCTAACACTTAAACTGTTTAGAGGCAATACATCACAGTTTGTTAGTATTTTTATACACCTTTGACAACCAGAGAATCAGGAGCCAGATATTTGTGCTTAATTCTTGTTTAATCATTATGCTTAAGTTGGAGACTTTAGATTTGCCTCATTATGCTAAAACTAGAGATTTTATACTTGCTTATTTTTGAATGCCAAAGACAGAGACTTATTTTATTTTAGTATAGAGTTACTGTTAATTTATCTTGCTGTGTGCTCCTCATTCCTACGGTCTGTAACTGGTGATGCAACACTGGAATTTCCCCACAAACAAAGGATCTCTTAATATAACAGTGCAGCTTCTCTGTGACACTCACCGACATTCAGAGGTAGAACGCAGTAAGCCGAGTCGGCCAGCACGGGCTTGAACTCCAGGGCGGGTTTCTCCAGGCGCAGGATGTGGGAGAAGATGTACTGATGCAGCCGCGTGATCAGATCCAACTGCGGCGCGCTCAGACTGAAGCCAGATTTCTGCAGCTCGATGGAAATGGTCACCTCTCCGGAGCGAGTGTAGACGGGGAAATGGGGGATCTGTGGAGGGCAGAAGAAATGCAAAAAACAGTTAAGTGGCTTCTTCATTAGAGGTTTTTAAATGTAGTCTAAAAACACATTTGTACTAGGGATGTGAAGATTCACCGATTCGCATCGGTGGTCCGATACAAACGCCTGCGATGGAACTACACGGATACATTCATGGCGCATCGGATAAAACTTAGGTGTGAATTTGCGGTGCATCTCTTCCAGCCTGTCTGCATCGGTAGATTCCATGGTTAAATCGATAGTTCAATTCGCTGCCCTGTCATATTTCCGAGGCAACCTGAATGCACCATCGCTTCCTCGGGCTCTGACGTAAGCTTCGGGAGAAGACGGCACGGTGTGGATACCTCCGCGCGCTACCCCCTCCTCTCCTTTGGATTATACCGAAGCACGCAACACGAGCAGTTGGTCTATAAAAAACTTCTTTGGTCAAAACACGCCTCAAGCAGCTCTGCCCGCTCCCAGGCCTTAACTGATGCTATGATAAGATTATTTATTAATCTCACACAGGAGAAATTTACTGCTATAGCAGTTAGTTAGTCTACTTCATCTCCACAGATATCCAGCCCTACAGCGCTTTAGAGAATGAAGGATTTAAATATATAAATACTCTGTACATACTGAATAATGATTTATTTTCAAATAGGATTTCTTGGTTTGCTCCATAATAATAATAATAATACATGGGTTTTATATAGCGCTTTACAAGAACTCAAAGACGCTTCACAAATTCTAATAACCATAACCAAATATTAAATACATCCCTCATATTGATAGAGTAAAGCAGAATTTGAGGTAAGAAACCTGATGTGGGCTAATAAACTCTCATACTAACTGTATCGAACAGGATCATATCATGTCAAACCGAATCCCATTGCAAATCAGTCATATCGTTATCAAATCATCTTTGAATCGCATCGTATCGTGAATAGGAACGAATCATATTGCATTGTATCGACAGGGACTTCAGTGTATCGTTAATGTATCGAATCCCTGGTAGTGTATCGAGATGTGTATTGAATCGGCCTCAGTGGTGGAGATATACATCCCTAATTTGTACGCCTCGGCTTTCAGCACCAACTGTTTTACATTGGGGGTAGGAATGCATACATTTTTTTCTTCCTCCCTCTACTTTGAGTTTAGTCATGTACAATATGTTTATTTATATACAGTGCCTTGCGAAAGTATTCGGCCCCCATTGAACCTTTCAACATTTCACCACATTTCAGGCTTCAAACATAAAGATATACAAATTACTATTTTTGTCAAGAATCAACAACAAGTGGGACACAATCGTGAAGAGGAATGAAATGTATTGGATAATTTAAACTTTAACAAATAAACAACTGAAAAGTGGGGCGTGCAATATTATTCGGCCCCCTTGCGCTAATACTTTGTAGCGCCACATTTTGCTGCAATTACAGCTGCAAGTCGCTTGGGGTATGTCTCTATCAGTTTTGCACATCGAGAGACTGGAATTCTTTCCCATTCTTCCTTGCAAAACAGCTCGAGCTCAGTGAGGTTGGATGGAGAGCGTTTGTGAACAGCAGTCTTCAGCTCTTACCACAGATTCTCGATTGGATTCAGGTCTGGACTTTGACTTGGCCATTCTAACACCTGGATACGTCTATTTGTGAACCATTCCATTGTAGATTTGGCTTTATGTTTTGGATCATTGTCCTGTTGGAAGATAAATCTCCGTCCCAGTCTCAGGTCTTTTGCAGACTCCAACAGGTTTTCTTCCCGAATGGTCCTGTATTTGGCTCCATCCATCTTCCCATAAATTTTAGCCATCTTCCCTGTCCCTGCTGAAGAAAAGCAGGCCCAAACCATGATGCTGCCACCACCATGTTTGACAGTGGGGATGGTGTGTTCAGGGTGATGAGTTGTGTTGCTTTTACGCCAAATATATCGTTTTGCATTGTGGCCAAAAAGTTTGATTTTGGTTTCATCTGACCAGAGCACCTTCTTCCACATGCTTGGTGTGTCTCCCAGGTGGCTTGTGGCAAACTTTAAACGAGACTTTTTATGGATATCTTTGAGAAATGGCTTTCTTCTGGCCACTCTTCCATAAAGGCCAGATTTGTGCAATGCACGACTGATTGTTGTCCTATGGACAGACTCTCCCACCTCAGCTGTAGTTATCTGCAGTTCATCCAGAGTGATCATGGGCCTCTTGGCTGCATCTCTGATCAGTCTTCTCCTTGTTTGAGATGAAAGTTTGGAGGGACGGCCGGGTCTTGGTAGATTTGCAGTGGTCTGATACTCCTTCTATTTCAATATAATTGCTTGCACAGTGCTCCTTGAGATGTTTAAAGCTTGGGAAATCTTATTGTATCCAAATCCGGCTTTAAACTTCTCCACAACAGTATCTCGGACCTGCCTGGTGTGTTCCTTTGTCTTCATGGTTCTCTATGCGCTTTAAACAGTACCCTGGGAATATCAAAGAGCAGGTGCATTTATACGGAGACTTGATTACACACAGGTGCACTCTAAGTAAGTAAGTAAGTAAGTAAGTAAGTAAGCTTTATTTATATACCGCCTTTCACAGACCAGAGTCACAAAGCGGTTTACAATTGTTATTTTTTGGGCACTTGTCCTCTCACTCCACACAGAGATGATGATTTATCATCATCAGTCATTTAGGACAACATTGGATCATTCAAAGATCCTCACTGAACTTCTGGAGTGAGTTTGCTGCACTGAAAGTAAAGGGGCCGAATAATATTGCATGCCCCACTTTTCCGTTTTTTATTTGTTAAAAAAGTTTAAATTATCCAATAAATTTTGTTCCACTTCACGATTTTGTTCCACTTGTTGTTGATTCATGACAAAAAATTAAAATGTTATATCTTTATGTTTGAAGCCTGAAATGTGGCGAAATGTTGAAAGGTATACAGTGACTTTCGCAAGGCACTGTATATATATAGATATATATATATAGATATTGTAATAAGTAATGCAGATATTCTAGAAAATTCTATTAACGGACATTTGATAATAATGTTTGATGCAACACTGAAATTTCCCCACTGTGGAAAGTCATTGTCGATATATGTAGGAACGACAGTAGCTCAGTTGGTAGAGCACTGGTCTTAGGACCTAATGGTCATGAGTTTGAGCCCACCACAACCCATGTCACCTGCTCCCACTGATATCTGCTGTCGTTGTGTCCCTGGGTAAGACACTTAACCCCACATTGCCCGAAGCCCCTCGCTGAAAGACCAAGGCCATCTTGGCGGTGACGGAGAAGCAATCTTCCCGTGGACCCACCACCTGCGGGAGGATCAGCGAGGGACTGGTGCTATGAGACATGGGTGGCAGCTCTGATTGCCACCCCCACCCAGAAATGGATTAATAAAGCGGTAGAAAATAAAAAATAAATAAAAAACATGATATGTTGAATAGGCCAATATATTACAATTATGCTTTAAAACAACAGCAATTAAATCTTGCAGAAATACATTTAAACCCCAGGTAAGGTTTGCGATGCACAGTATACATTATTTATGACATAGGGGGAAATTGATATTGACATATTTTGATGATAGCTATAGATTCATGGGCCATTCTATTACTAACATAAATAGAAAAATGAGCCAACATCAGCACGGTCAAAACAGCCCTCCACCACAAAAGCAAAGAAAAAACATCACAGAAGTAAAAATGCAGGTCACCTCCACTGCTCACACAAGTCAGGAGAGAGACAGGACATAAATACATAGATAGATTCTTACTCGAGGTATGGGTTTGGCGGTGAGGATGCCGAAACATCTGGTGGTGTCCTCTGGAGGATACAGTTTCCTCCTGCGGAAGTTGAGCTCGTCGGGCAGCGGTGTGGTAAGGACCATCCCCACCACGTACAGGTAATACGTCTGTCCGGGCACCGCGTAGCTGTCCCTCAAACACACTGGTATCTAAGAGCACAAGGGTTCGGGTGAAGCAAATAAGCAAGCAAGAAAGTGTCTGCTTTTAAATGAAATGGTTATTTACAACCGTCATCTTATGCTACTGTCCATTTACTTTACTGCCAAATGCCTATTGTATGCACTTTTTAGTATATACAATGTTGAGTAAGAGATTTTGTACATTGGTCATCTACCCCTTATGGATCAATGGCTCTGAGTTTTTTTTATCATTGCATTTAATGTGTTTGAACCGTGTGATTCATCTGATCTGTGTTGGGAAATTAAACAGTTTATGTTAAGTCCTCCGAGATAACTAATGTTGTGATTTAGGATTATACAAGAACAAATTGAGGTTTTCTTTCCATCATCATTTAGTATGTTTGTATGTATATCTGTATGAAAAATTCTTCAGCTAAACACAAAAACAAGTATCTCTGGATATTACAATGATAAATTAGGACTATATATATATAAAAGCCAGAGGGGCCAATCATTTAAGACAACACAACACTCGAATTACTACGTGAAAGAGGCAAACCCATGAAACCAATAAAGTAAGATCTCTCGAGCTCCCCCACCCCCATCATTAGAACCTGCTCTCTCATGAAACAAGAATCTTCACTTACGGCTTTTGGGTAACACTGCCTCCTCTTGGTGGAGCCGGGTCGTCCTGGGACACTGGTCTCCTCCTCGTCGTGGAGGTCCAGTTCCTCCTCGTATTTGACCGTCTCCTTCCCCACAGGCATCAAGTGATCGTCCAGCTCACCTGCACAAAGACAAGTTCTTTCTCTTATTGAAAGTCATCGTGTAAGGCAGTCCTGTTTAAGCTATACCAGGGGTGTAAAACCGGTCCTCAAATTGTCTTGGGGCAACAGGTTTTAATTCCAACCAAGCAGGAGCACACCAGACCACCTATTTCCTCAAGCGAGTCCAGTCTTAAAGGTCCCATATTTTGCTCTAATAATAATAATAATAATAATAATAAGGGATAATAATTTGGGTGATACACCATAGAACACTCAAAACTTGTGAAGTTATAGCCATTTCTTGCATAGATGTGATGTCACCTTTACTGAATCGGCTGGATTTGTGCTCCTTTCCCTGCTCATGCTTGGTTAGAACTAATAACGGCAGCTACTCAGGCCCTTTGACAGCCCTAAGCTAAAATTATCTTTACCGATTTTGTGCAGCTTCTCACAACACAATAGTGCAACAGCTTTCTCTGCGAGTCGGGCACAATTCATCACGGGGCCCTGGCACAAAAACACATGTTTATTAACATTCGCTCCAGTTATGAATTGCATAGTATAAGGAGACGTGTTTGTCTTACCCTCACTGGAGCCCGCAGGGGAGAGTTAATGGGCAAGAACAGTGTGGACTGGAAGCGCCCATCCTTAGTCTCTCCAGTTTTACATTTAGGAGCCAAGTGTGTGAAGGGGTCGCTGGGCAGCCTCGCGCAATATCTGAGGAAAAATGTTGGTTATATTGAGTTTTTAGAAGACGATTTACATACTGACATGATGTAAATCCACTGGGAAATTCATTTTCACTTTATTCCGTATTCTGTTGTACTTTTAGGACCCTTTATTAAATGTTTTTACTCAGTCTTTATCTATTTTAAATTATGTGACCAGTTTTATTGACTTTTAGTGTCTTATGCAGACTGTGCAGCACTTTATATTGCCCTATAACAAAACAAAATAAAGATGTATTATTATAATAACATGGCTAATCTGCAATCAGCCTCCATATTTAATTACATTGTTTGTCTTAAAGCCAATCAGAAAGGAGTAGCAAGATGCTTTCTGGTTGCAACGGTAGCAACAGTCACAGGATCCAATAGGAAACATGATTGGTCAGTTATTTTTGGTCTTATATTGATTTGCAAAGACAAGATCAAAATATCATAATATCATTCTCATGACCTTGTGTGCTCTTATTCCAATGTGTTGTACCTGTTGATGTGACCGATGGCCGTGTTAATGGTGACTCTGGGGCCTCCGTCTTCTGTCCTCAGTACGTACGGCGGGAGGATGTTGTCATCGTCCAAAATCTGCTCCACTTCAAACTCTCCCACCTCTACCGACTTTGAGCACTTATTTCTCAAGATCTGCCAAAGTAAAACACAAATGAAAAAATAAAAAGTCAGAATGATGCACTTATTAACAGAATATGGGCAAAGCAAGTTTATTTGTCGATGCAGGAGGTAGTGGTCTCAGGGCAGTGGTAATGGTCCAGGACACTCAACATTGAACAACATTTATGGATCTTATCAACATTATGGACATTGATCATCTGCCCTTTATCTTATGGACCAATGCTCTATGGGTTTTGTTTATCGTTGCATTTCCTGTCTTTGAACAGTTTGATTCACTGATCCTCCGAGATAACTACTGTTGTGATGTTTGGGAATACAATAATAAATTGAATTGAATAAATGTATAGCACAGCTAGACAAGACAAGAAAACTTAAAGGGCTTGACCAAACAAAACTTCAAAATTTCACAATGTATTAGACTCATAATAAAATAATCACAGTACATTAAAACGTGTAAAGATACAAGCCTTCAGTTGTATGAAGCTAAACAGAATGTTTTTAAGCAGGAGTAGAATCCTCTCTCACATTTTCCAGATTTTAGCAGCAGAAATCTGAATATGTATATAATGAAAGCGTATCACATAAACAGCAGCGACCTTCTCTATGGCCTTGTACGTGGTCAGATCCTCCTCGAAAGACTTGGTTCTCTCGCTGTCCGCCAGCATGATGTAGTTGGAGACCGGGGCCCGCGCTCGGCCTTTGGACTGGACGTAGGAGCGGTACTCGGTGGGCAGGTCGAAGCGCACCACCAGGTTACACTTGGGGATGTCCACGCCCTCCTCCACGATGCTGGTGGCAATCAGCAGGTTCGTCTCGTGAGCGCGGAACTTGCGTAGAACCTGAGCAAACAAAAATGAGACAAGGACTTACCATTTCCCTGACCTTTTAGCATGGTACAATAAGAGTTCTGTTAGTGTGTTTATACGCCGCAAAAAAATATCAAAAATTGAGGTAATAATTGCTTGAAATAGTGGTTTTTAATCATAATTTCAGGATATTCTATCTTAAAACATATAATAAGCCATTTAGTGTTTTTTCAAGAACTGTAGCTTTGTTTCCTCATTCCAAGGGAGATATTTCTTGTATCTTTTTAAAACAAGATCATTTTGCTTTGTTCCATTGGCAAATCCTGTTTTAAGGCAATCATGTGCTCAAATTACACTTTGCAAAACATTTCACATTTTGCAAAATGTTTAACTTATTTTGTACTTATTTTTCATGTCAGTGAAATAAAAACTAAAATAAAAAAATTTCATGAATAATCACAAACCTACAAAAACACTGTCATAATATGCACATTAAATGGGTAATTTTAATCCCTACTTAAACTTTGAGCCACCCTGTATAATAATAATACATCTTTAATTGTATAACACAAAAAAGTGTTTACAAAAGTAAAAACAGTAAAAACAGACAATAAAACAGTCAGACCAAAACTAATAATTAATATTTCTCCAATTTCAGAAAGCCTATCTCTTATCACTTTCAAGTTGTAGCTTTTTAAAATAAAGAGAGAGTCCAAATTAAGAGTTTGAGGAAAAACCCTCTGCCACCTAAAGGGTTAATAGATCCATGTCTAACAAAAACCTGTTGGTTTGTAAAGTATTAGTGACTCATACCTCCTCTTGCTTCCTGAACTCCACTTCCATCTGTTTGTTGCGCGGCTGGTTCTTGCCGATGCTGTGGCCTGTGATGAAGTTGCTGCTGATGTAGGTGAGCTCAGGATCCTGCTTACCAGCCTCTTTGATTAGCCTGAAAAATCATACATATGTCATTAACATTCCTAGTATTAGAAACTACCAGATGTCAAAATATAAACATCAGGATTGCTGAGAGTCCAAAATGGTGAGTTTGGCACAAAACTGTTACTGAGCTAAATGAGTACTTTTTTAAGTATTATGTACAATGCAAAGTCATTAGTCAGCAAAGCAACTACTGTACGTCCATTCCAACCATGTCACAACTTTCTTAGCTAAAGAAGGCTGCTAAAAAGATGACACGACCAACCTTCCTGTTTCGTCCCAACTTGCGTCATTTGAAAAATTTGCAAAGTGTGTAGCCATTGGTCATCTGCCCCTTAAGGACCGATAGATCCATGTGGGTTTTATCACTGCATTTCTTGTGTTGGATCTGTTTGATTCTCTGAGTACTACTGTTGGGATTTAGGGGCTATACAAAAGTAAATTGAATTGAACTTGAGTCATTTGAAATGTATGCAAGGAAGGCAGCCTTACCGGTTAAGCACCACAGCGGTGTACCTCCTCTCCACAAAGATGATTCCACACAGGATGTTGGTGAAGGGCGAGGGGAAGTTGGCCTCGGGTCGCTCCTTGGCCTCCACCTCCTCGTCCTCGTCCTCATCCTCCGAGTCGCTCCAGGAGACGTAATTGTCCTGGTTGCGGTTGTTGTACCACTCCACGCTCTCAAACTGCTGCCGCTCGAAGGGCTTGTACTCATGCAGGATCTCCAGCAGCCGCAGCACTTTGGGTGTGACAAACTTGAGGTCCAGCGAGGCGGGGGAGAAGTGTTCTTCGCAGAGGGCATGGATCTTTCGCAGCGTGGTGTCTGTGAACAGGAGGAACTTGCGTGCCAGTTCCTCCTGCTCGTGTTTGATGTATTTCTGCAGCTCGCGGACCATGATGCCGGCCGCTTTGTCCGCGCACCATGGGCCCAGCACCTGCAGCACAGCCTGGCAGTCCCCCAACACCTGCAAGCGGACAATGACGTCACCACACAGTTAGCATTCAAGTCTTCCATACGGTAAGAAAAAAGGCCTGTGTTCTTTACACTTATTGTCAGTGTAAAGAAAGTTATGCATTGTTCATGTGGAGCAACTGTAAGAATTACCTTTAAGGGTGGTTCTTTGATACCAGACAACAATAAAGTCTTGCTTCTTCATCACCCTTAAGTTGGAGACTTAGTTCCATAAGTCAAAGATTTTATACTGCTTCTTTTTATGCTAGTTAGAGAATGTATTTTATTTTCATCGTGTGAGAGTTAAAATGTATTCATCTGTGTGGTGTGTTCCTCATTCATACTGTTTTGTAACTTGTGATGGAACAAATTTTCCCACTGTGGGACGAATAAAAGATCTCTTAATCTAATAACATCTTACTATAACTTACTTACTATTGTCTAGAATAGAAGCACCAAATTACTTAATTTCTACTCATGAGATGAAGATGAACCATCCTTATAAAATTTGACATTGTATGACACATACGCTAACCCGCTAGCTCAGTGAAAACCAATAAGGAAGTGTAAAAAGTTCTGCTTCAACTCACTTTGGCTATTATAGGAGGATCTTTGTTTACATCCGCGTACACATGCGGCACTTGCAATATTGATCCAGGCTTCCCTTTCTACTTTTGCCATAGGTAACAGCATAAAAGGGAAACCGGCTTTCAATGTGCGGACCACTTTACCGCAGCCGAAAGAAAAAAACTTTATCGGGCCCCAGCGGGCCGTACAACCGACCACAAAACAAGAGTGGCCCATTTGATTTAGTAAAACCTCTCTCCAAACATCTAAAACTAGCTAACTCTAGCATCAAGGTAGTTTTCTCAGCTGTTTTGCCACCCAGTCTCGTGACCGGCGCATAAAAACAATAAAATCCTCTAAAAACCAACATTGAAAAGTAAATTCTAGCTCAGTAACCGTTGGTGTCACACTCATCGTTTTGGGTGAGAGAGACACCTTCTATGATATTTTTGAATATACTTTTATATTGTCTTTATAAATCCAGATTTGAGCTAAAAAAGTTCTCTCTTTTCCAATTTAATGTGGAATCTGATCTAAAGACGAATCGATGAGAGCGAGCAACTAGTTAGATTATAGTTTGTGGTTGGAAAGTTAGTTACCCCAGCTTGGCACCGCAGTTGAATATAATCTCGTTAGGTTTCAGGAAGATAATGTTTAGTAAAACTTACATTTTACACCGGCTCCAAGTTGACTTGACATTGAATTAATTTAATTGTTAACTTTAGACCACTCCCCCACAGTTCTAATAAACTTCTGGTCCAGGTCTTTCTGCTAAATTAAAGAAACAAAATGTGTTTGTACCTGTTTGGAGATGTAGGTGGGGTCCCGGTCCTCGCGGGACGCTGGGACGTTGCAGTCACTTAGAAAATGCAGTGCTTCGTTCAGCTCCTTCTGCAGCCGAGACGAGAGGCCGCTTCTGTCCACGTACGGGCCGCAATCCAGCACCACTTCTCTGGGTTGAGAGGCATACCTACCACACACAGAGGGAGCATGAACAAAAAACAAAACAAAAGAACAGTGAGGACTAATGAACACTGCTGACCAGTGATATGGAACCACGTGTCCACCCTCACTTTACCAAGTCACTTTGTCCCACACCCTCGTGCTGCTAACATGTACAGACGTATACATATAACCACCCAATACTTGCACTAGAATATACAGTATTTATGCTTGCTTTTTTATTATGCTAAAGCTAGAGATTTTATTTTATTTTATTTTAGTATAGGGTAATTGTTCACTTATCTTGCAACACAAATAAAGGATCTCTTAATCTTAATCAAAGGGACATCGAAGCATCCTACCGATCCAAGACAACGAGGTCGGTGGCAGTTTCAGCGTTGCTTTTGAGGATCTCCTCCAAGTTCTGTATTTTGTGCTCGAGTTCCAGCGGGTCGCACTTTCCGTTGAGGATAGAGGCTGTGAGACCCAGGACGCGGGGGCTTCCACAGCCTTCAAAAAGCTGAATAAAAAGTAAAAAATTAGTGGGTAAAAAAAACATGATTTAAAACGGTCCCATTTTATACATTAAAATGCTATTTGGCCTTCATACACATGCCCAAAGTAGTTTTTCCTTGATTTCCTCAAAATGTAACTAGAAAGCAATCTTTCTCTTTTAGTCTAAAGAGGCGGTAAAACAGTCCACACTGATGATTAAGAACAACATAGATGAGGGAGAAGCCTGCCTCCAGGAGGTGATTGATAGGGGGAGAAATCTAAACAGTGAATCAGCGCACACAGGCCCTTTCTCGAGTCTCCCACATTACTTAACTGCAGGACTCAAAGTGAAGATAAGTCTATTATTGTCGCTAACTACAAGTATTTGGCAGAGGAGCAGAAAATCAGCGGTTTCAATTAAGGCGACATCATAAGTATTGAGTGTTGTATGGTGTATTACCCAAATCATTATCACACATGTGCATAGAGTGGACAGTGAAAAATTGAGAGCGTGAAATGGGACCTTTAAAGACCTTTATAGAGGCATCCTTACCTTCATCACCTCACAGTATGGGTGCTCTGTGATCGCCAGGTGACAGTCGTCAAATGCAACCAAGTTGATTTTCGACAGTGGCAATATTTTATTCTTGAGGATGAGCAGGAATATATGACAAGTCATCACCAGCACCTGGTGAATACAAAAACGGTTGAAAACAAATCTGGACAATACACGGCAGGTAGTGTAAAATATGAGTGTAGATGACATAGAGGACTTGTGGCAACTGCTGATGCTGATACTTGGTTGGACAGCACCATTTTGAACGTCACAATGGATCGAACCATCTATACTATCTATGCCCACACAAGAGAGACATGTGGCATACACTAAACAGAAACTGATGGCCAAAGCTCCGACTACATTTCAAGATGCATTTGAATGGCAGGATGGCTGCCGTTCTCCCATGCCCACCTGATTCTCTATGATCTCTTGTCTCCATCGCTCGTCGCTCCACTTTGAGGTCTGCTCCACATCGACGTACTCTCCCACCTGGAGGTCAGAGTGCGTCCGGACCGCAGCTGCTTGATGAATCACAGATGCGGCTGGAAAATATCACAAAAATAACCAAATGAAAGGGTTGTTTGAGAAGCGATATATTCTTAAGTCCATTACAGTACAATATTTACATGGTTAATAACAAAGACTATGATATGGCTCATCATTCAACTTCTTCCCATTATGTGGCAATACCTGAGTTCACTAGAAAAATGGTTCTCTTTGCATTTTCATCATAGCGTCCACGGATTTGGTGGGAGAGCTCCTTTGTTAAAAGTACTGCAATAAACGTCTTCCCTGAGCCAGAATTCAAGCAGACGATAGTATTATGTTCAAGAGCTGCTTCAAGAAGTTCTACCTGGAAAACACAAAACAAACACACATTGATGCAGTTATATAACACAGTAAGAACAGGCCAATTTATTTTGATATTATAATAGGATTTTTTTCTCTGGTTTAAACATGAACACAGTGCTATTTGGCCTCATACACATGCCCAGAGTAGTTTTTTTCATTGATTCCCCTCAAGCTTTAGTTAGAGATAGGGCTGCACAATATTGGAAAATACAGCGATATTCGATATGAGTGTTTAGAATTGCGATAACGATACTATTGCGATATTTTTTTCTTTCACCTAAAATTGCAATCTGCATTGAAACGCAAGAGACAAATAACAAAAACATTAATGACTTTCAAATGCATATATTTATACCCTTTTCTTTGTTTATATGTTTGTTGTATTTGTTGAATGTTGATGTGTCTGTCTGTTTTGTGGTCTTTAAAAAAGGATTTTTTTTTTCATAGCGCATATTTTTTATATCGATATTGCACGCACCAATATCGCGATAACAATATTTTTTCGATATATTGTGCAGCCCTAGTTAGAGAGCGAAAGAAACGAGCTGTTTCAAAACATGACGTGGCACAATCCGTGACGTCAAAAGTCCGACTCCAAGTGGTTATTGACAACAGTGAGAAACTGAGCCAGCAAATCAGCGTCGTCTATGGTTCTTGCAGCCTCTCTCCGAGGCCAGCGTGTGGTCCATAGACAGTAAGTAAGTAACGTTTATTTATATCACGCAATTTTACAGACAAAGGTCACAAAGCGCTTTACAATGTTCCGAGTTCAGAATTATAGTTCCAACCAACACCCTCCATTCACTCACAGTAAATACATGTCTGTGCTTTTCTGTGATAGCTTCATGTCAACTCAGGGAAAATGGATTCTTGGGTGCAAATATGTGACGACGGTATTTGGCCCGAAGCATGGATGTATTATATTAACTGGATAGGGTATTACTAGCTTGTAGCTGAATAACCCATGTGCTCAGGGGATTCTCGCGGTACTGCAGACTGAACCAGACTAAATTCACGTGGGCTACCCAGAAATTTTCCCCATAGAACTCAATGCATATTAAAACAGCTCAACCTCAGCTGACAGAGAACCTACAGCTTTAATAAAGATCGGATTTTGTGGGGATTTTAGTGTCCCTTGTCATCCTGAACTTTTTTTCTTCTTAAATCCTTCGGTTTTGTTTAAATCCACACTTTAGTGCCACAAACTCTGCTCCTCTGGTTCTCGCTCTAACTCCCGCTCTGATGAACTGCTCTGATTGGTCAGAGCGCGGCCGAGCCCCTCTGTGCACGTGCGTGAGACCCGGTGTGAGACCCACACACGCGTGTTTGGCGCAACGCATTAGGGGAGATCATCCACTGCGCAGAACCGGGAGGACCAGACGATGCCCAAATACAGGCGAGTTTCCCATAGATCTTTGCGAGTTTCAGGCAACTTCCGCTAATCTTTCAGCCCCCATGCCGTCACAAAGCGCCACTGAGCACAACCATTCATTTGAATAGGGCGCCATCTTGGATTGCCGGGGCTTGGCCCGAAGACGGAGAATGAGGCGAATGGGGATCGGTTTTGTTCTTGTGGATCTGCCTCACAAAATCTGCGAGTCTGAAATCTGTGACGAAACTCGCAGATGTATTTTTGATGCAAACACGTCTGGACATCAAAGTCATACTGGAGACCAACTTCTGCATTATTGGGAATATTTAAACATGAAATTAGATCAAATTGAGAATTTTATCTACTGAAGATTCTGCTTCTGATAGCAAAGACAAAGTCTCCTGGCTCAGGGCACAGCCCCCACCATCACTGAGTGGAAAAGCCCAAATCCAAATAAAAATATATTATAAAATTATATTTACAGACAAATAGTCTTTAGTTCAAACTTATTTGTCAACAGGAAGATTACCGTTTTATTATTGTGCATTTTCTATTTGTCTAGATTTACAATTAGTAAAGTAACATGGACCATACAACAACAATATTATACTATAAACTGTACTTATATTGTCTGGTTGCTGTTTTGTAATTGTAATTTGTAAGTGTACTTTGCACCAAACAAACAAAAACAAGCTTAAGAAAAGGCAAATACGTTATTAATTGAGAGACTTAACTTTGAATCATTCCAACCTTGCGTTGACTTTACCTGATATTTCCTTGGTGTGTAGATGTTATCATGGATAGCCTCCTGCTGCCATGGTAACCCAAAGAACGGCCCCATGGGTGAGGAGGCGGGGGTGACCAGTTGCAGGCCTGCCATGCTCCACACACTGGAGGTGAGGTGCGGCTCCTCCAATCGCCCTCTTTATCTCATTTCATTATGCACTTCTTTGAAGAAGCTCACTAGTGTTCACAAGACATCATGCATTAGCAACTTTATAAATATATGCGTTAACCATTTCCAAATCATTTAGACAAAAACTACTCACAGAATTAGACAGGGGCTTCCTGGGAGAGCAGCGAATACTGAACCTGCCCGCCATGATGAATGTCTCTTTACCAAAGTCTAATGCAGATCGACATTCGACTTTGATGAGACCTTGATGCAATAACAAAAACACTTTCAGAATACTTATTACTAAACTAATTACATAGACATTTATTTTCAATGATTTTTTCACCTCTTAACAAATGTGTCCCAAACAGTGAATGGCTTGAACAGCTCTGTGAAAAGAGGAGAGGAAGTATTTCAGTTTACCAATACTGATGCACATAAACACATCTGTACTATTTACTGATTCGGAGATTTGGTTTATTCAAAGCTGATAAATGGTGGAACTTGAGTCCTGACAAAAACTTGGACGTACACTTTCATGAATCCAGTTCTCAGGTCTCTGTACTGGCTTCCTGTGGCTTAGAGAATAGTCTTTAAAGAAGCTCTGCGTGTGTACAAATCTCTCCATGGCCTTGCACCAAATTACATCTATGACATGTTAGTGCCATATGAACCACTCTGAGGAGCACAGGGACTGGCCTCCTGCTGGTGCTCAGAGTGAAGACTAAACACGGAGGCAGCATTTCCGATGTATGCAGTTAACTAGAAAGGTCTCCCAGAAAATGTGAGACAGGCTTCTACTCCTACAATGTTCAGTTCTGGCTAGCTGTGCATACAACTGAAGGATAGCATCTTCACAATGTGTACTGTAATCATTTGTTTTAATATCGTTTGGTTAACTGTGCCATACAAATAAACGTGCCTTGCCCGAGCGCTGCTTTAGGTGCAATCATTTTGACCAGACATAGCATCAGATAACTTATCAATTTGACCACAGTATCAGCTTGTTATACAGACACTCCGCCAGGGAAATGCCCTTGCTTCTACAACTGGTTAACTAGTATGTTGTTGAAATTGTACTCAAAACAGAGATCTAGTAATAGGCACTATATCTGCTGAATTACTCTCCTGCCAAAGATGATGTGGTCTACAGCCTTTGGCCTCATAATTATACGAGCAAAAACGAAAATATACATATGTATAAGCCTAGTGTTAACGTTGTTTGGTTATAAATAAGCAAAAGCCTATGATCAAAATGTGAATCTGTTACAGCATACACTGAATAACCCTGACGTGTAGTGATCGTCTTAGCACACACAGCTAATGATAAACAAAAACCAACGCGCCTTTATTAATTTATTCATTTCGTCAAAGAAGAATCAGACATACGGTTTACACGAGACTATCCAAGCAGGGTTATATGGCCGAGTTACACACTTTAAAAACCGGCGTTAGCTGAAATTTACGGCGCGTAATGCGAAGCCACCATGCAGCAGCACCATCATGTCACACAGCCAACTTGTTAGCATCGAAGCTAATAGCATGCTAGCTTCAACACATGCCCAAGAAATATCGACTGTACAAAGACAGGTTTCGCTATATGCTCCTACCTTACGCTGGCAGTTAATGTGATCGTCTTGAGTGTGAGGGGATGGATACATTCATACACGGCTCTGCTCGCTGCCATTCACTCTGGTCCTGTTTGTCTCACAGCTTCACGGCGGTGCTTTCACCTGGGCCTCCGCTACGCAAAAACAGCTACGTAATCGGCGTAGTAACCGGCACGTTTCCACTAGACTAGCGACGCACGTGCAAATGTGTTTTCTTTGTGAATACCAAGGAAAGAACTGTGCAGTGGTCATCTGTCACTGACTTCATTCAAGCAATGACACAAATTGAACTGTATTTGTTTGCCAGTTACTCCATTTGCTTACTTACTTAGTTGAATAGTATAGTGTAATAGCGTATTGTACGATCCAAACAACTTTGTTTTGGCCACATATGTTATGCATTCTTTATGACTTGATTACTCGCATTCCTTAAAGTGACTTAAAGTGTGAGAGAGAGAGAGAGTTCTTCCAACTATAACACTTACCCGTGCTTGACATATGTTGTAGTTGTACTCAACCTTTTGTTTTAGAGTCATGAATTGTGGTTTGAAAGTTATGTACCCTAGCTTTAATCTTTTATTCAAAGCTTCCATGCAAACATGATTGTCAGCATCAAAATCAGGGCTTAACAATACAATAGTTTTGGAGGAAACCCTGCTGCTACGTGCTCACATTGCAGCTTTTTTGTACAATTAAAACAGTGTGAACCAGGAAAATAGAACAATATCATCTTTTTTTATTAATGAATGGAAAAAATAGATTTAATAAGCTGCATCTCACAACATATTGTCAGAATTCAAATATATATTACATTACAACATGTACTCTATTCTGGACCAAGAACCAGGTCTTTTTGTGTAAACGATTCGCCAGTGATTGGGATTGTTATTCTATTATACTATTATTATACTTATACACAGTATGGTGTAAAATTAGGTTAAAAATTATCATTAGCGTCCAATTGTTGGCATGGTAACTGCAGGACTTTTGAGAGTAGCATCTTCAGCTTTCCATTGTGAAGTGACAGTTTTGATCTGTGTGTAGAAGTGGATTCCCTGGAGAGACACAAAAGAGCATATTACCAGTAATCATTATAGTAATATCAGTATTTGAAAATTGCACTCACCTGTTTTCCATAAAAGTTCATGTCACCTCTGAAGGATCCTCGAGAACCAGTGAAGGAGAACATGGGCAGTGGAACCGGGATCGGAACATTTACTCCCACCTGCGCACAAAATGTTTACCCATTTTCAAAAGTTATTGCAAGAAATAAATATGTGTATGCTTAATTTCTTCATTACCGTAATTTCTGCTAACTGCTACTTTTTTGTAGCTCTTTGATCCCTTCGGCTCATAAAGTGATGCAGCTAATATCTGTATTTTTATTGTGATAGATCTGAGCGGAGTTTATGGACTTATTATTTTTACTCCATCAACTTTGAGTAGCTATAGGACACGTGTTTATTGTCAAAGTATGTTGTCTACAAGTGGACAAAATGGATTTTCTTTTCAAATGGACATTAGTCTAGAAAGTACGGTACTACAATTGAGTCCAAAAGATACAGTTGATGCATTCCAGATATAGAAGAACCCTTATTCTAAAGCAGCTCTGACAAATGTGTTGATTGACATCCACAGTCCAAATGACTGTGGATGTGATTGATCCCATTGAAGACAAGAGACTCTCACCTGGCCCACATCCACATCATGAGTGTATTTGCGTGCAGTGGCGCCGTTGGTGGTGAAAATAGCCGTCCCGTTCCCGTAAGGATTCCCATTGACCATTCCGATGGCATCATCCAGAGTTTCAGCCTCAAGAACGACCAACACCGGACCAAAGATCTCCTCAGTGTAGCACTTCATCTTGGGCTGTTGAAGAGGAAAAGTCAGTACAGTTCAAAAGGCTTCACTAATTGATTGATTTTATTCATTTTAACAGAAATTATATATTCATAAGTAGTTACAATATTTACATTCCTTAGTTTATGGAGATACTTGTATACATTGTTATGTTGCCTATTCCGCTTACAGTATATACATACACATTTAAATTTTCCTTTGTAAATTGGTTGTTTGAACAAGAATTTTCAGTTGAATAAATCAAAGAGGAGACAAACACAGTGATATTTGAAATGTGAAATAAAGTTTGTATCATTCACAGAAACTGTGCAAGAATCATTTAAACCAAATTATGATGACAATCTCATAATGGATTCACCTTTGTATGGAGTTCATATAGGGTATTTCAATGTATGCAAATGCCCAATTTGTTTTAAAGCACTCTATCACTGTGTTGTCTCCTATATGATATATTTAACTTATCCAAAATTGAAAGGGGTGCCCAAACTTTTTCATACCACCGTATGTACATAAGTATACATTTAAGCTACAGCATTGACCATAGTTTCATTATGTGTTGGTATAATTACAATTTCAATAGGTTTTCAAACATTTATTTCTATTTACAATATGTTAACTCAAAAACTCCCACCCCATGAACATAAATAAAATATATTAATGGATATAGACTTATAATCTGGTTTGTATAAAGGCTAGATCCACGCACTGTGACATTGCTGATGATGGTTGGTCCCACAAAATTGCCGTTCTCATAACCGTTGACCTTCACATCTCGACCATCCAAAAGAATGTCTGCTCCCTCTTCCAACCCGCTCTGGATCAGGCTGCAGACTCTGGCCTTGGACTGGGGGGAGATCAGAGGTCCTACATCTGCACCAGGTTGGTCTCCTGGCAACAACCACAAAACAAACTTTTTAAGAGATCATTTTTATCCTTCGACCAACAGATCTCTCTGAGTTAAACATATTACATTGTTATTTATTACTATTGTTAGGGACTTTTAGAATTATGCATTTATTTACAGTATGTGTGTGTAGATGTGTTCTGCTGCTGGACAATTGAATTTCTCCAACGGGGGATCAATAAAGTATCTATCTATCTATTTATCCACAAGGAGCTACAGGGTTTCGCACAGTGATACCATGTTTTGTGTATTTATTTGTTTTGTTTGAATGGATGGATGTGTTTCTGCTGCTAGTGGACACCTGATCTTCTCATAAGGGGATCAATAAAGTATATGTATCTATTTATCTATCAACCAGTCTATACACATTGTGGCACACATCCTCCGTAATAGCAGAGGAGCCTGAGATTTTAGTCTAATGCAAATGTGCAATTTGAAAAAGGAATAATTCAAAACAGAGACGTATTATAATTTGCTGCTAAAAAACTGCGAATCAAAATTTCTACTGCAGCCTCCATGGAAGAGATATGAAAAGGCATTGAAAAAAAACAACACAGACAGTATAAAAGGCAGCAATTTCAATAACAATCACAGAGAAGCAGATTCGCACAGGATTTGTAATATTACTGGACGTCTGTGTTTGGCCAAATCCAGGAGGTGATTTGCAGTTGAATTTTTACTTTACAAATTAGACACATGGCACATTCGCACTAGACGAGAGATCTCAGGCATCCTTCACATTTATCTAAAGTCATCAGAGGTCCACAGGTGGTAATACAAATCCTGTGCAAATAGAGTTTATGATGTCTAAGCTCAGAAGATCACTTTGTCTTTTTGCGATACCTGCGTTTACCCGTAGGCTCTTAGCACGCTCCACCAGCTCCGGGAGCCAGCTGCGGGCTTCTCCCACCAGGATGGCGGTGGACAGGGCCATGCAGCGCTGACCAGCAGCACCGAAGGCAGCGCCCACAAGCTGATTCAGGGTGTTCTCCTTGTTGGCATCTGGCATTACCACACCGTGGTTCTTAGCACCCTAGAACACGCATACAACGTCTGAGAAACATTTGCCATTTTATAATAAACTGGAGAACTCACCATGTTGGACTGGACTCTCTTGCCATTTTTGGATCCTCTCTCATAGATATATTCTCCAGCTTGGTTTGAGCCAACAAAGCTGATGGCTTTAATCGCTAGATGGTCACAGATAAAGTTTACGGCTGTGAAGAAATCACATTATTTAAAAGTCTCTCTCAACATGTTCTTTTTGTATAAATGAAGAGGTTGATAACAATAATAATTATATATATAATAATTATATAATAATAACATTGTATGTATAAATGCGCACTCTAAATGGAATAAAAGGAATAAAAGGAATTCTTATCTTATCTTATTCTTATCTTATCTTAAATGGGCACTCAAGGTTGCAAAGTTAAAGGCCAAAACAGTGAAAAGGGAGTGACTCCTTCTGGTAAGTGTACATGGTGGATGGTCGAGCCAGGAGGCCTGGGTGGTGGATGGTTACAGGCAGGCTGCTTGGCCCTAACCCACCACATCCAATGCCCCCTAACCCTAATCCTGGGAGTGTATATTTCTAATATTTCTCTTTTTTTTTTTCATTTTCCAGAACATGTAAGAAAGCCATGGACTGAATTTGAGGTGAAGGCTGTGGAGAAGACTATGATGTCTCTCATACAGACATGAAAACTCCCTGGGAAGTCCCACTGCCTGGCCGGCATTAACGCCTAACCGGAGTGGCATTAAATTCTACATAAAAAATAGAGTCACATCTATTGAATTTAGAAAAAAATAAATCAATAAAAGTGTCCGAACCTGACCTGTGTCTAAAACATTTGTCTGGAAATGTCTTTTATTACTTAAGTAGTTCCAGTTAAAAAAATCAAACAGAGAGTAGAGTAAATCTAGAGTGACCCCAGTGTTGGCAAAATTTCAATCCACATGGAACCTGTCATAGGGACGCACTAGGTAGCAAATATGTGTGTGTGTGTTTGTGTGTTGCCTACCATCATGTTGACCGTGGATGATGTTCAGCGTCCCATCTGGGGCGCCGGCGTCCTGGAACATCTTGGCGAGAAGCATGGAGCAGGAAGGGACTCGCTCGGACGGCTTGAGCAGGTACGTGTTGCCGCACACCAGCCCCATGGGGAACATCCACAGAGGGATCATTGCGGGGAAGTTGAAAGGAGCAATCCCAGCACAGACCCCCAGAGGAAGGCGATAGGTGAACGTGTCCATGTCTTTGGTGATGGAAGGGAGAGTCTCACCCAGCATCAGAGAGGTGATGCTGCAGGCATGCTCCACTACCTCTGCGTGTGTTAATATAGAGACAGAACATAGAGCAGCTCTCTTATTTATTTGAACAATATTAATTCCGCTCAAAAAGCAAGTGAGCTGAAGGAATACGCTTTTGAGCACCCCCAGAAAGAGACAAAGACAGAGAAAGAAAGAAAAAGAGTGCGCGTGCGTGTGCGCGCGTGCGTGTGCGCGCGTGCGTGTGCGCGCGTGCGTGTGCGCGCATGCGTGTGTGGAAGTGATCTAAAGTTATTTTATTTCATTTTGTATATTCATCCAGCTCCTTCAATTCAAGTCAATGTATGTAATCAAATCTGTAGTCATGGTATGCATTTTTAATTTATTATTTTATTTATTCACCATTTTTATTTTTATTTTCTGTTACTCACGTTTGTTCTTTGCAAAGTTCTTATGTTTTTATTTTGCTGCTTTTAAGAGTAGATAAGAGAATCTTTTATGTCCCACAGTGCATATACAGGACAATATTAAGAGCACACAGGGATCCCACAAAATAGTGTAAAGTAGATACAATTATTTTGAGTGGACATTGTGAAGTTGCAGTATTGCACATGATTACAGCAATTACTTATTTACAGATGATCGATGACATGTACAGGCTCAGGAAGCAGTCACTGAAGCTACTCTCCAGAGCAGACAGAGTGTCCTGCAGGGGGTGTCATTCATGGTCCACATAGATGTTAGTTTGTTTGTTTGTTTTCTACCCTGATTTTCATGTTTGTATGTAGCTTTTAATAAATGTTGCACTGAGTTTGTTGATGGCTGTAACATCAATCTGCCCTGGGACTACAGATGGAAAATAACCTTCATGGCTAAATCTGGCATATTTACACGGACAAATAAACAGATAAATAAGTATTTGTATATTGCCCTAAATCACAACAGCAGCCAACCATAGAGTCTTTCGAGCTCCCTGTACCGACTTGAAATCCTCCTCCCATCTGGTGAGGGCGAGGCTAGTAATACATCTCGGGGCTAGTAAATAATCTTGTAATAGATATAGTCTTGTCAAAAAGAGACTGCATTAGATCATGTTCAGTGATTCTGCTCCAAAGTAGGACAGACAAACCTTCTCTCATCGTAAATGTTCATTGTAAAACAGAGCAAATATTTTTTACATTGATCATAAATACAATATGAATTACCAGTCATTTCCTCTCAGACTTTTTATTTTTACTATGGGATATTACAATATTTAATCCTGTGATTCATGTGTCGATTTAAAATAAAAAAAATAAAAAAAAGTTTTGGTAAAGTGGTCAATCAAAGAATGATTTGAGAAGTGAGGTTTCTTGAATCGGTTACTTTGTAAATCACCAAAGACGAATGATAAAGTTGTTTCAAGAGAAGTTCGGAATTACATTGTTACAACGTAGACAGCAGGGCGACAGTAGCTCAGTTGGTAGAGCATTGGCCTTAAGGCCAGAAGGTCGTGGGTTCATTTCCCACCTCTGCACCTTCTCCACCGACTCCCACTGATGACTGTCGTTGTGTCCTTGGGCAAGACACTTAACCCCACTTTGCCCAAAGCCCCCACCGAAAGATCAAGGCTATGCTCACACTCAAAGAGCAGCCGTCCTCCTGTGGACTCACCACCTGCAGAGGGTCAGTGAGGGGCTGGTGCTATGAGACTTGGGTGGCATCTCTGATTGCCACCCCCCTGACCCAGAAATGGATTAAAGGGTAGAAAATGGATGGATGGATGGACAACGTAGACAGCACAGACTTACGTAATCCTCTGAAGACATCGCCCTCTGCATCTGCCAGAGTCTTCCCCTGCTCATACGTGATGCTTTTGGCCAACTCTTTCTGAAATTATACCAATTATTACAAGCGTTAAAGCTGGGGTACTTAACTTTTTCTTCATAATAAAACATTTAGTTTGTACCAACAGGATTAATTAGGTAAAAAATGTTGTGATCTTATTCATTAATAATTGGAAAACAATGTATATTTGCAAATCTAGTCAAGTGAGTCCATGGAGAAACTAATTATGCTTTGGGCAGTCCTCACTTTACTGCCGTTTATGTCACACTGACCATTTTAGGCTTAAAAAACGGTTTGGCGCTCTCTTTGATCTGTGTTTGTATGTTAATATTGTTTTGTATTGTTTATGAACCATAAAAGGCTCAACCAATCAGCTGCCTCAAATTGCATCTGCTTCCCTTAGCAGCCCTCTTGGCTACACATCTGCTTCTGTTACTATACGCAAAGCTAATATTGCGTAAGAAATGCCCACTAAAGGAAATTGGCTTGGAATTGGCTAGCTTATGTTCAAATCAGCTTCTTCCACATTTGGCTAACACTTTGGTGACATCACTCTCTGTCAGTCCACTGCTAATATACAGTCTATGTGTATGTTCCACCTTTACTACTGTGACATAAATTACATACAGTACTTATTTGTTGTTTGTATACTATATGTATTTCTTCTGTTGGACACCTGAATTTCTCATATCGAGGATCAATAAAGTATCTTTCTATCGGTCTATCTATCTATGTCTGTGATCTTTTGACTCACTGTGTTGTCTTTGATGAGTTGCTGGTATCGCAGAAACACTTGTTGTCTCGCCAAGATGGAGGTTTCGGACCATGTGTGGAACGCTCTGGAGCAGGAGTCCACAGCTGCGACCATCTCCTCCTGTGTGGCTTTAGGCACACGGGCGATCACCTCATTAGTGGCCTGAGGTTAAAAAACATATCTATATAAACATCCAAAGAGTCCACACACCATAAAACATGTTTAAGTATAATAAAGAAGCAACTATGAAAAACAATGCATAATCTACTTTAAGAAATATATAGTTGCATGTATACATCTGTACATGTTTGCAGCATTAGGGTCCGGGACAAAGGGACTAAGTAAAGTGACAGCGGACACATGTAGTAATTAGTAGTAGTAGTAGTAAGTAATTTTTATTTATATACCACCTTTTCACTGCAGATCTGAGTCTCAAAGCGGTTTACAATTGTTTGGTTTTTTTTTTGGGCATTTGTCTCTCACTCCACACAGAGATGGAAGCGAAGTCGCCAGTACAGGAGGCATATGCCAGACCTATTGTACATATTTTTAGTGGTAGGGGAAACCGGAGTACCCGGAGGAAACCTAAGCAGACACGGGGAGAACATGCAAACTCCACTCAGAAAGGCCCTAGTCCGACCGGGATTTGAACCCAGGACCTTCTTGCTGAGAGGCGAGAGTGCTATCCACTCAGCCACCATGCCGCCCATGTCTTACCGGGTTGTGAATATCCAGCCATTCGGAAGTCTTGGAGTCGATGAACTTTCCATCAATGAAAAGCTTAATGGTTGGCTGTAGAATAGGGAAAAGACAATTAGTTAAAGATGTCTATACTGGCAGAGCTGAAGTTGGCTGAATGACACTGTGATAGTGTGTCTACTTTGGTTTATCATCTGTGTTGTAAATATAATCCTATTGCTAAACTGCATTTTGAACTTCCATCCATCCATTTTCTTCCGTTTTATCCGTTGCCGGGTCGCGGGGGCAGCAGTCTAAGCAGAGACGCCCAGACTTCCCTATCCACACACACTTCCTCCAGCTCGTCTGGGGGGACCCCAAGGCGTTCCAAGGCCAGCTGGGAGACATAGTCCCTCCAGCGTGTCCTAGGTCTTCCCCGGGGCCTCTTCCCAGTGGGCGGTGCCCACTGCACGTCCCACCGCATTTTGAACTTAATCAACATTAATGAACATGGGTCATCTGGCCCTTATGGACCAATGGCTCTATGTGTTTTTTATCATTGAAATTCTTGGGTTTGAACCATTTGATTCCCTGATCTGTGTTGGCGAATCAACAGTTTTGTCAAGTCCTCCATGATAACTACTGTTGTGATTTAGGGCTATACAAAAATGCATTGTATTGAATCAAACTTCTTGTTAGATGTATTTGTAATGATAATAAAGTGGAATCTAATCTAATAAAGACAGTGGTTCTTAGTTTGGACACCCCTGCTCTGTGACATCACCTCAATTAGTCTTGATCTAAAAATACATGAATAATCCACTGGCCTTTTGTGGTCAAACAACTATTGACTATCTAATCAATTTGTCACACAGGCCTAAAACTTACTACTGAGGAGGAGGAATAACACATGCGTCCAGTTTTGAGTGAAATCTGTGAAACAAACACACAAACAAGTGGTTAGATTATGAAAGCATTGTGCAGGTCTAGTTTCAACCAGATGCAAGATTAATAATAAACCACGCCACTATGAACGGAGGGGGCAAAGTCAGCTTTTAAGAACAGACTAAGAATGCTTCTATTTGAGTAATTATGTCAATATGATAAAAGGTTCACTGTGCAGCTTTCCTGGTGCAGGGTTGTATATTTTCTTGTTTGTTTTTTTGACGAATAGATTATGCTTTAACCAACATTTCTGTAATTGCACCAGAATTATCCAAGTAGGCTATTGTTCAGGCAGTCCCTGTACATACTGTAATCTCCCTAAAGATAAAAATATTAAAAATAATAAAATGCAGTAAAATACAGAATAGGGGGAGAGACAAAAGACATACATCACACACTAAAAACACAGTTCACATACAACAAGAGATACTAACAAAGCAATCAGAAAACCAGAGATAGATACTAGCAGTGCTTAAACCTAGAGACAAATGGTTACATGTCGGTTGTGTTATGAATTCGTTTTTTCAGATTTATTTTGAATAGTTAGTATTTTGTAATTTCTCTAAAGTTTACAAGGATGGTGTTAACATTAGATAAACTTGTGATTATATATACATGATATTGTTATGCCCAGAATGATCCACAGTGTTTGGCATCGAAAACAAGGAATCAACATCCTTGTGCTAGCTTACAGGTCATATCTGTGGAGAGGAGAGTCATCCTAATGCAAGAGTTCAAGTTGTGAGCGACGAACAAATATAATCGAATAATGTATAAGGTTAATATTATACTGAGAAATATTCCAAGCAAAGTCATAACCAGATAGGTGCCCTGAGTCAGGGCTAAACATGAGGGAGGCAGTATTTCATATGTATGCAGCTAAAATCTGGAACCGACTTTCGGAAAATGTGAGATAGGCTTCTTCTGTGATAATGTTCAAATGCAGATTTAGCTGTGCATACAACTGAAGGATTGTAACTTCACTCTTATTAATGCACTGTGGTTATTCATGTATGCCATGTATGATTGTTTCTGTTTTATCACACATAGGAGAAATTTACATTTCATTTGGCATACATAGAATAATTCAGGGTGTGCAAACAATGTGCAAACAAAAATAGTACAACATGTCAAAAAGTGAAAAGATAGCCTCTTTTGTGCATGTATATAAAGTAAAACTAAACATGCTATACACATGAACTTGCCTTGCCATAGTAGAGGAGTTATGTGTCTAAAAAAATGCTTGCATGGAGTTAAACATTTTTAGATAAAGCCAGCAACTCATACAAACCTTGGGTGACCTTACCTTTGTTTTTAGCACTGTTCTCAAAGCACTGGAGGAGGCCATGGTGAAAATGATGTTAGTGTGAACTCCAGGTCCAGGTCCAGGTCCAGCAGGGCTACAGCAGCAGAGGGCAGCTTCACCATTCCCCAGTGCAGAATACTACTACATGTGGGCGGGCATATGACAAATCTGTGACGTTTGATTGGCTGAGCAAGATCACACCCACCAATACCAGACCGCGAAGGCATACACATGGCCCAGAGTCACGCCTTGTTTGTAAAACGCTCCTTGCTGCATCCAAGTTCATAAAGAATCCTCCCTTTTTCTCATCGCATTTGCTTTTTTATTGATTGTTATTTATTTGGACTTCTTTAATCTGCCTTTAATTAAGTTATATTAAAGAAAATGTTACGTTTATGTGATGTTTCAACATCGTTTGATGACATGAACCAACAAGGAAAGAGTTTACGAATTTGGATGCGACCTGGGTCTTGTGGAGGCTAGCAAGAAGCTCACTGACCAAACACGTAAAACTCAATTAATTTGATCTCACAGATATTCAAAATCACTGCAGATTTGCTAAAACCGTTCAGAGATACATCACCAGTGCTTTAGTGAACTTAAACAGAAAAGGCTACAACGTGATATAAGCAATGCGGTTCTCCCCTGTGCACCTAGCCAAGGTACAGCAGGCTACAGTTCACTTATCTTTGAAGGTGGGCTTTTTTACTACTTTTATTTCAACTGGAGAATAGTGGAAAAAGTATTTCAATTGTGGAAAACATTGTGGGCGGGAACCACTACACGCTGTGTTCATTTTACTTTATATCAACAAAATATAAACTTTTTTTTTTTTGCTTGGGGCACCTAAAGTTTCTATGTACCCATCTGGTTGTGGTGTTGGAATTTCTATGTTTAGATTTTATTTATTTATTTTATAACATTATCCATCCATCCATCCATTTTCTTCCGCTTCATCCGTTGCCGGGTCGCGGGGGCAGCAGTCTAAGCAGAGACGCCCAGACTTCCCTATCCACACACACCTCCTCCAGCTCGTCCGGGGGGACCCCAAGGCGTTCCCAGGCCAGCTGAGAGACATAGTCCCTCCAGCGTGTCCTGGGTCTTCCCCGGGGCCTCCTCCCGGTGGGACATGCCCGGAACACCTCCCCAGGGAGGCGTCCAGGAGGCATCCGGAACAGATGCCCGAGCCACCTCAACTGGTTCCTCTCGACGTGGAGTAGCAGCGGTTCTACTCCGAGCTCCTCCCGTGTGACTGAGCTCCTCACCCTATCTCTAAGGGAGCGCCCAGCCACTCTGCGGAGGAAGCTCATTTCGACCGCTTGTATCCGCGATCTTGTTCTTTCGGTCATTACCCAAAGTTCATGACCATAGGTGAGGGAGGGGACGAAGATTGACCGGTAAATTGAGAGCTTTGCCTTTCGGCTCAGCTCCCTCTTCACCACAACGGTCCGATACAGCGACCGCATCACTGCGCACGCTGCACCGATCCGCCTGTCAATCTCACGCTCCATCCTTCCCTCACTCGTGAACAAGACCCCGAGATACTTGAACTCCTCCACTTGAGGAAGGGCCTCTCCACCCACCCGGAGAGGGCAAGGCACCTTTTTCCGGTCGAGCACCATGGCCTCAGATTTGGAGGTGCTGATTCTCATCCCAGCCGCTTCACACTCGGCTGCAAACCGTCCCAGTGCATGTTGTAGGTCCTGGTTCGTTGGAGCCAACAGGACAACATCGTCTGCAAACAGCAGAGATGAAATCCTGTGGTCCCCGAACCGGACCCCCTCCGACCCTTGGCTGCGCCTAGAAATTCTGTCCATGAATACAGTGAACAGAACCGGTGACAAAGGGCAGCCCTGGCGGAGGCCAACATGCACCGGGAACAGGTCTGACTTACTGCCGGCAATGCGCACGCAGCTCTGGCTCCGGTCATACAGGGACCGGACGGCCCTCAGCAGAGGACCCCGGACCCCGTACTCACGGAGGACCCCCCAAAGGACACCCCGGGGAACACGGTCGAACGCCTTCTCCAAATCCACAAAGCACATGTGGACAGGTTGGGCGAACTCCCATGAACCCTCGAGTATCCGATGGAGAGTGCAGAGCTGGTCCAGTGTTCCACGGCCGGGACGAAAACCACACTGCTCCTCCTGAATCCGAGATTCGACCATCGGCCGTAACCTCCTCTCCAGTACCTTGGAGTAAACCTTATCAGGGAGGCTGAGGAGTGTGATCCCACGATAATTGGAACACACCCTCCGGTCCCCCTTCTTGTAGAGAGGGACCACCACCCCGGTCTGCCACTCCATTGGCACCGCCCCCGATCGCCACGCGATGTTGCAGAGACGTGTCAGCCAAGACAGTCCTACAACATCCAGAGACTTTAGATAGTCAGGACGGATCTCATCCACTCCCGGCGCCTTGCCACCAAGGAGGCTGCCAACCACCTTGGTGACCTCTGCCAGGGTGACAGAAGTATCCGCCCCAACATCCTCAGCCTCTCCCTCTGAAACAGAGGACGTGACGGGGGGATTGAGGAGAACCTCAAAGTATTCCTTCCACCGTCCGACAATATCCCCGGTCGAGGTCAGCAGCTCACCCCCCGCACCGTACACGGTGTTGGCAAAGAACTGCTTCCCCCTCCTGAGGCGCCGGACAGTTTGCCAGAATCTCTTCGAGGCCGACCGATAGTCATGCTCCATGGACTCTCCGAATTCCTCCCAGTCCCGGGTTTTTGCCTCTGCAACAGCCCGGGCCGCGGCACGCTTGGCCTGCCGGTACTGGACAGCTGCCTCAGGAGTCCCCCGAACCATCATGGCTCGATAGGACTCCTTCTTCTCAGCCTGACGGCATCCCTTACTGCCGGTGTCCACCACCGGGTTCGGGGGTTGCCGCCGGGACCAGCACCAGAGACCTTGCGACCACAGCTACGAGCCGCCGCATCGGCGATAGAGGAAGAGAACATGGTCCACTCAGACTCAATATCCCCCTCCTCCGCCGGGACCTGGGAGAAGCTCTCCCGGAGGTGTGAGTTGAAAGTCCGTCTGACAGGGGTCTCAGCGAGACGTTCCCAGCAGACCCTCACTACACGCTTGGGTCTGCCAGGTCTGACCGGCTTCTTCCCCTGCCAGCGGATCCAACTCACGACCAGGTGGTGATCGGTTGACAGCTCCGCCCCTCTCTTTACCCGAGTGTCCGAAACACGCGGCCGAAGGTCAGATGATACGACAACAAAGTCGATCATCGACCTCCGGCCTAGGGTGTCCTGGTGCCACGTGCACTGGTGGACACCCTTGTCTCAAACATGGTGTTCGTGATGGACAAACCGTGACTAGCACAGAAGTCCAACAACTGAACACCACTCGGGTTCAGATCAGGGGGGCCATTCTTCCCGATCACCCCTCTCCAAGTGTCACTGGCGCTTCCCACATGGGCGTTAAAGTCCCCCAGGAGAATGACGGAGTCCCCGGGCGGTGCACCGTCCAGTACCCCTCCCAAGGACTCCAAGAAGGCCGAGTACTCTGCACTGCTGTTAGGCCCGTAGGCCGTCACAACAATGAGAGACTTGTCCCCCACCCGAAGGCGGAGGGACGCGACCCTCTCATTCACCGGGGAGAACTCCAACACGTGGCGGCTGAGATGGGGGGCAATGAGTATGGCCACCCCAGCTCGCCGCCTCTCCCCGCGAGAACCACCAGAAAAGTGGAGCGTCAAACCCCTCTCAAGGAGTTGGGTTCCAGAGCCCAAGCTGTGTGTGGAGGTGAGGCCGACTATCTCTAGTCGGTAACTCTCGACCTCCCCCACAAGCTCGGGCTCCTTCCCCCCCAGTGAGGTGACGTTCCACGTCCCAAGAGCCAGATGTTGGGTGTGCGGACTGGGTCGCCGAGGTCTCCGCCTTCGACTGCTGCCCAGTCCTCTCTGCACCGCTTCGCCACCACGGACCCCTCTGCGGGTGGTGGGCCCACAGGAAGGACTGCCCACGTCGTCCTTTCGGGCTGAGCCCGGCCGGGCCCCGTGGGCTAAGGCCCGGCCACCAGGCGCTCGCATTCGAGCCCCGACCCCAGGCCTGGCTCCAGGATGGGGCCCCGGCTGCGCCATGCCGGGCGACGTCACGGTTCTTCTTTTCGTGCTGTCCATGTTGGCTTCTGACTGCTCTTTGTCTGACTCGTCACCTGAGACCTGTCTGCCATGGGAGACCCTACCAGGGGCATGAAGCCCCAGACAGCATAGCTCCCAGGATCATCCGAGTACTCAAACTCCCCCACCACGTTAAGGTGGGAGTCCAGGGGGGATTTATAACATTATGCATTTTATATACGTTGTAAATCAAGATTAATTGACAATAAATCTGAATAATTCCAAAATAATAAATAAAAGTATTCTCAGTATTTGGAATACAGGTACTACGTTTTCCAAAGTAACGGAATACTATACAAAATACATCTTAGGTCACATATTCAGTATTCTGGAACTAAATACATTTTCAAAGTATTCTACCTCACACTGCTGGTGAGTGAGCTGGTGTCTCGAATTTATTTCCACTCGTTTCTGCTGTTTTAAAATCAGGTACCCCAGCTTTAAACCCCATGCTTTTTGGGCGGCACGGTGGCTGAGTGGATAGCACTCTCGCCTCTCAGCAAGAAGGTCCTGGGTTCGAATCCCGGTCGGACCAGGGCCTTTCTGAGTGGAGTTTGCATGTTCTCCCCGTGTCTGCGTAGGTTTCCTCCGGGTACTCCGGTTTCCCCTACCACTAAAAATATGTCCAATAGTTCTAGCATGCGCCTCCTGTACTGGCGACCCCGCTCCCATCTCTATGTGGAGTGAGAGACTAATGCACAAAAAATTAACAATTGTAAACCGCTTTGAGACTCAGATCTGCAGTGAAAAGGCGGTATATAAATAAATACTTACTTACTTACTTACTTACTTACATGCTGTAGTAGCCTGCTGGTCTAATGGGGCCCAGATGTCAAAGATGCTGAGTCATGCACCAAAGAGTAGATGGAGGAGGGATTCTTAAAGCACATCTCATTGGCTGCTGCAGAGTAAAAGCAGGCAACTCTGAAAGAAACATTCTGTCATTGTGCAAAGTGATTTAAAATGGCAACTTCAACCAAGGTTCCCCATTTTTTCCCAATTCAGTTTGATTTGGGCAATGTTAATCTTATCTACTTGTATTTTATTGTGTTTTAGCCTGTTCTTCATGGATACTTCAGAAGTTCTTGCTCCTGGAGGGTCCGGATTGGTAAGTCAAACCGTTTTGCATTGACTCAGACTTTTAGGAGCACAGGGACTGACCTCCTGTTGGTGCCCAGAGTCAGGACTGAACATGGGGGGCAGTGTTTCAGATTTATGTTGGTGAAATCTGGAACAACAGGCACATTTTTAGCTGTGCATAGGATTGTATCGTCACTCTTCTCAATGCACTGTGATCATTTATTATTTTAATGTCTTGTTTTGCTATCCTCGGTTCCAAATGATATGCATAAATAACATAAATTAGGGTATTAAAAATGTCTAGGAGATCCAGGGCTAGTCAACAAAAAAATATGGTCAATTTGACCCGTGGATAGCACACATTTTATGCACTAGGAGTTGCCTTATGTATGAACTGTTACTTTTTTAAACTACAGCATTTGCACTAAAAGGCCTTGAGTATGAGCAGGTTCCTGTAAATCTGATCAAGGATGGAGGTCAGCAGGTAGGACTAGCATACTCCTCCTATACGTTTTTAAATACATCATAATGCTTACAACTTTTATTTCAAAGCATTCACAGCATTACCAAGAACTAAACCCAATGCAACAAGTCCCTGCAGTTGAAATTGATGGCATGATAATATCTCAATCCGTAAGTTGTATACAAAAGCTTCTCCTGTTGCATTGCGATAAGGATTTTTGAGATTACCAAAACTTTCTTGCTTTATTCCCAGTTGGCAATTATTCAGTACATGGACGAGACCAGACCAGGGCCACGGCTTCTCCCTGCAGATCCCAAGAAACGCGCCCATGTTCGGATGATAAGCGATGTTATTGCCTCTGGGATACAGCCTCTACAGGTATAAATAGCCCACATTAGCTCACAGTGACAAATAGGCTAAACAAAACCAACTGGAAAAACAAACAGAAGTCAATGCATCACCAGAGAACTGAAAACATGCGAGTTCTAATAGTATCACTTGTTTGTTGCTTTCAGAATCTGTCTGTTTTACAAAAAATAGGAGCCGAGAAGGTTCAGTGGGCACAGCATTTCATCAACCGAGGGTTTGAAGGTGAGAATTATAACTCCACAAAAGCATTTCTAATTATCTATAACATTTACCTTTTTATTTTTTTCAGCCCTGGAACCTATTCTGAAAGAAACAGCAGGGAAATACTGTGTTGGAGATGAGGCAAGTTAAATCTTAAACTTATTATTAAAATTAGAATATCGTTCAAAAGTTTGTTGTTAATTTTATAATTTAACTTACAATGTGAAGCTATTCTATGAAAGACTTATTCCATGCAAAGTGAGATACATCAAACATATATTTCTTATGTTGATATTTGTCTCACAGTCAAAATCAAATCATTTGAATATTTGGAAACCAGACATAAAGCCATAATCCTCAAATTTACAAAAAATGCCTGGTTAATGCCATTTTGCAGGTAATGAGTCTATATCAGGCATGTACAAACTAAGGCCCACGGGTCAGTTTTGGCCCTCTGTGCGCTGTCATGTGGCCTGTCTTGCTAACACAAAGTAACCATCCAGCCAACTTCAGCTCTGCCTACATCAACATTTCATACCTCGTTGTAAAGGATCGCTGGGTTTGTTGACTTTATTTTCTTTGATTTAAATATAATATTCAATTACATTTATTTCTGTATAGGCCTAAATCACAACAGTAGTCAGGACTATTCGACGATTCGCCAACACAGTGGGAGAAAATTAGCCATAAAAGCTAGACTAAACATTAATGTGATGGCAGTTTTGGAACAGGTGGGTTTTGAGCAGTGATTTGAAGTCCTGAAGTTAGTTCCTGATGTGTTGTGGGAGAGTTGTAGCTGCACTGAAGGCTCACTCCCCCCAGGGTTCAGCCCTTTGTTCTGATGGGAGTGAGGATGTTGGAGGTGGCAGATAAGAGGCGGCGAGAGCGACAAGGCTGATGGAGGAGGTCGGTGAGATATGAGGGGGCCAGGTTATGAAGGGGCTTGTAGGTGACGAGGAGGACGTTATAATGTAGGTTGGAGGCAGTGGAGTTGCTTGAGGATGGGGGTGATGTGGTCTCTGGAGCGGGTATGGCGCCAATGTAGGTGGTGAGTGATTTGTCATTCAGCCAGCTTCAGCTTTTGTCAAATATGAACAATATAATTTTACAGCTCTAAATCCAGTCCATCCGTGTTACTCAAAAAGGTATGGACACCCCCTATGGGTCAATTTACAGACATCAATAGACTTTAGAACGATATTCTGATTTTCAAAGTTTCAACTGTATATAATAATAAGGAACATGTTGTGATGTTCCAGATTTCCATGGCTGACATCTGTCTAGTCCCCCAGGTTTACAACGCTGAGAGGTAGTCAAAACCTTCATCATTATTCCAAGTGCAGAGTTGATTCCCTGATGTGTCTTTGCTCATGTAGGTTTAAAGTGGATGTGGAACTGTACCCAACCATCAAAAGACTGAATGAGACTTTGATAGAGATTGAAGCTTTCAGAACGAGTCACCCGTCGTGTCAGCCGGATACTCCTGAGGATCTACGTCAACCTTAACGCTCGGATTCCCAGAATTCTGAAACTACAAGAACTCACTTAAACTGGACAGAGTCTGGCTCACTTTGAGTGTTGTCCTCTTTGTGAACCAGACTGGGTTCAGTTACAGTGAACCAGATCACAAGACTGAATGCATCCTTAGTTACTTTACTTGTATTACTTCATCTGTAACCGACTGATGTTTTGTTTTATGTTGAGAGACAAGTTACAAGAGCTCCTATGACTGTAGTTAAATACAGATGTTTCCTGTGCATTAAAGTAAAGAAATCACGATCACACTTTTTGCTTCCAGAATGTTCATTACAGCAGGAATGATCAAGGACCCACAACATTCTACAATTCATGTTTTTTATGTTTGAACCGTTTGATTCTCTGATCTGTGTTGGCAATTTCAATTGTTTTTGATTAGACCTCAGATAACTACAGTTTAGGGCTATACAAGAATAATTTGAATCGTTACTTATTTTTGCATCTGATTTTATTCCAACACATTTTTTGCAATATTGTTTGTGAGCCTTTATATTATAAAAAGCCAAAAACCATTTGGCTTCTAAATCACAACAGCAGTTGGCTGGGAGGACTTTCCAACGTGGTCTGATTCTTCAACAACAGATCAGAGAATCAAACCGTTGCAACACAGGAAATTCAGTAACAAATTTGTACATAATAAATCCTGCATTTAACATGTTGCACATTTCTTTCTTTGCACAATCTTGAGTGATTCTATCCATGCCAGATGTGACATGTACATTTCTTGTGAGATCAATAAAGATCTTATCTTAAACACATTAGTGCTTTTTTTTTTAGCTTGTCTTATTTTCATTTCATTTCATTTCATTTTATTTATTAGGCAGGAAAGATTTAAAACAAAATCGGGCCTGGCTCAGTACAAACTGATTTTCAGCAGGTTCCTGCTCTGCAGAACACACAAACACAGCATTAACATCACCACTCGACACAAAACATACTGTCACACATAAAAGAAGGAACACACTGGTGTGAGGCTATAGTGTCCGTCACTAGTGGTCACAACGATAGCTGTCCGTCAGATGTTTCAGCATAGTCTTTTTAAAAGGTCCAGGTGACTGTATGGTTCTTATGGTGAGGCGGATCTTGTTCCAGGCCCTGGTGAGCTCACAGAAGAATGAATTTTGTCCGTAGGTGTTCCTGTGGTGAGGTATGGGTAAGATTTGGTTTGTGGTGGATCTGGTTGAACGCTCGGATCGAGAGCTGGGTCTTGGAACCAGAACAGACAGTGAGGCCGATGGGCAGTTGTTGAGCAGGTTTTTGAATATATTTGTCTAGTGCACATTGGAATACAATTGCAAAAGTCTCCCAATGTGGTTTTACTGCAAATGGCAAATAATATGTATCTGACATAGGAGCCATTGGTCCATAGATAGTGGGATGACCACTGCCCTCACATTCCTAAAAGGTCCCAGTGAAATAGTTTCACTGCAACTCTTTCATTTTTGTCTGCTTGACTTTACTTAGTTATGAATAAACCACACAATTCAGCGTCTGAGCCTCAACAAAAAAGCTTATTAATACATATTTATTTGGCACTTATGAAAATACATGCATACAATAAATCTTCATTAATTGAATTTAAAAAAAAAAATTTTAAAAAGGTCAGTAATTAATCACCGATGTCCACAATGCACTTTGCAGAATCGTTGTAAAATGTCCCATCACAGTCAGAGCCGCCGAACACCAGGAGGGTTCTCTCTCCTGGTTTCTCTTCGCCCACGACAACAACACTGTGTCCGGCCCGAGGCACAGACGAGAGCAGAGGGGACACCACTGCAGTCCACATCCTGGTGTCTGAGCAAAGACAAGTCACACAAATACATTCAAGTCTTTTGCAAACAAAAATAGAAACAAAATGGTCACTTTAGGTTTTCCATTACTATTTAACAGCTAATTAAGTGCTAATTAGAGCATAATTCATGATTTAATAGCTCTTTGGCATTGCTATTCATCAACATTAGAACTCCCATAGCAGTCAATTTTACGGGTTTTAGTTTGGAAGCCGAACTAGAAGTCCCTCATCCTTATGAACATTCTTGGTCTAAATAACTTTTTCTGTATCTAGGTACTTGATTTCTATGTATTTTTAAATGAGATTGCATAACTTAATGAAGCTAGTAGAAAACTAAAAGTGTTCCATTGGTTTGAATAGGAGCAGTCACAATAACTGCCAAGTACTTATTTGTTCTTATTCTACATGGCCTTAGTCAACATCTAACGAACTACAAACTGACACTTTCCAATGTGGGTTAGGGTAAGGCCGGGTACACCGAATAGCACTTAATCAGCTGTAAATTAGTGATGGTTAATTTAGAGTGAAAGTAAACTTGCCCATATTAAAGATGTGGACGTCCTGGAGAGCACCAACAGCACTGCATCCACCACTCACTAGGATTCTATTGTCTGAAAGAGGAACAGCTGCATGGTACCTGTGCATGGAGGAAAAACATGTTATTGTTTTAGTCTTTCGCAGCACATTCTGAGAAACCTTCCCCATCACTGGCAAAACCTGCAAAGTCTCTCTCACCGTCTCCGTCCCTCTCTCTCTCTCTCTCTCTCCCATCCCCGTCTCTCATGTTCATATGGTACTAACACAGCATCTGAGCCTCTAACCTGATTTCTTTGGTATTGTCTGCTTCTTTCCTGTCTTTTATCATGTCTATGGACCATTTGAGTTTGAGACAAAGCTCAATAATACACCATAGGTTTCACATTGTAAAGTTCCTTGACCTTACCCCCGAGGCAGTGGAGCCATATTTGCACTCTTCACAGCTGTGTACTCCATCAAGCCTTCAAAAAAATACAGTTTTTGCTAATTGGCAGACAGACAAATACAGCGTCTAAAATGAGTCCAACCTAAATCCAGAATATGAAGATCATTCAGATATGTAGAAGTTTTACGGCCGCCAAAAATGACAAGTTTCTGGGAGAGGAAAGTGGCTGAATGTCTGTAAATTTAGGACAATTTTACTCATGTGTTTGAATGTTATTTGTATGTGTTGAACGTGGTACAGACCCAAATCGTGGTAGCGGTTTGTCTCCCTCCACGATGGGCTGGTACCAGAGGCCAAACTCTGGGTTGAATATGTACAGAGCGTTACTGCAGTTTCTTTCTCCAGAGGAAGAGCTCGGCTTCACTCCACCAAAGACGAAAAGTTCCCTCTTGTAAAATGCAGCTGAATGATACGCCAATGTCGGAACATTTCCCTGGGTCTGAAAAACAAGGACAATTATGAGTGAATTTATTTGATCATACAACGCACAATAAATATAAGTCTTATATACAAGGAAATATTCCAAGTTCCAGGTTTTAGCAAAAGCAGTAAGTAGCACACAAACACAATTGTGTATAGACTATAGTTTTGAAAAACTTCTATTGATAACTACTACATAGAGACTCAAAAAGTAGTCCCTGACGTAAAACTCTTTGAAACACAAGATTAGACAGTAGAGGCTTAAGTTGCCGTGGTGTCTCTCTGGCTCTCCCCGCTGTGTGGGAGGTGAGTGCTACAGCAGAGACTTGAGGAGTGGAGGAGATTGGAGGATGTAGTGCCCCTTGACAGTCTGGAGAATTGGACAGAGAGAGAGGTGGATGGAGTTCTTAGATCCATCTATGCTAATATTAGATAATTATGGCACAAACATGTAACTCTGGCCCTTCTGTCTAAAGCCCATGTCTCAGTCCTGCAATGATATGCTGTTACTACGACACCATCCATTTGTTTTGGCAATTACAAATATATATATTCGTTTATTCTTCGGCCATCAGCAGAAAATAAGAAAACATTTGACATACACAAATTATATACTGACCGAAAGGGTTAGGCTGAAGTTTAACACTTATTTCGCCTAACCCTATTAACAAATAACAAAATTACATTTCTTACTTATACAAATGTAACAAAATTATATACAATGTAGCGGATCCACAGAGCTTACAGTATTTCCAAATACAATTTTCATTGTAAGAAAATAAATAGTTCGTACTAATTCAAAGAAATATTCCTTGTAATCACATTATATACATAAACACAGAATATGACTAATATATATATATATATATATGTTTATTTATTTTTTATTATTATTATTTATTTATTTTAATTTTCTTCCTTTTATGTATATAATATATATATCTACACATGCATTTACATACACATACACACATTCATACATATACATATATATATGCATACACACACATACAGACATACACCTATACCTGTACCTGCATACACATTCACATATGCAGTGCACACATAACATATCTATACACATACACAATTTACACAGATATGTTTATTATTATTATTATTATTATTATTTTATGTTTATATATATATATATATATATATATATATATATATATATATATATATATATATTTTAATATTGATAATATTTTTACATGTACAATATATGTGTTATTATATTTATCATCATTACCATTATTATTATCATTATCACCACCATTACTACCACCATCATCATTGTTATTATTATTATTATTATTCTAGTGATTTATACTTTTCTTCAACAATAGCCTTAAAGCGCTTTTTAAATGTGTGAATTGAGGTGGAACATTTGAGTGGCTCATCCAGGCCATTCCAAAGATGAACCCCCCTGACAGAGATGCATCTACTTTTTAAACTGGTTCTCACATTTGTTTTCTTAAAGACATACACACCTCTTAATTCATAAGGACTCTCTCTAGTTTTGAACCTCTCCTGTATGCGCTGAGGGAGTAGGTGGTTATGGGCTTTGTACTTTAAAATCGCAGTGTTTAGGTCAACAAGGTCATGAAATTTTAACATTTTTAATTTGATGAAGAGGGCGTTTGTAGGAGCATAAAAATCTGCATAATTAACTATTCTGACAGCCTTCTTTTGGAGCAGAACAACTGATTGGACGTTGGATTTGAAATTGTTTCCCCATATTTCGCCACAATAATTGAGATATGGAAGTATGAAAGAGCTGTACAACATTTTAAGTGCATTTTGGTTTACAGAGTATTTTACTTTGTGCAACATTGCTATAATTTTTGACAACTTTGTTTTCATTACATTTATGTGTAGCTTCCAATTAATTTTCTCATCGATATGATTTCCTAAAAACTTTGTTGTGTGTACTCTTTCTATTTCCCTATCGCCAATTTTTATGTGACATTGAGTGTTCATTTTCTTATTTCCAAAAATCATATACTTAGTTTTATTCAAATGTATTGATAGCTTATTATCATCAAACCATTCTTTTAGTTGGGAAAGTTCCGACTCTACAGTTTTTAAGAGCTGTCCAAGATCTTGCCCAGAACAGTACAAGCTCGTATCATCAGCAAACATAATGCAGTTTAGTTTTTTTAAAACTTCGCAGATATCATTTATATACATTATAAACAGTTTGGGTCCCAGTACAGAGCCTTGAGGAACTCCATGAGTTATGTTCATTTTATCAGAATTTACGTTGTTTATATGGACGTACTGTTCTCTGCCACCAAGATAACTTCTCAACCAATCATGTGCAACACCTCTGACACCATATCTCTCCATTTTCTTTCAAAGTAATGTGTGGTCTATGGTATCAAAGGCCTTGCTAAGGTCAATGAAAACACCAACCATAAATTGCTCTTTATCAATTGCGGTTGATACCTCCTCCACCAGTTCCATCACTGCCATAGAGGTGGACCGGTTTGATCTGAAGCCATATTGCTGCTCGCAAAGTAAATGGTGATTATCAATGAAGGAATCCAGTCTGGTTACAAAGATTTTTTCTAGAATTTTTGAGAATTGTGGCAGTAATGATATTGGCCTATAGTTTGTACACAGATGTTCATCTCCACTCTTAAAGATGGGTATGACTTTTGCGGTCTTCATTTTATATGGGAAGACACCTTTGAGAAAAGAAAGATTACAAACATAAGTGAAGGGAACAACTATATATTTAACAATTTCCTTGACCATACACATGTCTATATCCAAACAATCCGTTGACTTTTTATTTTTGAAGGAATTTACTATTTCAATTATTTCATACTCTTGTACTGGGGTAATGAAAAATGATTGTAGATTATTTTGAATAGGTTGCTCACTATTCACTATTGTTTTACTTTTATGAGCAATTTCATTCACTAGCGTGGGTCCAACATTCACAAAGAAATAGTTAAATAAATTAGCTATTTCCTTTGTATTATTTATTGTTTGGTCCTTGTCCAAAAAATATATTGGATATTCCTTCTTTTTAATTTGATAATACTATTTAATACTTTCCATGTTCTTTGTACATTATTTTTATGTTGATCTAATAGGTTACAAAAGTATGTTCTTTTGCTGCATTTTATAATTTTAACTAGCTTGTTTTTGTATGTTTTATATCTCTGTTCATCATCTTTGGTTCTGCTTTTTATAAATTTTCTATAGAGACAATTTTTCTTCTTACATGATTTTAATATTCCTCTTGTAATCCACGGTTTACCTTCTCTAGTTGTTTGCTTTATATACAATTTCCTAATTGGACAGTGCTTTTCATATAATTTTAACAGGGTATTAATAAAGGCTTCATATGCCTCATCTGGGTCTGGTGAGTCTTGGACCACACTCCAGTCCTGAGCACATAAATCAGCCTTAAATGCTGCCATGGCCTCTGGTGTCCGATCTCTGATGTATTTATACTGTGCCACTTTTTTGTTATCTTCCTTTTCAAAAAAGTGCTTAAAGATGCTGAAGATGGGTAGATGATCGCTTATGTCGTTAAGAAGTAACCCTGCAGTTATTTCATTTCCCAGCATCTGATTGGTGAAAACATTATCTATCAATGTGGCAAAGTTTGTCGTTATTCTAGTTGGTTTTGTGATGAGAGGGAAGAAGTTGTTACTATACATCTCTGTAAGGAAGTCAGTTGTTTTTGTATTTTCAAGGGGGTTCAAGAGATTAATATTAAAATCCCCACACACAACATGGAGTTTGTTTATCTTATTAAACAGATGGTCAATATTTTGGTTAAAAGTATCCAGACATGATCCAGGCGTTCTGTACACACAGCTAACATTCATCTTTTTATTCTTTATGAACTCAATTTCTACAGTTAAACATTCTAGGACTCCATCAATGGTGGTTGATTTACTATTAATCTTAATACATTTTAAATCTCTATTCACAAACAATGCTACCCCCCCTCCCTTTTTACCAATTCTATTTGTAGTAAATAATTTGTATCCTTCCAGTTCAATTTCAGAGCACTTATCATCATCTCGCCAAGTCTCTGAAACTGCAATGACACTGAAAATTTTGAACTGGTCCAAATATTCCTTAATATGATCATAATTCTTAAATAAACTTCGACTATTAAAATGTATTATGGTAAATGCGCCATCTGTATTCACACACTTAAATTGATCATCTGTATAATATTCACAATCACTAACTATATTATAGAGATGACTATCTGGATCTATGTCACTACCGAATTCATTCGTTCTATAGCTATTGGTGTTCTCTTGCATACACAACTGGATACTATTTAGCGTTTTATGCAGTTCACAATTCACACCGGCCATATCATGGTTTTCTTGATTTAATAATGTACTACGTGATTCACTTTCATTTGTCATCATGGTTTAAGTCGAATTTTTGTCCCTTTTTCTTCCCTCTCTCTTGCGCACGCACACACCCACACACACACACACACACACACACACACACACACACACACACACACACACACACACACACACACACACACACACACACACACACACACACACAAATAGTAATGACAATATCAGCAATAATAATACAAAACAAAAAAACTTAAATATAGTATTCTTATTATACTTGTTATAGTCCTCAGTGCTAGGCATCTATATGCCATAATTGTCCATGAAGCAAGAAAAAAATAATTTCAACATGTCAAAAAAGACTCCTTGGCTCCTCAAAAAATAAAACAAAACAAAAACATTCCTAGCTGAGAAATACATTATTTGATTATTTGAACTTCTCAAGGTCTCCAAGTTCTCTTACCAGTATAACTTTTGCAGTCTCCGGTGAAGATCCATTCAGTTGAATGAATACTTTGCAGTTTCTGGTCCACGTTGCTCTTATCTTGTTGTTTTTCTTCAGAAACCGTGCTTCACGTGCAATATCAGACGTCTTCTTGGTCAGGTGCTCATTTAGGTATACATTGGATCCGTTCAACTTTCTTCCTTGTCTCAGTAGCTCGGTTTTGTGTTTCCTGTTAACAAAGCGCATAATGATTGCAGGCTTTGTTTTATCCCTGCGTGGCAGTGTATGACATGCAGAAATGTTGTTCGCATCCAAATGTATATCTTTGTCTCTTAGGAATTGCACAACTTGGTCCTCCAAAGTTTGCATATCTTCTCTTTCTGCGTTCTCGTCAACATTCCTCCCTGTCGCAGTTGCCCTCGCATACGAGCGCGGTTTGATGTCCAGGCCCGAGATGATTACGTCTTCAATCCTAGTGTACTGTTCCAGGTTCTCAACTCTCTTTTCGAGCTCTATTATGGTCTTATCTTTCTCTCGGATTGTCGCTTTCAGCTGCTTCACTTCCTCCACAAGCTCCGTTAGCTTCTCGAGTTGCCGGGTAACGCTAGCCAGATAAAGGTCGGCTTGCCTCCTTTGAAAAAATCCACCGCTGTCCTGGACTCAGACTACAGAGAAGCTCCTCCCACGGGTTTCAGCGCGTCAACTCGCGTCAAAAGCTTCATCGACCAAAATGACAAAACTATCCGGCGATCTGTTGAATGCGCGTCAAAGCTTTTTGATCTTTTGGTCTGATCGCGCCTTAAAAAAGGAGGTGTAGGGGAAGAATAAAAACCATAGAAATAGACAATGCCGTTTCCAATTACAAAACATTACGATAGCTTGGCGTCTATGGACAGAGAGGGTGGATTGTTTATAACATGCAGGACCTAGTTCCAGCTTTCCACAGTCGGGTCCTTTGGCAAGTAGTTTGACTGGAGGGTTTCCTCCTCCAAAGAGAACAGCAGTGTCTGGGTCATCAGACACATGGTTTAGTCCAGCGCCTGGATGTAAACGCCAACACTGCTCACAAATCAGACAAGTTATTATCGGGGGACAAAATTAGTTTTCAGTAAGAGAACTACATGCAGGGTGGACAAGTAACCTTGGGGCCTGGAGGACCTATTGCATTGTAACAACGGGGAATATGTCATGTGGTATACCCACTTGAAATTTTATTTCTTGTGTAAGTGTGTTGGTCTATGTGTCTATTTTAATTACATTTTTTGATTTTTACTTTAGTTGATTTATTGTTTTATTTCTATGTGTTCCTGGAGTGGGATTTTTGAGGTTGGACATTTCGCTGTATTGTATCAGTTACTGTCACCGTTTTTTTTTTCTTTTTTACTAATCACTGAATGCTTTATGTCCATTTTCGTTAAAATGTTCATAATAATAAATGTTGGAGGAAAACGAGGTGGACATGTCCCGTAAGAGAGCCGCTTTAGTTTACCAGGCTCCTCACGGGGGCTAGGTTATTTGTGAGTTTTTTCATGAATAAAAGTGTTTTTGATACATTAGAAACAAGCATGTTACTTATTTCGGCTGAGTAGTTACAGCTCTCTTATGTGTCCAGAGGGAGTCTTCTCACTGTAAGATTTGGACTTAAGCACTAATATCATCCAAAATTAAGGAAGTGATATCAGAGTACCCCTTCCTGCACATTTGGCCTTAAGCACTCATGCTTATTTCTTCAAGTAGACTAGAAAGAGGTCCACAGACGAGACCAGATGAGAGAGACCAGAGCGAGGAACAAACCTGAGAGAGACCAGAGCGAGTTAATCTAAAGGTTTCAAAGATTTAAATGGCTCAAATATCTGATCTGTCAGGTAACAATCAAAAGCTTTTTACTGGGTTGTCGGCGTTTCTGCAGGGGCTCCAGGACAAAAGTATGTACTTTAAGCGGAAAGATTATTTTGTATTTATCTAGGCACATTGAGGATTTTGGTTTTCCACCAGTGGTTTTACTGCAAATGGCAAGAAACCTTTAATCTTATTTCAATACTTTTAAGCGCCTTTTTGATAATACTTCCTATACCTTCACTTAATTCACTGAGACTGTTACTTTTGCCACCTCTGCTGAGTGTTTGCGACCCTCTCTGTTGTCCGCTTTTTACTGCTTGGTCATTTCTTCCTGACTGTTCATCCGGGACACCGCCTCTTCTTGTTGGGTGGAAGCCCTGTTGTGACCAATCGGGGCTGTCCGCGTCCTCAGGCTCCCATGTCAGGTGCAGGCTCTTATACTGATGATTTCCCGTACATTTATTACTTGTCCATATAATCCAAACCAATCCTATGTACTTGCAGTTTTGAGGTCATTTTATAAGTCGGATTTACCTATGTCCAAATCATATTTGTCTTTTCTTAACCCTAACACACTGTTGTCTCTCTTTATTCACTATCCAAACTCCAAACTCAAACACTTTTCCCATCTTATCTTAACTATCTTAATGTTAGTTGATAATTAGAGTATCCATGGACAATATGCCAAATAATAAAATATTATCAAACTATAAACAAGAGAGAAATAAACACACTCGCTAATCACTCGTCCCCTACTTCCTGTACCCACCCCCACTAAACCCGCCACATCTGTACTCATATATGAAAGACTCAACTGTATTTCAACTACCATTCAGGTCGGTGTGATCAACTCAATGTCTACAACCTAGACCTCTGTCCTGAAGCACCTTGATCTAATCGCAATATACGCCCTGTCCACTAACTGCCAAGATATATATAGTATCACTATCTCCTCCCATATAACATGAGTCATGATGTGTCTACTATACATATAGATGTGCACCATATCCCTAAGTGTTGTACTGAATCAAAAGTATCGTCACCAACAAACCATCACTATAGACTTGACATCAAGTCGATCTAACCTTCTATACTACACATAATACATGAATATACCAACCTTATCTCACAAAATATGTCTTAATGTGATGTCTCATGTGTCCAAACGATACTAGCACAAATCTACAGACAACCGAATAAACTCAAGTGACAAGACAGTATTTGGATGACCCAAAATTGCGCAGCATTCCCCTCTGTTCATCCCACATAAAGTCTCGTCTGTGTGACATCACCTCACTGTATATAGTATACACAACACTCCTACTATGTGAAATGTGCTCACCCCATCGCGCCTACGCGATCCATTATTCACTCAATATGCTTTTCTTAGCAACCAATGTTCTGACCCAATGATGCGAGCCATAGTGTTTATCTCTACGCTGTCTCTGTATTCTAAAACATTAAATGACATTATAGTCTCATTATCATTTTTAAGAGCCAAAGATATTTCTTCTTTAAGTAAAAATACTAACCTCTACAATTTTGTAACAGAAACGCACCTTGACAAGCGTCCACCTCCAGGTCAGCGTGTTTAAAACGTACAGGATGCTGTAAGAAAGACCCTCCCCCAGGCCTCCGTAGACGTAGAGTGAGTTTGAGTCTGGGTCATAAGTGGCAGAGTGGCCTCCAGCGCAGGGCGGCACGTGTTCAGACCCAGAGCAGTCCACCGGGAACCAGAAGTCTTTCCCTGAGGAGGAATGATCTGAAATTATAGAGTTTAATTTAGTATTTATTTATTTTCAAACATTAAGAGATTGTTTATTTTGTCCTGCAGTGGGGACATTTCAAATGTCCCCACATAGAATTTTCTAACATATAATTTATTAACAATTACTTAATTCTTGTACAGTTCTAAGTCACAACAGTAGTTATCTCTGAGGATGTTACTAAACTGTTGAATTTGTCGCAGAACAAAAAAAATCAAACCGTTTAAAACCGTATTTTTTTTTTTAAAAGATCAATGTCCATAAATGTTGATTAATGTTGAATATTAAAATATTGTACCTTTTATCAACATTTATGGATGGTCATTTGCCCCATATGGTTTTGTCATGTCCTCCTATACAAGATTGATTTGAATTAATTGAATTGAACATGATTCAAACTCTAAAGGGGCGTTCACACCGGACTTAACTTCGGCGTCAAAAGCGTCAAGTTTCCATTGAAAGTGAATGGTGAAGCGCGTCAGGTGAAGCCGAGAGCCCCGGCGTCACTTGACGCGCGTCAAAAGCTTCAAGAGTCGCGCGTACTACGCGCTCACTTGAAGCTTTTGACGCGCGAAACGCTCGCGTATCACAACAATCCCTTTGACGCCAAAGTTGAGCAAAGCTGAGCTTTTGAAGCTTTGACGCGGGCTTCAACCAATCAGGAGACGAGGAGCAGCAGCAGCAGAGGGTCTGTCTCTGTCATGAAGAGAAGTCATGTATCTACTGCTGCTGTTTTATTGTCATTATTGTTATTAGTAATATTATTTGTATGAGTAGTAACGTTCTGAGTAACAAAATCATTGTACACATGCTGTGTAGTAAACCTAGTTTATTTAAAATAAGAACAGGCTGACGATGAGTCTGGCTCAGAGCAAGGCAGCTCCGGGCGGGCGAGAGCCGGGGAGAGGCAGGGAGAGGCGAGCGAGAGCCGGGGAGAGGCAGGGAGAGGCGAGAGCGAGGCGGGGAGAGGCGAGCTCCGGGGTTTGAGAACTCAGACTGGGCAAGTGACATGCGGAAGTACCGCTGAAAGCGAAACTCCTCCGTACGCAGCTCCTGGAGTAAATGACGGAACTCTGCAAACACTGCAGCCTCTCAAGTCTGTGGTGAACCCAGAACATGTTTTGTTGAAGCCCTACAACAACGTTATTTTGCTTTATATAACAAATAAAGGCTCGCTGCTCATTGAAAAATCCACCGCTGTCCTGACTACAGACAACAGAGAAGCTCCTCCCACCGGCGTCAGGCGCGTCACTCGCGTCAAAAGCTTCAAGCACCAAAATGACAAAACTATCCCGGCGTCAGTTGAAGCGCGTCAAAAGCTTTTTGAAGCTTTTGGTCTGAACGCGCCTTAAAAAAGGAGTGGAGGGGAAGAATAAAAACCATAGAAATAGACAAAGCCAGTTCCAATTACAAACATTACGATAGCTTGGCGTTATGACGAGAGGGTGAATGTTAAAACAGTGCAGACCTAGTTCCAGCTTCCACAGTCGGTCCTTGCAGTAGTTTTGACTTGAGGTTTCTCCTCCAAAGAGAACAGCAGTGTCTGGGTCAATCAGACACATGGTTTGAGTCCAGCGCCTGGATGGAAACGCCAACACTGCTCACAAATCGACAAGTTATTATCGGACAAAAATAGTTTACAGAAGAACTACATGCAGAGGTGGCAAGTAACCTTGACCTGGAGGACTATTTCATTGTAACAAGGGGAATATGTCATTTGTTTACCCACTTGAATTTTATTTCTTGTGTAAGTGTGTGTCTATGTGTCTATTTTAAATACATTTTTTGATTTTTACTTTCATTTGAATTATTGTTTTATTCTATGGTCCTGGAGTGGGATTTTTGAGGTTGACATTTCGCTGTATTGTATAGTACTGTCACCGTTTTTTTTCTTTTTTTAATCACTGAATGCTATATGTCCATTATCGTTAAAATGTTCAATAAATAAAGTTGGAGAAAAGAGGTGGCAAGTCCCGTAAGAGAGCCGCTTTAGTTTACCAGGCTCCTCCAGGGGGCTTGGATATTTGTAGTTTTTCATGAATAAAAGTTGGTTTGTACATTAGAAACAAGCATGATACTTATTTCGGCTGAGTTACAGCTCTCATCTGTGTCAGAGGAGAGTCTTCTCACTGTAAGATTTTGACTTAAGCACTAAAATCATCCAAAATTAAGGAAGTATATCAGATAACCCTTCAGCACAATTTGGCTAAAGCACTCATGCTAACATTTCTACAATAGACTAGAAAGAGACCACAGAGAGACCAGAGAGAGAGACCAGAGCGAGAGACACACCTGAGAGAGACCAGAGCGAGATTACTAATAGGTTTCAAAAGATTTAAATGGCTCAAATATATGATCTGTCAGGTAACAATAAAAGCATTTTACTGGGGTTTCTGCAGGGCTCCAGACAAAAGCTTGTACTTTAAGGGAAAGATTATTTATGTATTTATCTAGCGCACATTGAGGACTTTTGTTTTCCACAGTGGTTTTACTGCAAATGGCAAAGAAACTTTAATCTTATTTCAATACTTTTAAGCGCCTTTTTGATAATACTTCCTATACCTTCACTTAATCACTGAGACTGTTACTTTTGCCACCTCTGCTGAGTGTTGCCGACCCTCTCTGTTGTCGCTTTTTATCTGCTTGGTCATTTCTTCCTGACTGTTCATCCGGGACACCAGCCTCTTCTTGGGGGTGGAAGCCCTGGTGATGACCACATCGGGGCTGTCCGCGTCCTCAGAGCTCCATGTCAGGTGGCCTCTTTTACTGATGATGGCCCGTCTGGGAGTCTGGTCCTATAGCCACACACAATCAGATGTACGTTGCCAGTTTTGAGGATCATGTTATAAGCAGATTTACCGAGGGCCAAGCAGAGGGTCTCTGAACACTACACACACTGGTGTCAATTTTATTCACTTGAATATCTCCAAAGCAAACACTGCTGCCCAGCTGTGAGCAGTTTGGAGTAATCTGCAATAAGACAACTTTTAAAAATCACACAAAAGATTAAAATTAAGATATCATTGATTCATCCCATAGTGGGGAAATGTCAGTGTTGCATCAACATAACAGTTGAAAGTGAAAATTAACTCTAGACTAAAACAAATTCAAATCTAGCTTTAGCCTAATAGAGAAATAAGTATAAAATCTCAAAATTATTATTTTGCAGCAATATTCGTTTATCCTCACCGTTTCATTGATGGTGCTCTGATGCATTGTGCTGGAAAGACCCACTTCATTTTGTCCCTGGGGGAACGACCACTTCCTGTGGACATGAGGAGTGCTGCTGCAGACACTGTCAGTATCACTCTGTGGAAGAAAACATTTACATAAACATCCAAGGTCACCTTCATCTTGCCAATCACCAGTGATGAGGGTTTAATGATTTGGAGTTTTGGACATATGAACACGATAATAACAATTATCATAATAATTATACATTGGTTTTATACAGCGTTTTACAAGCCACGCATTATACGTAATTATTCTTTCACTCCATACACGGTGGTGGTAAACTATTATAGTAGCCACAGCTGCCCTGGGACATCCTGACAGAAGAGAGGCAACCAGTATGTACCATTGGCCCCTCCCACCACCAACAACCATTCACACACACGCCAGACTCATTCAAGGTTAGTTGGGTGAAGTGTCTTGCCCAAGAACACAAGAACAGTTTGGCACATTACAGCTGCAACCTGGTGTTCCCAGGTGTCTCCCATCACAGTACTATCCAGGCCCTGCTCTGCTTAGCTTCAGAGGATGATCTGGCTTTGTCCACGGTTCATACCTGTACCTCCCCACACATAGAGAGCACAATCTTTCCATAAACACCCTTTCGGCCTCTTTCTGCTGCCACTGAAGCTATGTCTTCGTTCCACTGGCCTTCCCATGTCAGGCACCTTCAAAAGCAGAACATTGAGAGGTAAAAATTAAAGTGATTGAGAGGAAATGTGAGACAGACACACACAGAGACACACAGGAAGACTGACACAGAGAAAGAGACAAAAACACAGTGGCAGAGACCCACAGACACACGCACACAGAGACAAACACACACAGACACACATAGACAGAGAGAGACACACATAGACAGAGAGAGACACACATAGACAGAGAGAGACACACATAGACAGAGAGAGACACACATAGACAGAGAGAGACACACAGAGATAGACACACATAGAGATAGACACACATAGAGATAGACACACATAGAGATAGACACACACACCTTGTTTGAGAGGATAACGTGCCTATATTCTGTGGCCTCACATCCCCACTAACCAGGACTTCCACAGAGATAATTTCATCGCAGCTTTCCCACTCCCCGAGGCCAAAGATGACCAGCTGTTTGGGCAGCGGCAGCGGGACGTGCACTTGGAAACACCTGCGACTGGATTTGCTGGAGAAAATGAGAATCAAAGGGTGTGGTTAAAGCTGGGGGACGTAACTTTCAAATCCAGAACAGAACGATGTAATGAAAATCTATCAAACTGGATCCTTGCACTCAAAATAGTTGGCTCAATTCAATTAAATGTATTTTTGCATAGCCCTAAATCACAACAGCAGTTATCTCAGAAGACTTTACAAAGTTGTCAATTCGCCAATCACAGATCAGAGAATCAAAATGTTTTTTTCAGTATAGGGTTGTGTTATTCTCAATATGTTGTGTGTTCCTCATTCGTTCCATTTTGTAATTTGGTTCCGTCCCTTTTTTCCATTTCCATGCATTTTTTGGCTTCTGTCACAACTGCGGATCTGCTTTTTTAAGATTAAGAAATCCTTTATTCATCCAACAGTGGGGAAATTTCAGTGTTGCATCATCAGTTACAGAACCGTAGGAATGATGAGCCTACAGCCCTAAAGAAAAGTGAACTCTTTACTAAAACAAAACAAAAATTAGCATAATAAAGCAAAGAATAAAATCTCTAGCTATAGCGTAATAAATAAGCAAGTCTAAAATATCTAGGTTTCTTAAATTCCTCGACAAGCTGAAAATGATGAGAAATAGACAATATCTGAAAGGACTTAAAGCCAGCTGTGTTTAAGTCCACACAGCTGGCCAGCTCTTGTACAAGCCAGCTCTTTTACAAGAGCTGGCTTGTAAAAATAAGTCAAAAATCTCTAACTTTAGGATAGTAAATCAGCATGTAGACAATCTCTAGCTTTGGCATGATAAAGAAGCAGGAAGAAAACTCTATAAAATCAATTTTTTTCTGATAGAAAAGTGAAAGTGAAGAGGACCACCCTCACTCAGACAATCAGCAGTCAGCTTAAAGTCCAATAGTAACTCACAGGGATCTTTCTTACATGTATGGAAAGGATAACGTTTTGTAACAAGAGGTATGTATGTATAAGTAGTATGTATGAATGTTGATGTACTTCTGTATGTATCATGTATATTATGTAAATGCTGTAAATTACATTCATTGATTCGTGTTTATCAGCTTGAAATAAATATAATCAAAGATGAAGAGGAGACAGAATGTAGTGGTCCGATTTGACTCCTGTTGGATTAAGATTAGATCCTTTATTTGTCCCACAGTGGGGAAATGTCAGTGTTGTATCACCGGTTATAGAGCAGTAGAAATGAGGAGCACACAACACAATATATGGGAACAATAACTCTACACTAAAAACTATGTATTTAACTAGCTGTAGCATAAAAAGGAGGAATTATACAATCTTTATGTTCAGCATAGCAAGGAAGCAAATCTAAAATCTCCAACTTTAGCAGAATGAAGAAGCAAGAATTAATATCTCTGACTGCAGCATGAGGGTATGAGACAAAGTGACAAAGTAAAGTGACAGTGGACACATGTGTTTCTATATTTCACATTCTGACATTATTAATACACAAAAAGTCACGCACCCCAGCTTTAACCTTACAATGCGGTGGGGCCATGTGTTTTCACAGCGCATCAATCTCACCTCATGAACTGTCGGGGAGCGTCACGCAGAGACCAGAGGACGTAAAAATTCAGTTTCCCCATTTGTTCATCAGAAGCTCCACTCTCCTGCAGCGTGTGTGACAGCTGGAAGAGGAGTGGCTGAGAAGGGCTCCAGGCTCACACACCTGAGACCATGGATCTATTAGCCTGAGACTCACTCCATTTGTCTTTGCACCGATTGGTCACATGTAGTTTCCATTTTAAAGTTTTGTATTTAATTATTCATATTAAACTTGGAAACAACACCACAAGAAAACACGCGGATATGTGGAAAATACAATTCCTTTGATGGGATAACATATCTGTCTAAAGTCACCTCAACTTTTGTGAATGAAATAGGAGCATAAAGGAGACCAAGATAGTAAAAACAAGTAGAAAAAAAACATAATTATAAAAAGTGAATTAAAATAAAGTCCGGAGAAGTGTACACAAAGGGTACTATAACAGGTACTAACAGGAACGAAGTCACAGAAAGTCTGCTATAGTCACACACATATAGTACTGTATATTTGCACTTTAGTTTTTAGAGGTTACCTTACTTTGTTTCTTTATTAAGCTAATGATAGATTTTTCTTAACCCTTTAATCTTCCCTCTTTTTCTAAGATGTGGGAGCACTGATAACAAACATAATTTAAAAATATATATTTTGTAGACCTCTGTTAAATGGTTTAGATGCAGTTTGATGGTAAAAGTGCCTAAAACAAGCGATAGAGATGCCCCAATTAGAGAGATTTCAGTTCCAAGCTTCAAGTCGATGTAGTGACTCAAATAAAGATCCACCAAATGGTTGAAGAAACCATTAAAGGGTTAATATTAAATTATCCTGTGTTATGTGCTCCTCATTCCAACTGTTCTCTAACTTGTGATGCAACACTGAAATTTCCCCACTGTGGGACAATTAAAGGCTCTCTTAACCTTTAACTAAAGGAGATATTTTTGCTGAATGAATAAAGTATATACAGTATTAAATGCAGAGTTCTTGAATGTACTTCCTCCCCTTTGTTATCACATTAGAGGAGAATTATCGCATAAGAAAAGCAGAAGGTTTAAACATTAACAATTAGAAAGCGTTATTTCTACTTGTGATTACAGAATTATTAACAAAGACCAGCTTTGGCCTTGTTGCCTTTATGGTTACTATGGTGACGTCCTCTGACTATTAATAAAGCGTTTTTTTTTTTTTATTGTACATAATCATATCCTGCACAGGCTATATTTTTTAACCATTAACATGATTGTACACTTCTGTCTTTTGCAGAATCTGAGTGATTCTATCTCTGCCAAATGTGATATGTAAATTTCTCCATTGTGAGATCAATAAAGTCTATCTTATCTTATCTTATATAGTTCTAAACACTCTAAGACGCTTCACATGTTATTAATCATTCACTCCATATACTGTTACTGTTAAAACTACTAATGCTCTGGGACACACAGATGAAGTGAGGCTATTAATCTGTGCCATTACCTCCACCAACCACCATCAATAGTTCACCAGACTCATCCTATGCAATGTGAGTAAAGTGTCTTGCCCAAGGTCACAAGAATAGTTTGGCACGTTACATTCGCTCCACTGTGGATCCTGGTGTTGTCATAACCGGCTTGATAGAAATGACAGAAAAAGGCCAAACAACAGTTGCCAATGGAAATCATGTTTATTAATGAACCAATGGTAATATTTTAATGACGTGTGGAAGTCTGTACTGAGATTGGGCGGGTGTGATATGAGAGTATGTTTAGAAAATAAACCAAAACGAACCAAGACGAACTGAAACCAGGAATTAATTGTATAAACTTGAACCAAAAAACATGGAGAAAACAAGATTTAGAGTCAAATGAGAAATAGCCATCTGACCTTTTTTAGAGGAGGGAGTAGTCTGTTTTTTCTCTTTTTTCCATGACACTAAACAACATTTATAGACAACAGTTGTGTGTCAGATGAAAAGTTGTTGGCTTTCAGTTGTCACTATTTTTCAAAGGCATTCCCAATAGAAATCCTCGTTTTGTCGTTTATGATTTGAGAATCATTAATCATCGAGACTTTTTTTTTAGTCTCGATGCGATTTTACCAGAGATTACCAGAGTTCTTGCAACCTGGATCACAAAATTTCTAACAGGTAAAACAGTGGAGGGCAGGACATCGAAATTAAAACAATAACAATATATATTGGCTGTTAAACTAATTTTGAAATCTGCTAATCCTGGCTGAACTGCTGTAACCAGTTAAAGAAATGTTTCGAAAAGACCATGATATATTAATGATTTTTGACATATTAGGGCCATTTAATGATGACTCGACATGCAATTCTTTCACATTTATAAACATTGGTCACCTGCCACTTATGGACCCATGGCTACATGTGTTTTCTACTGTTGCATTTTGATTCTCTGATCTGTGTTGGCAAATCAACAACTTTGTAAAGTCTTACAAGAAAACTACTGTTGTGAATTAGGGCTATACAAAAAACTGTTTACCACTTTTTGACTTAAAGCCAGCTGTGTTAGAGGGTTAATGTGAGTGACAATCTCAAGCGGCTTCAGGGAGAGCCAAAAATAAACAGTTTCATCACCAACTCTGACAATTACATCAAATCCCACATGGCCAAGTTTAATGGAAACACAAGGGACACCACGACCAGGTGACAGGTGTAGTGATAAAAAATACAAATAAATGCACAGAAATAGACGATACTCTTTATTGTTGCCATAAAAAAATTAAATATAATTATAAGTAACATCAATAAAAGATGATAGAACAACATTGTAAGCTTTAGAACAGTTCCTTAGCAGCCAGTGTAGAGTGACATCTTTGGATACATGCGGTGTGAGAGTTTGCAATAGTTTCTCTGACAGTAAAAGAAAAGCTGCTCAGAGTATAGAAATTGCACACGTAGTCAATAAGACATTTATATTCAGGATTCTGTGCACAAACCACAAGAAGAACAATGGCATAAGCAGACTCCATAGCTGCGACATGGTGGAGGGGTGGGGGGGGGGGGGTAGTTGGAGGGGAGGGGGGAGCAAAGGCAAATATTGATTCTTTATTACATAAGCTTTGCGAGATAATGGATGGCTTTTAATTGTGCTACAATGAGCAGAACGCAGATCCACCACTTAAAAACATTCAAAACCACCACTTTGGACAGACGTGTGCATAAACCGACTATAGTCTCTCATTCACAGTCAAAAAGTCCCGTTTCCACCAGCTCTACGTTGCCCTACTCTACATGGCCCTACTCTACCCCGATTGGGAGCGTTTCCACTGGCCCTGTTTAACTGCTACCAGGTTCTTTGTTTATTCCTTCTTGGTCCTGGTTCTATCACCAGACCGAGCTGGTACTAAAGTGTTCTAACTGACAGTGATTGGCCAGAATGCTGCTGGAGGCCATGGTGACCAAGGAATTTCCATGGATACCGGTTTGTTGCGGGGGATAAATTGCAGGGATATGGTACTACAGACTGAAGTGTTATTGAAGCTACTCTACTAGAGTAGAGTAGAGTAGAGTAGAGTAGAGTAGGAGTAGAGTAGGAGTAGGAGTAGGAGTAGAGTAGAGTAGGAGTAGAGTCAGAGTCAGAGCCCGAGCCCGAGCCAAGTAGAGTAGAATAAGAGTAGAGCCATGATACCATAGCAAGAGCTCTGGTGTGTAGTAATCTTGGTACACACTGAGGTAACTGCAATTGTAAAATAAACTGAATCTGAGTAGAGTAGAGTACAAGTAGGAGTAGGCTCGAGCCAAGTCGGGCTGGTGGAAACAGGGCTGTGGTAAAATAAATATGGCACAGATCAGAGATTAAATAGACACACGTCAATCACAGAAAAAACGCACACAAAAATACAAATGGGATTGCGTCCACCAGTGCTCTACGCTCAGACTTTAAGTGCTCCCTGATTGGCTGCTACCTTTGACGGGATCGGCAAACAATATATTATTTGAATGGGCGCTTGACCAGTAAGCACAGTGCATACATGAAGCCAGAGCAAGGCTACGCAAGATATATAGCAATATTTTATTTAGACACCTGATATTGACAAAATAGACCTCTATGCCCGTCTTGTATGTGTTCGGAATAAAAATAGTTCATATTGTTCTCTGCCTCTTTAATAAAATGCTTTGATGATACATTCAGTCGAGAATAGCGTCTCAGGCACTGTAATAAACCCGGTAATAGAGAGTTTTGTTCCTCCACAGAGAGTAGGAGTTGTCGAACTTGAGCAGATACGTGCCTTCACCTGGGAAGTCGTGGCTGCCCCCGTGCACAGACAGGTGGGAGTCCTGGCGATACACGGGCAGGATCTCGGACGTGTTTGAGTTGACTTGGCTTTTGGAACCTTTCTCCACGTCTCCGTTCAACACAGGTCCTGCAAACAAGAGAATTTGGTAATCAACAGATAACTGGTGTATATTTTATGGTTAATTAGCTCTTAACTGGTACTTATTAAGCACTTATTCTACATGACCTTATTCAACATTTTACTATTTACCAACTGACATTTTCCCATGTGGGTTAAGGTGAGGGTACGCAAACAAGCACTTAATTAGTTGTTAATTGGTGAGGGCGAATCGGTAAAGTGTTGCCGAAAATACTTGAACATAGCTGCAGACTCTGAGGAGGGAGCACAGGGACTGGTGGTGCCCTGAGTCAAGACTAAACATGGGGAAGCACCATTTCAGATCAATGCAGCTATAATACGGAACAGTCTTCCTGAAAATGTGAGACAGGCTTTCATTTTAGCAAATCATGTCAAAACCTGCATATGACAGCCAGATCCCGTCAGCCCTCTGAAGCCAAGCAGGGCAGTGTCTGGTTAGTACTGTGATGGGAGACCACTAGGAACACCGCGCGGCACAGTGGGGCGGCTCCGGCTGCAAAGTGTCAAACTGTTGTTGTGTCCTTAGGCAAGACACTTCACCCACATTGCCTCGAATGATTCGTGTATGTGTGTGCGTGTTTAGCTACTGGTGGTCAGAGGGGTTGCCTTGCAGTGTGCCCCAGGGCAGCTGCAGTAGTACTTTATCACCACCGGATATGGAGTGAAGAATAATTACAAGTGAAGTGTCTTTAAATATCCAAAAAGCGCGCTATAAAAGCAATGCATTAAAAAACAGTTCTGTTTAGCTGTAGTAACAACTGAAGGATTGTCTCTTCACTCTTTTTTTATGCAATTGTATGATTGTTTCCATCTTCTTTTCAGTTGTTTCTCTACCTGATCTATAAAAATTAACTTCTCTTGCCAGACTTTACTTTGTATTGAAATGATAATGCACAAGTACCTTCCAGCTCCTCCTCTTCATCCTCATCATCACTGGACTCACTAATGTGGACAGTGATGGCTCTCGTCGTCACAGGACTCCAGTCGAAGTATATTCCAAAGCCAATGTCGTATCCGTCTGTGGTGAACTCCCAGCAGACCTTCTTAGCCTCGGGCACAGTGGGCACATGGACGGTCATGATGTCTCCTCGATACACGGTCACCACACTGTCCTTCTCGCCACGGAGCTTCGCCTTGAGCTCCTTCAGACCGGCAGATGTCCATGTAGTCGGGGGATCCAAGGGCGGCATCTGGGCTGCCAACAAATAAGACCACAAGTAAAGCAACATTTATCTTGTTCGTCTGCAGCTCACTGCATGTATAGTGCATACTCAAGCTACTGGTGAAACTACACACTAAAAATAATTACAAAGAAAGGACAAAATTTGATATTTCTTGATACATTTTGAAGGTCATCAAATGAACTTGAACAAAATCTTGAGCCCCCATAAAAAGTATAATTATCTTGAGTTAAAAAAAAAATAATGTATTTATTATTTACACTTTGAATAAAAAAGTGAACATAATTATGGCAGTAAGACAAAAAAACAGACAGAAAAAAATATGTACAAAATAAAGCAGAAAAAAATAAAAACATATATGCATGTATCAATGTATTTTTAAATGATTTCTATGGTATCAAAATTGATATTGAGTATAAAATAATATAACCTTTATTCGTCCCGCAGTGGGGAATTACGCAAGCAAGACTCAGTATACGCACACATGACACAATAACTATTATTCCATAACAATAAAAAAATAAAAAATAAAAAATAATGCTACATCAAACTCGTATAGATCTGTTTTGGACACTCAAAGACGCTTCACATGGGGATTTAAAAAAAAGCTTGTTTGAACAGATGGGTTTTGAGAACTGATTTAAAGTTTGGTAGTGAGTTAGAGTTTCTAATGGGCAGTGGGAGAGTTCTAGAGGGTTGGGGCAGCAAAGGCAAAGGCTCTGTTCCCCGAGGTTCGGCGGTTAGTGCGGGTGATGGGAGTGAGGCGGTTGGAGTCGGCTGAGTGAAGGCGGCGGGTGGGTTGGTGTTGTTGCAGGAGCTCAGTAAGGTAGGGCGGGGCCAGGTTATGGAGGTGGATGTGTTATCTGGACCGGGTGTGGGAGAGGAGGCAGGCAGCAGAGTTCATGATGTATTACCGTTTTTGGAGATGAGGGGTGGGAAGTCCATAGAGGAGGCTATTGCTATAAATGAAATGAAATGAAATGAAATTGCAGTAGTCGAGTCTGGAGTTGATGAATGCGAATTTTGGCTGTTGACTGGGTAAGGGAGGGGTGGAGGCGGGCAATGTTACTGAGGTGGAAGAAAAATGTTTTGGTGATGAGAGGGTGGAGTCTAGTATAATGCCAAGGTTGCCTACAGAGGGTGAGGGTGTGACATTGTGACCGTCAATGAGGAAGTTAAAGTTCTGGATAGAGGGCAAGAGAGATTTGGGGCTGATGATGAGGAGTTCCATTTTATTGCTTTATAGTTTAAGAAAGTGATTGTCCATACAGGTTGTAATGTCAGAGATGCAATTAGTGATGATGGGGAGGATGACCGGGGTGATGGATTTGGTGGAGCTGTAGAGTTCAGTGTCGAGGTAGGCGGTGAATCAAATGAGTGCTGTGCCGGAAATGCAAATTGATAGCAGACGGCGGAGGAGGATGAAATAGTCTATAGTGTCAAATGCAGTTGAGAGATCAAGGAGGAGGTGAATGGATTTGGTACCAGAGTCGGCGGAGAGTAGGTTATGTGCTGTGGTGTGAATGGAATCCCTGAAATTTTTCAAATAAAAATAAAAAGTAACTCTAGCTATAATTGTAAATGGGTCAAAAATACGTACACATGTACACTGTAGTTAGCAGTCACATTTGCAGTGTATTGTGACATCACTTGTAAAGTCTGCCAATAGTTGAACAAACGGCCATTGAAGGAAAGCATATTGACGTATCAAAAGAGTACACAAGCAGCAGGTCCTTACCTTTTATCTCAGAGAGCGGAGAGCTCCCAGGACTGTTCTCTTCTGTCCCCTCCCTCAGGACTGGCTCAGCCGGGGCCTCATCATTACCCTTAAACATATTTACAGTTCAGGGTTGTTTGATAACATTTCCCACTGTGTTTTTCTTACAGTTTTTCCTTGCCAATGCGGGTGGGTCTAAGGACAGTGCAGATGATCCAAGACATTTATCAACATTTAATGACATTGGTCATCTGCCCCTTATGGCCCAATGACTGTGTTTTTATTATCATTGCATTTCTTGTGTTTGAACTGGTTCTCTGATGTGTGCGAATTCAACGGTTTTCTTAAGTCCTCACAGATAACCACTGTAGTGATTTAGGGCTCAACAAGAATAAATTAAATAAAATAGAATTGAATATGCAGAGTTCTGCCTTGTTTGATAACGTCTTCAATAGCACTGCCATGTTTACTGTAGCCCAGTGATAATGGGCCACTGTGTGGTTTGTCTGACATATGACAAATCTGAACTACCTGTAAAAGGTTAGGAGCATTTTCTGTTGTTTCGTTCATATTGACTTGGTCTGTATCCTGTATTCTGAAGAGAAGATATAAAGCACAATTATAAGCACAGAAAATCATCTACACATTAATCATATGCACTAAACAGAAGCTATAAGCAACAGTACCTGGTGTCCGGCTGCTGCTCACACTGTTTGGATGTTATTCCGGAGAAGGCAGAGACGGAGAGAGATGACAGCCGTGACTCCAGCTCCGAGGAACAGTCTATTCTCTCCATGGCTCTGAAGGCAGAACACACACCTCAGCTGCTTGGCTCTCACAGCCCAAACCCCGCCTCTCTGAGCAGGGACAGGGAGGGACTCACATCGTGGATATGTTTAATATAAATAACACACACATAGATACACAAAACACCGTGCGAGAATGGACAGTAAGCAAGATTTTCCACAAAAACACTCCTTGGTTCAACTTCCTGTTTACTGAGCATGCATAGTATATAACAGTATAACGTCCATCCTTCTTATCAATGTTGACATGTGTGGATTTGTGTTGCAATACATGTTGTCTATAATGGTTATTTTAGTGGCAATGGGTGAAATAGTTTGAAACCCATTCGCTTTTAGCTGTGCTGCTGTCAGGCTACTACTTGGCCTCAGTTTGGCCTCTCCACAGCTGGTTAACTGTTAGCATGCTAGCTCAGAGCAAACATGTTGTCTTACCACCACATAATGACGGTGTCAGTGATGCAATATTATCTAAAGACACGGTTTCTGTGCCGGACATCTAGAAGCACACTTTACACCGCCTTGGCCCCGGGTTACAGAGCTGACTGATGTTGTTGCTTCCATAGACTGAGAGGAAACAGCATTTTTCTCACTTCCGTAGTTTTCCGACCGTTGACGGAAAAGCACGAATCTGAAGGACGCTGATCACAGCCTTATAAGGGCATATTTCCGTGACTAAAACACAATGTACATGTATGTAGGCCTAAAATAATGTAAATCAAAATAGCTACGTGTTATTCCATCAACATTAGTTAAACTTAGAAAACTACTATACTCAGCTCTACTTTTACTGTCTAGTTCTCTGTGCGATTGGGGAGCGTTTCCACTGGCCCTGTTTGTCCTTGGTTATATGTAGACTGAGCTTGCCTTGTACGGTATGGTAGGATTTTTATTTCTACAGGGACACTGTATAATAAACATTAACCAAAAGCAGAGAAGCATTGTACCAAGTTTTAGCACGAGTAATGTACACCTGTAGTCCCTTAGTAGGTTGTAAAGTAGGGGTGGGCAAAATATATCATTATAACATAACATATCGTAAAAGTCAATTTGAAGATATGCTTTTTTGTATTATCGTCTTTTTCATTTTTCAATACATATTACAATTAGAGAAGGAAAGATGCCCATTCGTCTAATGTGTTCCTAAAAAGACAATCACTGCTTTATTTGTACATTTCAGTAAAAATTGAGTTGGCCTTTTTGGATGTGTTCTTTCTGTGTTACTTGAATTTGATTTTTAATGTTAATATATGTTAGCGCATGTTTTGCAAAGATGTGTGAAGCACTTAGAAAATTAAAAGCTTCTATTTTGATCTACACTGTCTCTATCTATAGGTGCCCTGGCAGCAAAACATTACATCTAATTTTGTGTAAAAATGATTGATTTTAAAGATATGACAATATCGTTATCGGGAGTTGGGAAAAAAATAACGAGATATTTATTTTTGTCCATATCGCCCACCCCTAGTGTAAAGTCTGAAGTGTTCTAACTGGCAGCAATTTACCAGGAGTTTCCCATGGATCTGGAGTTTCCCCGTATACTGGCTTATTTTAGGTATGTTGTGCGGAATGGACTTGGGACTGACACAAGACATTGGGACAGACGCAAGTTGTGATGCACATAGTCGGATAAAATTGTTCTGATTTCTTTTTGCCTTAATAAAACTGGAAATAAAAGCCACCAGGGCATTTTGTACAAGATCCTTGCCTAAGATCCTTTCGACAGTTGCTAGTTTACGGTACCATATACTAAACCGTAATGGAAACACAACCAGGAAGAGTAGAGACAAGTACAGTTGGGCTGGTGGAAACAGAGCTTGACACACAGATAGGAAGAGTACACAGTCAGAGCATTCTATTATTTAGTGCATGTACAGTACCTGCATTCTCTGGTCTTCCCATTTGTGGTTGTGATTCTAGGTTAGTTCCGAATAGAGATGGAGCCACTGCTTTTTCCCAGATGGCCCATCCCCACTATTCCCACTCACAGCTCCTCTGATAACAAGCTGCTTTTGTTTGCACAGCGAGTTTGGATATATCTGAAATGATTGTCAACACTAAGCATTCAAGTTGTTCAACACCGGCCCTGTTCAATCTGTGCCAGATACTTTTTTTAAGTAACTGCTTGGCGCTAGATCTAACCAGGCCAAGCTGGTAATAAAGTATTGTGACAGACACTGATTGAATGTTGCTGTAAGCCATGGTCAACAAAGACGTTTCTACCAGATGCTGGTTTGTTGTGGGTAGGTTGCTAGAACACGGTAAGGCAAGTTTATTTATATAGCACAATTCATACACAAGGCAATTCAAAGTGCTGAACAAAACAAGAAAGCATTAAAATCATAAATAATCACAGAACATTAAAAAGAAAGCTAAAAATATAAAATCCCTTAGGTTGTATGCACAGCTAGATACTAGATACTAAAGCGTAATGGAAATACAACCAAGTAGAGTAGAGCCGAGTAGAGTGGGGACAAATGGGGCTTGTGGAAACGGGGTTTTTGAGGTGGCGTCCTTGTCATACAAATGCAGTTCAGTAAAGTACAGATTTTTGCTTGTGTTTCTGGGATAGGGCCTGTGGCTTTGGCCCTTGATTACTAATTTATTTTTTACTCAATCTCTGCACAGAGAAAGATCAAACTCAAGTCACCTACCTTTGTGTTTTTTAGATTATAAAAGGAGAGTGTAGATTGTGCTTGGAGCAAGGGTTTAATAGTTTTAGATGCGTCCCCTTTCACAGCAGGGACAATTCTCACTGTGTGATTTAGAGACCTGTAATAAATCAAAAAGCTAACTGTGGAAAAATGTATAATCCCTATTCACTTTTTGAATTGTGTGGTAGAGTTTAAACCGGTCCTGTTATTACCCAGAATGTTTGATTTGAATTGGTTTGAATTGTTGCAGTCCTGGCACATCGAGTCTGTAAAGTGTTAGGGGTATTTATGAATCAGCACACTTGATAAATTGAACATTGAACATTTTATTTCCCTTTCAAAGCCATAACTTACTACTGTACAGTGGATGTACAAATTTATAATCACAATTCTATTTAAGACTTTAGACATAGGTTCAATGTATAAGTACACACGTAAAAAAACAAAAACAAAATAGCAGCGATAATGAAATTAGACAGTTGATAGGACCAAAAACAGTGACTGGAAATGTTGCAGGTATATTCTCATAGTTCCACTGACAAAACTCATTATGCCTGCTCCTTTTAAATACTTACTAAAACATGTCATACACTACAACAATAGTAATAGTGGTAGTGACAGTAAAGGGAATAAGCACAGGGTTGGTCAAAAGAGGAGAAAAAAAATTGGCTTTTGTTTTGTCACAATATATACCTATACCTACAGTATATATACCTATATCAAAACAAAGTACCAGTTTCCAGATGAAGACACTGTGATGGGACAATTTAGCAGACAAAAGCAATACAATATATTACAAAATACAAAAGTGCAAACAAGATGAACTATTATGTATCACGTCCACCATTATAAATGTCACTTGAATGAATGTGTCCCTTCAGTCTTTCCTATAGTCGACGGCATCCTGTAAAAAAAAAATATATATAGACAAGACAAATCCATTCACTCTTCCCCTTGTCTCCACTTCTGGGACTCCTCTTGGCGAGCGTCTGGGTGGATTTGGTTTCTCATGCCGCCCAGCACGTTGGAGGTGGCTTCAGTGGCCATGATCAGAGGCTTGACCACAGCGGGGGGCAGCTGTCTCAGGACACCTCCCACTGCCCCAGTCATGCCCCTCTGCTCGTGCTCTCGAGTCGCCGTGTCGAAGATGGTCAGAGCCGTGTCTGCGATGCCCTGGGAATACAACACAATTTTTTTATCTGTGATGTGTGAAAAATCTCCATCTTTGATTGTTTGTATTGAAATCACCACTCACATGGACTACTCCCTTCACTAATGCAAATTCTAAACAAAACTAATAACTAAAATACTATTCTATTAATAATACTTTAATGCACATTTATCTGTATTTATCTTCATGTGTGCGTCCTTCCTGCATCCCAATTCACATTTCAAGTGCTAAAATGATTAATACAACCTTAAATACAGATTAAAAACTGTTTGTTGAAACTCCCGGCTTTTATCCAACTGCGTTCTATTCATGTACAACAATTATTTTCTTATAAAAGCATTGCAGAAAATAAGCAGGTTCCCTCAAACACCAAAGAAGTGCGGTACTTTCCACTGACCTCTTTAACCACAGTGTAGGCTTTCGCCATGCCCTCTCTCAGATCCACCGGCTGATGGGCCAGTCCATAATGTGAAAACCGTTTGATTTTCTTGGTGTCTCGTTCATCAGGGACCGGAGACACCAGGTCATAAGCCGTCTCTGCCGCTGCCTGAAGTACAACCCAGATCATCAGCCACTCCAATACAAATGTTCTATTAAAACACTTTAAACTTAGAGTGTGGTGGTACCTGTATCGTCCGCACCATCCTGTTGGTAAGCTCCAGAGCAGCCATCGCAGTAGACGTCCCAAAGGAAGCAGTCCCTCGCTGGAAACCACGAACAATTCTCCCATCCTTCCTGTACTGCTCGATAGGAAGCCACACCAGATCTCTGAATCCCTGCACTACAAAAAGGCACAGAATGTATGATTACAAACTGTTATTTTGACCATTATGTCATTGCCGTTATCAAAAACAAATTGAATTGATTCTTCTCCTCATTGGACATAGTAAATACGCTTTGGCTATAAATGTTGTGGTGTTTCACATTTTGATTGTGTACACTTGTCCCTATCAATAAATCAATAAATAAAATATCTGAACAGCACACAAGTTCTGCACTCACATCAATTTTAGATTGTATGATGTTAATGTATCTGGTGAGTAAACATTTGTCATTCAGCCAGCTTCAGCTCCGTCAAATGTGAATCGATATTAACCTGTTCAGACCTAATTTTAAAGCTCTGAACCCCGAATCCATTCATTCCATGTTGTCGGCCCCTGGAACACTAAAGCGGCCCTCTTATCAAAAAAGGTTTGGATACCCCTGCTCTATATCATATATGGGTTGAATTACACAAGTTTCACTTGTATATAACGATAAAGAAAAATTAAGTCACTGTGGCTTTCCAGATTTCCATGGCTGACCTCTGTCTAGTCCCTCAGGTTTATTTTGTATTTGAAAACACAAAACGATCCTGTCCAATACTCACCAAGCTGCACCAAGGAGTGAATGGGCCCCACGCCGCCCAGAAGGCCTGGGAGCTGATTCTTCTTGATGTCATTCAGCCACTCGTTCATTGCATAAGTAAAAAGTTTGTCCACGCCCAATAACCTGAAAGAGAGTCCAGGACACTCAACATTCAACAACTACCATGGACATTAATCAAAATTTATGGACATTGGTCATCTGCTCGTGTTTGTATGTATTTTTTATCATTGCCTTTTTTTTGTTTAATTCTCTTATCTGTGGTGACAAATTTGTCGGTTTTGTTAAGTCCTTCGGGGACAACTACAAAATTAAATTTAAACGAAATTCCATATTCAAACTTAATTCAAATATGAACTAAAAATAATGATATTCTAACGAATATTATACTGGTATAATTTGTGTGTGTGTTAGCTTGCAAATGTTGATTTTTTTTTTTGCTTCAATCACAGACAGTCATGCTTTGATAAATTATTCTGTTTTAGAATTGGTCAGAATATTGTTTTTTATGCACAGGACAGACGACACTCAGATCTATGTCTCACTGACTGCAGGAGAACATGGACCAGTGGACTCACTCCTTCACTGTATCCAACAGATCAGTGGGTGGATGCAAAACAACTTCCTTCAGCTAAACGCAGACAAAACTGAAATGATTGTCTTTGGTCCCCAGAATCAAAGAGAGAGCGTCATCTGTCAGCTCCAGTCTCTCTCCCTAAAACCTTTAACAAGCTCAGAAATCTAGGGGTAATACTGGAATTGAATTTTAATAGCCACATCAAATCAGTAACATCAGCAGCTTTTACCATCTTAAAAACATTGCCAGGATCAAAAACAAAGTGTCTGAAGCAGACTTGGAGATTCTCATCCATGCATTTGTCTCCAGTAGGTTAGACTACTGTAATTTTAATACTAATAACACAATGTAAATTTAATGTGGTTTTTGAATTTATGTCTCAGGCCTAATTGACAAAGATTGTAACCCTGTTGTGGAATGCCAGCGACTGTGAAAGTGAGCGAGTACCCTTGTCTGTAGCAAAGCCGGCGAAGTTTCAATTCAGAGCAGTTCAGTTGAGTGAGTCCAATAATGATCCCAGCGAACGTTCCCTGAAAAAAAGTGTAAGTTTAGTGTTTCTTCCACTGGAGGACTGTTCCGTTTGTTCCTACCTGCTCCATTACTACATGCTTCCCGTGATAGTCCAGGCGAATGGGGACTTCGGAGGTAAATTGAAACTCTCTGATAAGAAAAGGAAAGCGCTCATGTCGACTCTTTTCAAAGTGCAGTTGTCGTGATATTACCTGAAGAAGATGGGCTGGTCTGTGAAGGTGAGAGCGGCTGCTTCGCTCTCGTGGGCCTCAAATCCCGAGAATCCGCTCAGACGTCTGTGGGTCGGGACAGAGATGATTGGCGCAGGGTCCTGGCTGCTGGGCTTTGAGAAAGAGCAGGAGATTTCCGGAGCGGACACTTTAGGAGACACGCTGGGAGCTGGGAGGAAATCAGAAAGGAAGTATAATCTCAAAATGCCTTTAGCTGTAATATTTGAAAGAAGAGAAGGAGAGGGAAACTTGAAAAAGTATCCAGTGTTTTATTCATCATTTGCATTTGTGGTTATTTTTATACACATTATTGAATTTTATTGAAATTGAGTTTTGATATTCTAGAGTTTGGCATCAGATAGATTTGGATGATTGGCTGAAAAAACAATATTCCAAATAAATAAGTATGAGGAAAACAACTAAAAGATGATCCAAAGCTGTGTAGTCTGTATCCCCTTTGAAAAATGAAAATAAAACTTGCCTTCTTGAGCAGGTGGAGCGAAAAACTCAACTTCTGCAGCGAGACTCGAGAAAAAGTCTTTCAGGAAGAACAGTGCGTCCTGGACACAAACAATTATTACATTATTCTAATTATGACAGAGCAGACACGGAAGAAGTACTAGTCTGTACTTGGGAAATAGTATAGATACTGGTTATTACTTAGTTAAAAGTTGAAAAGTTTGTACTTTAACCAAACAGTAAAAAGTAACATTCATTTTTTTAGACTAAATGACAGGCAATATACGGTACTGAGGTATTATAGATAATTGCCAAAATGGGCGAAACTGAACATAGAAGCGCAGCTAACCACAATGAAGCAAGGCTAATCCCTTCAACCTCGTCTTGTGCCGTTAGCTGTGAATAGTCCTTTGTTCATGTAAGGAGTGGAAAGTAGACATTTTTGGGTTTAAGAATAAAATAAAAATAATTGTCAGAAAAATAACTTGTCAAGTAAAGCACAATGGGGGAGAGATTTAAAGTGTGTGTGTGTGTGTGTGTGTGTGTGTGTGTGCGTGAGTCTTAGTGTTTGTGTGTGTCTGTGTGTTAGTGTGTGTGTACCTGTATATGTGAATTCTATTTTGAAATACAAATACCAATCTAAAATCCTAATTGCCACCTCTGCCTTACAGTATCTCGTCCTCTGCCTTTCTCTTTGACACACAGCTCATTACCTGATCAATATTGAGGCGCAGAGGCATGAGAGAAACCCGCAGGCAGCACTCCTGTGGGGCCTGTCCGGACTCTGGACTCATGTGGAGGGCCTTCACCGTCAGCTGGGAGACAAAACAGATTTAAACTGAGCCAGCCACTTCAAAAACCAGACAAGAACCAGGTCTGTCTTCACCATGTTGGAATGCGCCTTCCTGGGCATCTCTTTGCTCGAGTACAAATACAGAAACTTGTTCATTTGCGAGGTGGCTAGCCGGTCTCGTATCTCCAGATCCTGAACCGAGAACACTTGGCGAGAGACTGGCTGGTCGGATGCTGTGCCGGAAGAGCCTTGTGCTTGTTGGTAGACTTCATGTTGAAATCTGACCTAAGTTAACAACAAAAGAATAAATTATAAATAGATTGTCAAGGCAGAATGCGATAAAGCTGGCCACGGTTACAATGTACCTTGCTGAGCTGAATCTCCATCAACACGTCTGGATTTCTCCCTTTACCACCTCCAGTCTTTCCGGGAGGTCTGGGCTGCCGTACAGGGGTCTGAGAGGGGGAACTGAAAGGCGTTGAGCTAAAAGAGGACAAAGCATAGTAACAAAAACACACTTATCAAAACAATTTGGTTCACTCGCTAGTCACCAGTGCAGGCAAACATCACAAACACGCAAAAATGTTATTGTGGTACCTCTGTTTCATACAGTCACTCTAAATTATACCAGTCTTATAGCGATTGGTATTTTATCAATCGCTATAAGACAATCGCCCCTATTTAAGGGGCCACTAGAAAATGTCTTGCAGGCCTTTTAAATGCCTGGTATTCAATTCATTGTATTTATTTCAATTAATTTAAGGACAATAATGGACATCGGTAATCCAAACCCTTATGTACCAATGAGCAATGACCAATTTGATTCTCTGATCTGTGTTGGCGAATCGACAATGTTGTAAAGTCCTCCGAGACAACTGCTTTTGTGACTTAGGGCTATACAAAAATAAATTTAAATACATTGAAAAATATTTTTGTACAGCCCTAAATCAGCAGTGGTCTCAACAACAGATCAGAGAACCAAACCGATACAGTCAAACCAAGTCACATGTTAAGGCTGTAAGTTATTCCAAATGTTCCTAAACTTCTTCACATACTGCTAATTTTGTGTTTGTGTGTGTGTGTGTGTGTGTCCATACCCACGACTTCTCGCCGGTGAGACTGAGAACCCTCCACTCCCAAAGTCTTTTCCTCCGTATAGATGCCACACCACTGAAATCTCCCGGATTAGGTAGCGCACTTCTGGTACGGGGAAATGCAGAGCTCCTCGACTCGCACTGCTCTCCAGCGGCTGACTGAAGTGATCGTTCCTCACCTCCACCGGCTCCGAGGACAGACGCTTCACTATGGGCTCCTGATCACGGCCCTGCAACACCAGTGCACAAGGCCAAGACGTTGCAGTTAGTTTTGATGCAGGTGGCAAAGGTACTAGACATAAATAGATTCGATAGATGCTTTATTGTTCCCCCCATGGGAGAAATTCAAGTGTACAGCAGTAGCAACACATCCATCCATACAAACAAATAAACAAATACATCATTCTAAAAGTTACAAACAAAAGTATGTGTAGAGTAAGAGTATAAGTATAGATTTTTTCTTGAGTTGTGTGATTGGGACACTGCATGTTAATGAACACAGATACTTCTAGATACTAGTAGAACATGCAGTAGATACAGTACTTGTAAATCCCTACCATACTCAAGTAAAACTATGTATTGACCAATATGGTGTTTTCAGAACCAATACCAATAAATAGTATAAATATTCAGTGAGGCTGATAACCGATAGGGAGTAAATAAGAAAGTAAGTAATATTTACTGTATTTACATAGCGCAATACACAGACCAAGGTCAGACAAACTGCTTTACAATGTTGGAGTAGTGGTCATTTCCATTCACTCCACACACAGTGATGAAGTAAAGGTTTTTGTAAGTACTGAATAACGGTTGGCAATACTATTATTAGTGTTCAAGTAAACAGATATATGCTAAAGATTGAGATTTTACTCTCTGGTCCCTCTCTCTCTCTCTGGTCCCTCTCTCTCTCTGGTCCCTCTCTCTCTCTGGTCCCTCTCTCTCTCTGGTCCCTCTCTCTCTCTGGTCCCTCTCTCTCTCTCTGGTTCCTCTCTCTCTCTCTCTGGTCTCTCTCTCTCTCTGGTCTCTCTCTGGTCTCTCTCTGGTCTCTCTCTGGTCTCTCTCTGGTCTCTCTCTGGTCTCTCTCTCTCTGGTCTCTCTCTCTCTGGTCTCTCTCTCTCTGGTCTCTCTCTCTCTGGTCTCTCTCTGGTCTCTCTCTGGTCTCTCTCTGGTCTCTCTCTGGTCTCTCTCTGGTCTCTCTCTGGTCTCTCTCTGGTCCCTCTCTCTCTCTCTCTCTGTCTCTCTCTCTGGTCTCTCTCTCTGGTCCCTCTCTCTCTCTCTGGTCCCTCTCTCTCTCTCTGGTCCCTCTCTCTCTCTCTCTGGTCCCTCTCTCTCTCTCTCTGGTCCCTCTCTCTCTCTCTCTGGTCCCTCTCTCTCTCTCTGGTCTCTCTGGTCTCTCTCTGGTCTCTCTCTGGTCTCTCTCTGGTCTCTCTCTGGTCTCTCTCTGGTCTCTCTCTGGTCTCTCTCTGGTCTCTCTCTGGTCTCTCTCTGGTCTCTCTCTGGTCTCTGGTCCCCTCTCTCTCTCTCTGGTCCCTCTCTCTCTCTGGTCCCTCTCTCTCTCTGGTCCCTCTCTCTCTCTCTGGTCCCTCTCTCTCTCTCTGGTCCCTCTCTCTCTCTCTGGTCCCTCTCTCTCTCTCTGGTCCCTCTCTCTCTCTCTGGTCCCTCTCTCTCTCTCTGGTCTCTCTCTCTCTCTGGTCTCTCTCTCTCTGGTCTCTCTCTCTCTCTGGTCTCTCTCTCTCTGGTCTCTCTCTCTCTGGTCTCTCTCTCTCTGGTCTCTCTCTGGTCTCTCTCTGGTCTCTCTCTGGTCTCTCTCTGGTCTCTCTCTGGTCTCTCTCTGGTCTCTCTCTGGTCTCTCTCTGGTCTCTCTCTCTGGTCTCCCTCTCTCTCTGGTCTCCCTCTCTCTCTGGTCTCTCTCTCTCTCTGGTCCCCCTCTCTCTCTCTGGTCCCTCTCTCTCTCTCTGGTCCCTCTCTCTCTCTGGTCCCTCTCTCTCTCTGGTCTCTCTCTCTCTCTGGTCTCTCTCTCTAACTGAAATTTATCCTCTGTGGGACGAATAAAAGGTATCTATATAGTACTGTAAGTCAGTAATAACCATGACAGAATCTAACCTCTGCTCTGCAACCAGGAGTGTCCAGGATGCAGAAGTCGTCCGTCTCCTGGGCCAGGTTTGGGACAGGGGTGATGAGGGGGGAGTGGAGCATGGGGTAAGTGGGGCAGGAATCCTGGTTGGAAGATCCACTCTCGTCTGGGAACAGGAATAGGTCGGACTGAGGAGCCTCATGCAGACACGCCTCCTCCTGGGTGCCTGGCAACAAATCACAACACATTAGGGAAATCGAGCTAGACAATGATGTATAATGTATGAATGAGATTTTGGGAATTATTCTTTCATCGACCAATCTCCATTTAAATACAATTAAAAAGACTCTTTTGATATAAACTTCCAATATGACTGTGATTTTATCACAGTCATAGAAAATTTTATTTTTGCATTATCATTGCATTTCTTGGGTTGAACTGTTGATTCTCTGATCTGTGTTGGTGAATTCAACGGTTCTGTTAAGTCCTCTGAGATAACTACTGTTGTGATTAAGGGCTAAACAAGAATAAAGTGAATTGAGGGAGGACCTTTCTCGTAAAACAAGAAATAGCATTGGTGGATTTCAAGACATTAAGCTGGAGAAGCTTCTCGCTTCATGAATAAAATATAAATGTGTATACTTCAACAACCTCATACAGAGGACAGAGATACTAATTCCCTCAGTCCTGCCACTCAGCACTGTGGTCTTGTGTTTTTTCTCTCCGGTCTCTTTTGACACTTTTCTAACTACCTGAACTCAATATTGCTGCTGTACGATCACGGAGATATCCACTAATGGCCTCGGCGCACATAAGCCACAAAGGTTTTCTCCTGACTTGCAATAAAAAGGTAACTGTCATGTTATACTAGCGGTTATACTAGCGGTTAACCATGTACTGGCGAGGGACCAGTGCAAAAGCTAATCTTCATGTTTGCTTCAGTTGATTCGAGCTTCCTACAAAAACCACACGACGGTGGAAATATTGTCCTCACCATTCTGTTGGACAGCCTGTGTCTGCTGTGAGTCCGACTCTTCCATCGCGTCACTCATTAGATCTTGGAGAATTTGTTGTTCGTTGTCAGCAAGTAAAGGCATAGGAGAGGTGCTTTGTGTGGGGCACTCGGCCTGAGGAGAATCAGGAGATAAGATTAGACAAAATACAAGACAAATATTTATATGCAAATCGACTTTATTGAGCTTTCCACTATGTTATAAGATTGTTTCTCAGCAAAAAACATTTATGCTAATATGATAATATGATAATTTTCTCCGTCAATCAATTAGACTCTTTCATGAGGATTAAACATGTGACGTGTATGACTGGGATTCGTCCTCCTCACTGTCAATCCTTTTTCTAAGCATCAATCAAACGTCTTGTTTTCCTTCGCCAACACATGCCAGATTGCAGAGCCTGTGTATTTAGCTGATAATCAGCTAATTGTGATTTTGTCAAAAATGAAAGAGCAGGAATAACAAAGAAAGAAGCAGAGAAGAGGTGGCTGCCAGGAGAGGATGGAAATAAAACTAGAAAAAAAAACACTTGATTCAACCAATTAGTACATCATATTTCATCATTTTTGTCAGCGTAACTTTAACTTTATTATTCAAAAACATGAAATGACAAAATAAAGTCTCTTTAAAAATGGTTAAAACAACGATAAACATTCCCATCTCACTTCGCACAGACGCTGGTTCTGTTACAGACCTGTTTCTTTTGAGCAGTGCTGTGTTTGGAGATGAGCCGGGCCTCGTGCTCTGAAGGCGGGACCAGGTCTCCGTAACTCGCCACGTACTGGATCAGGTTCATGAGAGCAGCACAGGAGTCTGCGCACGTCCGGATGTGGATGATGTCACTGGAACACCGCAGCTCAAATTTGGGCTCAGACTAAAACAAATAAGACATTTTTAATATACAATATGTTTGATTATTAGTTGTTTTTTAATATTAATTCATACCAATTTTCCATTTACTCCTAGTTTTACAGCTGTAATCCTTAACTCTAGTGTTCCCATATCTACTACTTGGACATAATCTACAGAAAACAGAAGAGTATGCGTTATTCCAGTTTACAATTCAAAAGGTGTACATAATAGTTAGGTTAAAACACATACCTCGTGCAAGATTGACTAAGTCGGTATTACTTTTGTCTGAGAGGTACAAAGAAGTTTCATCCAATATAATTCTAGAAAAGAAATAATGTATTCATTACGATGCGTATTAGAGGTGGGGATTGGAAAAAATGTGACGATTCTGCAGTATTAAGATATTTTGGGATGATTATTAACATATTGCATATTCTCAACATATTGCGATTCATGTCCCTCAAATTATTATAAGGCATCACAAAAAGCGGTGAGATCCCAAAATGCAAATCCAAATGCGTTCAAATCAAGATACATTTTGCCAAATTTGAGCAATTTTTGACTTATTTTTCATCACTTTTTGCATGTAAAACATGACATTTGTTCAATCCTATCTTACCTGAGAGTGGATGAGGAATAGTCCAGTGAGACGCTGCTGGAGATGCTGAAGGTTTCCACGAACACCAGAGACCTCAGAGGCAGATACAGCGGCCTGCGCAGACACCACTTAGTAAGATTCATGCAACTATTTAAGAAATGAGTAGAGATCAGGAAGTCCCAGGTTCATAAAAATTCAACTTAAAAAATGTTTTAAGAATAGCAACACACTGTCAGCAGTTAGCAAAAAGTAAATGATGTAATGACTAGTTCACTTGATTTCAGTGTATTTTCTAATCAAACCGTTTTTTATACTTTTTTAGATAATATTATAGTTATCAATGTTTTTCTTCTTGTTGTTACAAGAATGACATAAATGGTAAAATCATGAATTTAATAGCTGTAATGATATGGGGAAAAGCTATTTTTTCGGAGAATTTCTCAGAACGGCTAAATCAAACAGAAGACCTCAGTAATGATGGTCAGACACTGGGGCGACTCTGATACATGAACGTTATGCTTTCACCTGTAGTCAAGAGAACAGCTCCATAAGTGCAAATGTAACGTTGTTGCAGAAGTGGGAGGAGCATAACCCAACACAGGCTCCTCCGAAATGTTCAGAAAGTCCACTATCTGATGTCACAGAACAGAAACATGTTCAGCCAAGTACAACTGTTGTTTTAGCGATCGGAGGACGAGGTGTTTTTACCTGGTCATACCAACTCAGACCAGAAGCAACCACTCTGTGCTGCAGGGTGGCCCCCCTCACACCAACGGCAACCAGAAACTCCTGTACAGAGAAGAAATTCAGATACATTTTGTGCAGTCCTAAAACACAACAGAAGTTATCTTGGAGGACTTTACAAAACAGTACATTTTTTTGAGAATTAAACAGTTCAAGCACAAGAAAGGCAATGACAGAAAAGAGCTATTGATCCATGAGGGGCAGACGACCAATGTCCATAAATGTTGTTGAATTTTGAGTGTTCTGGCTCATCCCCACTGTCCTTGGACCCTCCTGCATTGATGAGGAAGTAGCAGAGTTACATTATATGATATTAAAGTTCCTTGTACTTTTTTACCTTGTTTTGTACTTGTCTTGTGCACACTAGGGTATTTTTTCACATGTATTCCAATGTGATCTTACTGCAAATGGATAATTAATCTGAATCTGAAGGGACAGCCTGTACGTTGGTTGATACTAATTACTAATGAAAAAAACAATAGATTTGATGGCCACATTGGATTATCTGCTTTAAACAATGATAAATCAAAATTAGTCTGTAGATTGGGTTGGCTCGAGTTTGGGATTATTGTCTTGCCAATAGACACAACCACGTTTCATCTTCAAGCCCTTAATGATGGAAGGGGATTTTCACTAAAAATCTCACTATACATACACCATTCATTCTTCACTTTACACTGATCAATTGTCCTGGTCTCTTTGAGGAAAAACAGCCCTAAAAGCATGATGTATCCACCCCCATGCTTCACTGTAGGTATTGTGTTCTTTGCATCATGTGATTTTCTGGATATTTTGTCTTTCATAATTGAGGTATGCTTATAATGAAAACGACAGGCATCTCTCTTCTTTTTAAGTGGGAGGACTTGCACACTTTGTGGCTGACTAAACACTTTATTCTCACTGTACAAAAGGCAGGTGCAGTTTGTGGCTCACCTTTACATTGTGCTCCAGACTCTGAGAGGACACTTTGACAGCGACAGAGACCATGCTCCGAGCCTCCAGCCCCAGCCCCTCAGAGGGAGTGGGCGTTCGGTCAGGACACGTCTCACATTGGTAAATCGCTGGTTCGAGCCAATGAGGATGTGTTTTAGAGGGGAGTTTCAGGTCTGTGCCGGCTGTGTCCCCATCTACAAGCCCTAAAAAACAAGTACAAGAAACATGAAAGACTAAACAAAAGCCAGGCGAGTCTTTGATGTTTGGTTTCCAGTTACCTTGGTGATACATGCAAATATTACTAGTGTGAAAGCAAATGTAGTGATGGTCTTTGAAGCCCTCGTACTGTGTCACACTAAAAAGCACAGCGTTTTTGATCTCCAACCAGAATTCCCCATGCTTGTTTTTCAGAACCGTCTTGTCTTTCTGTTAAAAAAAAAAGGGTTAGGGTTCTTGTTTCGCCCAACATGTTCAATTTAACTCTTGAATAGCACTAAATCACAACAATAGTTAACTCGGGGGACTTAGCAAAACCATTGATTTTTCCAACACAGATCTGAGAATCAAACAGTCATAATGATAACGCATCGCTTCCATATAGCAATGTCTTTGGACTCTCAAAGATGCTTCACATGTCAGTATACATTCACTCCATACACAGTGGTGATAAACTACTATTGTAGCTACATCTGCCCTGGGGCACACTGACAGAAGTGAGGCAACCAGTTTGTGCCGTAGGCCCACAATCATTCACATTATACTAATGTTAGTATTAGATAGCAATATGGCCTATGTGCAGGACTGTACAAGGACTCTGATTATTTTGACTATGATGTGACTGTCTCTGTGTGACACGTACGTCTTTCGATGTGTGACGTGACAATGACTATATAAACTGTGTACTGCCTTTATTCTGTCTGAGAGAAAGAGGCAAAGGAAACCACTGGAACTTGAGAGAAACTTAAATAAACTTCCAGAGTTTGGCGCACCACGATCCGTCTCTGTCTGCTTCATCCCTGACACTAATTCTAGGCAATGTGGGTGAAGTGTGTTGCCTCAGGACACAAGGACAGTTTGGCATTTACAGCCGCCCCACTGTGGCACCTGGTATTTCCAGGCCCTGCCCTGCCTCACTCAAAAGTACCTTGGCGTCCGTGTGTAGAGCCACCAGGCCGTGGTTTACAGACAGGACCACAGAGAGGAGGCTCTGAGAGGTCTTAGTTGGCATCTTGCTTTTTTTCCTTTTACGGGACCTGAGGCCACAGTCAGAGTCAGGGGAATAGTAGTGTATGTTGTCTTCATCTGAAGCACTGGACTCGTCTGCAGCAAATACAATACAAAGTACAGAACATTTTATTCACCTGTAATTGAAACTGACTATATATAAAAAGTAATTGTACCTTCAAAGCCTGTGGTGCGGAACTGGCTGAAACTGTCCTTAGCGTACGTGTTGATCAACTGACTGGCGACCGAGAGTCCCACTCCATAAGGCATGGACTCCACCGTCTCCACGGGAGACGGGGCGGTGGGCTCCCACAACAGCAGATCATTGCTAATTCTAGTACAGACATAACCTTGTCAACATATGATGTAGATTGACAAAATGCAGCTTAAATAAAAAGGCACCTGTTGTGTAGTTTTTCATAAAAAGTTTTGCTTGGAAAAGCCAACTGAACATTGGGAAAGCAGAGTTCAAGAATGAACCGAGAGTTGTTCATGGTTTTTTCTTGAAAGTCTGTCATCTCGGCCACATCACCCGGAATCACCATCTGCAAAAATGAACATTTCAAAAATAACATATGTAAAGTTGTGTGTGGCCTTTTGCATAAATGCACATTTGAATCCATCAGCTGGGGTCCTCTTTAGTCCTGGATGCAAATGTGTGCACCTGCACTAAGCATGCAACAAAGCATCAAAAATCGTACATCAATATTAGCAATAGTTAGTGCTGTCCAAACATTTGATACAGATTTTAGCATTCTAGCATCCGGTACAATATTTATAACTTTACTTTTCAATTGGTTGGGACCCTGCATTTTAGATTGTAGTTTGAACAATTGGAAACCTACACAGATGCGGGGAGAACATCCTTCACTCCACACAGAAAGGCCCTGTTTGCAGGTGGACTCAAACCCAGCTAATAAATATGAAAAAAATTCTCAAAAATTCTTAATAATAATTTAGCCAGTAAATGTGCATTTTTGGGATGAGTAAACATAGGTAATCATGGTAACACTTTAGTTTAGCCCTTACTAATTAACAGCTCATTAAGTGCTAATTAGTGAACCCTAACCCTAAGCCATATGGGAAATTGTCCATTAGTAGTTGTTAAATGAAGCCATGTTATATCAAGACTAAAAAGTGTTTAATAAATACCAATTAATAGCTAATTAACCTTAAATTATATACTAATGATCACTTAATATGCTGTTAATTAGTGAGGGCTTAACTGCGTGTGACCGGCACATTAGGCAACGTCCTTCACCTCTTCGTTCTCGTACATGACTCTCCGGGAGGAAAAAGGCGATGGTTCTGGTTTCCCAAAGTCACAGACGTCTTTTAGGGAGTGAGCTGCTCCTTCCTCCTCCTCCTCCTCCAGCGAGTGCTCCTCTGCTCCTTCATCATCCTCCACCGTCACTCTCTCCAGAATCGAGTGCACCACAGTCGGGTTCATCTTCAGGACAATTCTAACCAGAGAACATAATGAAATATGAGGTAATTATAGAGGTTTTATCTTAATTCCAGTACATTCTGACAATATTTACCAATAAGACAAAGCCATTTTGCCTTATTTCAAAGAGATATTTTTTCTCACCCCTTTGGCAAATCTTTTTTAAGGCAGTCAAAATGTGTCCAAATTAAGATACATTTTGCTACATTTATTTTTTAATTGTTCATCATTACTTTTTGCTGTGCACCCCAAGTCAAAAATAATGGAACAAACCTGGGCCAATCAAATTTAACGCTGGATGTGGTTAGGTCCCCGTCCATTGCGTTCGACACCCTCAGGAAACACGTTGTTGGTTGGACTTGCTCTTCTTGAAATTTCCCTGAAAGAGAAGATTATGACATTGAGATTTGCTGCATCGTTTAATTGCTGCTGGTTGGTTCTTGGACTGTGGCTCGGCAACATCACAGGCAAAGGAGTGAGAAAAAGCTGTGAGACCAGAGTGAGACCAGAGTGAGACCAGAGAGATGTCATGCAGAGAGACCACAGAGAGACCAATGAGAGACCCAAGAGAGAGACCAGAGAGAGGTATTGTAGCTTGTTTTATTTATGTACTTGTCTTCCGCACACATGGGGACTTTTGCACATGTATTCCAATGTGGTTTTACTGCAGATGGAAAATAAACCGAATCTGAATCTTCACAATAGGACAGTAGTAAATACCTGTGAGCTCCCTGAAGGTCAGCTCCAGCTTCATCTGGTCCGGAGAGCTTCCTCGCTTGAACTCAGTTTTCATTTCAAAGTCTTCCATCTCCAAGAACAGGATTTCCTTTTGCAGAGATTTCTTAAACCACGGCCCCCTCTCTTGATCGGAGCGTAAATCGGGGATGGGAAACCGCACTGCGAAGCCTAGAACTGGAGCCGTGACCGTGAGGGACACATGACAGTTCGCAGGTGTCTGGCTGTCATCAAGGAAAACCTCTGTAAAGGCTTTGTGCTGAAATTAATATGAAAATCAGTGAGAAACCATCTACACATATGCAGGGGGGTCAGGGGCCGAGCAAACAATTACAAAAATAGGAGCTGCTCAGGCCTAAAAGAATAATTGTTTTTTACTTTATGAAGGTACTTTGACATTACTTTTACTTGTCATGAAATGTGTTTATTATTGGATTTCACCCAAACTGAACCAATTATAGAGTTAAATATATTGTTTTATTTACGTCTAATGATGTGTTGGGTAAAAATTTTAGAATGAATTAAATACGTTTTTTTATGTGAGAAAATAGGTGATGTATAACATGCCAAGGCAGTGAATTATCATCAATGCTGCAAGTTAATATTGATCATAAAAAAAATAAAAAATAAAATCACATTAGCGGTTATTAAAAATAGTCGGATCTGAGTTTGACATGCCTGTTTGAAATAGACTTTCCACGTCCTTACTCACCAAGCTAACGTGCTTATTGTATGACGTGTACATGTGGGAAGCCATGACTTCTGTTGTGGATAGTTTCTGTGGCTGCAGTAAGGAGTTCAGACGATCCACAATGCTGATGTCCAGTTCAGAGTGTGCGCGGCCGAGCTCGACCTGAATATCAGCTTTTCTAGGAATGGTGCTGAGACGAACTTGGCCTCCCTGCGTGAAAGAATGTGTCAATTTACCAAATGCATTGATAGGACTGAAGATAGGAATAACACATTTATTCACTCTCTGGTTGCCTTGTTGCAGGATAAGCAGATTAGAGCTAACTCAAAACAGAATCTGGAGGCAAAGTATCTTATGTAGCTAGCAACCAAAGAGAGAATCAAAAACGAGGCTGGTCAGGTCATACTCCCCCCCATACTTGCTAGAAAACGTAATAAATAACAAATGAAAACTAGAATGACCCGACGTCCTCATTTCTGTAATATAGTAACAATAATAAAACTAAAATCAATTTTATATAGGCCATGCCAATATTCATTCACTCTAAACAAGAAGATGATAAACTACAATATTAGCCACAGCTGCCCTGGGGCACACTGACAGAAGCTAGGCAACCAGTATGTGTCGCTGGCCCTTCCAACACACACATTCACACACACCAGACTGTGGGTGAAGTGCCTAAGAACTACAGTTTGGCACTTTACTAAGAAGCACCAAGGTATTTCAAGAGTTCTCCCATCGCAATTCTAACAAGAACCTGCCCTGCTTAGCTGCAGAGGTCTGACTAGATCTGGCTTTCATTTGCAGGTGGTGCCACAATACAATGTAAAGTATAACAAATGGTCCAGACTCTCAGTGGGAACCGCACTGACATTCAACTTGCCACAAAATACCTTTTCTGTCCACAAATGACCTAGAGCCTGATATTTGGTAGTATGAAAAGGTCCTGTTTTGGTTGAACACGTTTACCTGTGGGCCTCTGCGCTCAGCCAGTTTGTAGAGTAGGTGGAAACAGGTGGGGAGCTGAGCGTCAGCCTCAGTGGTGGTGTCAAATTTCAGGAGCTGAAGTGTGCCAGACAAATTAGAAAAATCAAAATGACTACTTTTACGCACTTTCCATGCAAATATGCTGGCTTTAACCAACACGCACTGCATTCGTCAGACAGAAACCAACCTCAGTATATTGAACGCCTCTGTGCGAACCACTGTGGCCGACCTCACACGGGAACAGACACTCTAGAAGCTCCATCTGATTGAGGGAGATGTCTGTGCTGTACGTGTGCAAAGTGGATCCTTGATAATGTTCGTAACTTATCTTCAAACCGTGACCGACCAACCTATGAGCAAGAACAGGTCTATAAAGATCTGATTTTCGTCACATTTTAGTTTATCCTTCCCTAATTAGCAGCTAAAGAAGTGCTAATTTGTGTAGAATTTATGGTTACTTAACTCTTAATTGGTATTTATTAAAAACGTATTAGTCCTCTCACAAACACTTTCCCATGTGGGTTAGGGCTAGGGTTAGGACAAAGACTATGGTATGGGTTGTGGTTAGTACTAGGGCTAGGTCTAGGGTTAAGGTTAGGACAAGGGCTATGGTTAAGTTTAGGACTAGGGCCAAGATTAAGGCTGGGGTTAGGACTAGGGCCAGGTCTAGGGTTAAGGTTAGGACTAGGGCTATGGTTAGAGATAGGTTTAGGACTAGGGCTAGGTGGTCTAGAGTTAACGCTAGGATTAGGACTATGGTTAGGGTTTGGGTAAGGACTAGGGCTATGGATAGGGAAAGGGCGAAGGCAAGGGTTAGGTTTAGGGTACCTATTTAGCTGTTATTAAGGCCTAATCTACAGCATTTCCCAGCAGCTTTGCACAATGTGAAGCAGATGTTTACCGGAGATGGTCATGAGGGCACGCCGTATCAAACACAGCTCTAGTCTGAAAGAAGGCTGCGCAATCGTGCGGCTGTTGTCCCGCGGTGCAGAAAAAGTGTGCCGCGATGGGACCGAGAGTACACGGAGCTGCATCTGGAGACGGGAGAGGGTCGATGTGGAGGACGGCGAGCGCCAGACTGCCGAGCGTTAGCTTTAGCACCAGCTCTGGCCTCGACTCGTCACCACAGGCTTTGGAAGGATGAGCTACAAAGGGGAAATAGGAGTGGTATTTTATTGTTCAGCAAAATACTATTTCATCTGCATACACTGCAAAAAATGATAAAAGATGAGGTAATAATTGCTTAAATTATTGAGTGGTTTTCACCTTAATTTGAGAACATTCTGACCGTCTAAAAACAAGATTTGCCACTGAGACAAAGCCGAAGAACTATGGCTTTATTTTCTCATTCCAAGGGAGATATTTCTTTTTAAAACAAGATAATTGTTTTTGTCCCATTGGCAAGTCAGAATGTGCAGAATGAAGATACATTTTGCCAGATTTGACTTATTCTTCATCACTTTTGCAGTATAAAGCTTGAATACGGTACATACAAGTCTGCCGAGGTAATTTGTGAGACGTGAGAGAGTCGTGTGATTGGCCGGGAGATTCATTGGTCGTCTTCTCATTCTGTCTTGGTACGTCCAAATACTCATCCCAGGAAACCTATTGACAAACAGAGATTGCATTTATCCCTTCAGTATGTGGTAAATGTAAAGCAGGGCGAACTCTAGCTTTTAGTTTTGGAAATTGGTAGTTTATTTCTACACCATAATCTTTTATTAAATGATCTTTTATTATTGAAACATGAGCTGTTAGTTACCAAAGTGACCTGCCAGCTGTTAGCATTTGGTAGCTTTTCAACAAAATTTTTGCTGTATTTCAAGTTATATTCACCAGTCTTAACTCTTGTGAGAAGTGAGTTAAGGTAAACAAAAATTGGAATATTGAACTTTTTGGTTTGAAAAGATAGCAGTCAAAATGACGACTTGTGGTTTCATAATTATGGGAGTCCTAGTGTTAATGAAAAGTTTAAATGTTTATATACACAATTCCCATCACAAAGCTATCATAAAAATACTTTACAGACGCTGACATCTCAAACATAATCAATGTTACTCACGCTGCTTCTCACGCTGCTACCAAGAAGCAGAGGCCTGAAGAAGTTGATTTGATTTTTTTAAGAGATTGATTTTTAAGAGAATAAACTTGCCACTCTGGTATAATAATCAACAAGTAGACTCAAACAGAAGACCAAATTAACCTTATTGGACCAGAAGAAAACATTGCACGTTTAACCTCAATTTCACGATTTTGACATTTCTCACACTTTCGATTATCATAAAGGTAAATTAATCAGAATTGATCAAAGTATGGCCCAGCTCTAGGTAAATGAGTGCGTTAGTGGAACATACCATTGCATTTCCTGGAGGAGATTCTCGAGACGAATAATTACTATTAAGAGACAAGTCCAAGTCGACAGTGGGCGGTTCACCCAGAGGAGGAAGAGAGGACAGACTGTGAGACATGTCCATATCGGCCATAGAGAAAAACACGTCATCTGTGCAGAAAGAGGCCAGCAACACAAGTTAGAATCCAGAAATCAACAGCAGTGAGTGAATGAAAAGGGACGCACACCTCGACTTGAAACGGTTTTGGTCGTGTGGCTGTCAAACAGTTCTGCTCCAGGTGCCGTAGTGTCTTTCTTCAGGCACCGATTGAGTTCCATGTGAAGTCTGTATTCGTCTTCCTGCTGTATGGGGCGGCTCTTTCTGTCTTTAGCCCATTCTTGGGAAACTTCCAGAATAAGGAATAGCTATTATTTATTTGGTACAATGCAATTATTAATCCAAACATCACAGAAAAAGAAAGGAGCACTATAAACACGGTGCGTCATCTTTATTGTAATGTAGAATGTTAGGTATAAAGTATATATATTTTTTATTATTGCGTTTAGGGTTCAATGTTTATAGTAAAATAAATGGTGTGGTTATTTGATTGATAAATTTTGCTTTAAAATGATGTAGAGAGAGACCAGAGAAAGACCAGAGAGAGCTTTGTCCCACAAGCTGTTATTAGTTTGAACACAGCATTTTATTGATTTTGCACTTGTTATCAAAGCCGGTCATTCTATATTTTTTTTATAAAATCATCAGAATCTAAACTCACCGCGGCCAGAAAAGGTTCCAAACATATCAAGAAGTAGATGCACTTGTCGCGGTGACAGAAGTAAAATAAGTGTGTTGATTTCTCCACTAACATGAAACTATAAATCAAAAAATGATTTTTAAAATCTTTGCATACATTTAGATAAATTTAAGGATATGAATTGTGGATACTTTTCTATTTGCATTACCTTTGCTCCAGGCATTGCAGGATTATTTTTTAAAGTGAGAGATAGCTCAAGTTTACCCCCAAGCCTGCCCACTTGAACTGGTTCAAAATGTGTCGCAGAAGATATGTGTTCTGTAAACTGGGGGTGAGGTTCACAAATGATCTTAGGATTCCAGCTTGGGGACAACTTTGGTTCAGTTTCCTAAAAGAATAAACAGAATTAATTATGTATATGTAGATTTATGCACATTGTGATTTTGAAATAGTTTAGACAACCCTTACTCCGGGGGTAGGAGAGGATTTACAGCCCTGGGACAAATCTGAGAATTCATCCCAGAAGACGGTGACTCCCTCCAGCTGCAGCTTCTTGTGTGCGAATGTTGTCGGCTGATGAACGTTGACGCTTGAACCTTCTTCATCACTTTCATCAAAGTAAACAATCCTTTATCGCAAAAACAAAACAGCACAAATACAAATGATCATCTGTACCTAGATACCAGACTTAATCTGTTGCTGTTTCAGTTAAACTCACTTGTTGATCCTCAATTCAAGCGCAATCCCAGTTTTTGAATTTTCTGGAATGTGTTCAAGTCTAAGAACAGTATCTAAAAAGGTCATTTTTACTCTTCTGAGAACTGCAAGAGTCAAAAGAGTGAAAATTAACATATTACTGAAGCTAACAATATTACCCGCTTCAGACGTACCAGTCTCTATTGTTTCTGCAAACTTTTCGAGGCCTTCAAACGGTTGAAAACTCTCCCCGATGTCATCTGTCAGTTTCTGACTCAAACACTCTTTGGCAAGTTGCATGCTACTCGTCATAAAACTGGACCAGTTCATGGGTTCTACCCCAGATGCTGTTGAGCAAAGTAATTAACGCATTGATTTGAATATATTTTATTAAGTGATTCTTACCATCTCTTGGTCTGGGTCTGAAAACCAACTCTAGACCTTTCACTTCTAGTGCACAGTTTTCCTGAAGAAGCGCGGCCCAAGGAACAGTAAGAGAGATGGTCTGAATGAAGCCTCTCGTCACCTCAAAGGGAGCGTCTGCCGTTTCCAGGAGTTCATTCAGTGACTGAGAGAAAAAATGCAAATATATTTTAATCCTATTCTGTCTTATATCCATGTTAAACATGAGCAAATATATACCCATTTATCCAATGGAACTTGAGCAAGCGTTCCAGTGCCTTGATAAAGGTCTAGGCTCAGCTGATCCAAACTTAGTTTCTCCTGCAGAAAGTTCCCCAGGTATCGGTGGAGGAGGTACCTGCAGGCCCTCTTTTTTATGGACTCAGAAAATGGCCAAGGCATCTTATTTAATGTAATGATTACAAAGGGATTAGAAAAAAGAATGTACTGAAGTGTTCAATTCAGCTGTTACTTGCTACAGTTTTGTCATCCTGATGATCTAAATACATCTACACATGTAAGGTAGAGCAATACAAGCAAAGATGTGGTTGCACTCAGGTTTATGTCTGCGCCTTGATCTGACCCCAGTCTGCGACACCTGCAATAAACAAAAGAGATATAAGCACAGACAGTGTGATTATATACAATATTTTGAGTTTTGACAATATCATAATCAAATGTAAGACTGACACAACTATAAGATGTGTTGGGCTGTCAAACTGTGCCCGGAGCGGTCACACTGATTTAAGTGAGTAGAGCTGCCAAAATGACCGCATAAACTAACCATTCCTGCTAAGAAGAGCTAATGTTATACCTAGACGTGCTTGTTTGTTAGCTCACGGGGTTGCCGAAACACGTTTTATATGATATAAAGGGAAGAGGATACGTGTCAAACAACATTCTATTCAGAGCTTACATTAGAACAGAGCTACAGGAGCTAGTTTGGAGCTAACACGGAGCTAACACAGCGCTCTGGTGAACATAGACAGCATGAATCGTTACCTGCTCTGGGAGTTGTTTACAAACACTTTCATGACTCCGCACTGTCACTATGTGCTACGCATGCGCCGTTCATTCAGCCATTGCGGCTACGGCAAGCTACAAGTGACAATTCTAAAGAATAATAAAATTGTGTCAATTCAAAAATACATTTTTAAGAAAATACTTAACCGATTAAAACGTCCTGTAAGTATGACCCCCAAATATAATAGATCAATTTAATTAATATTTAGCAGGTTGAGTTTAGTCTATGGCCCCGCCCCGCATGTTTTGGGTGTCGTCAGTGACGTCTCAACATGGCGTACTATGTAATGTTTGGAGAAAAAGTCCTTTTATTTATGTCTATTTCTACTGGATTTTAGCGCTTCACAAGCAAACTGAGTCCTGCTGGTTCTACCTTTCGCTTCTACTCGTTAATCGTATTTGTAGTCGTCAGTGAGTGACCATCATACTGTAGCAGTGGACTGTAACTTCCACAACGAAGGTAATCACGAGTTTTTGTATTTGAACAATTATACTTAAAACCAAGTTAAACGTGTTGGAAACCATTCAAATGTAGTTGTTGCCAACATAAATCCATAGTATTCATGTTGTTCTCTTTCAGGTCTGCAGATGGAGGTGGACTGGCAGCCTGAAGATGGTATTGTTCCCTCTTGTGAAGAAGAGTGCGTAGATCTCGGAGGGGTCAAGGACATGAGATTAGAGGCAGAAGCCATCGTCAGTGATGTTCTTTTTGCTGTGGCACAAATGCACGTTTCACACGGCCTCAACTGTGCTTTAGATGTGGCCTATATCAATGTCGAAACAAGGGAGAGGAACCACTACTGCCTGGAACTGACAGAAGCAGGACTGCGGGTATGCCCTCAGATTTCAGTTTTTTTTGTGCCATTTTCTGTAACGGCACATTAAAAATACATGTGCAAAAGGAGCCCAGTGTGCACCAGACATTCTCAACACTAGATATGCGTTTAAAGACAATGTTTAACAAATGTGTTTTATTCTACAGGTAGTGGGCCATGCCTTTGATCAAGTCGATGAGGACCTGAGCACTCAATATCATGAGACTGTTTACTCACTTTTGGATTCACTGAGTCCAGGATACAGAGAAGCTTTCGCCAATGCCTTGCTTCAACGTCTGGAGAGATTAACACAAAATGGACACTGAAAAGGAGCCAGCGAGATATACACAATATTGACTCATTGGTCGATATCTGATGGAAAAACTGTTCTGTGCAGTCGCATGACTCAATTTCAGTTAAGTTTCTCAACACATGCTCCTCATTGAAATACATTAATAAAAACGTTTTACAGGGATCATTCAACTGTATTGTCCTTGCACCAGTGATTTTAGGTCATTTACAATTGAGGAAGGGCTTATTCAATTTTACAAATAAAAAGGTCAACTTTATAAAGCATCCATTTTCCCTTCAGCGCAAATACTTCACATTAATCACTTTGTTTAACAAAGTGTTATTTGTGGAAGAACATTTAAATGGCATGTCGTGTTGATTTTAATTTAGCCTTTATATCAGAAGTACTAAGTAAAATTTTACAAATATCAGCATCTCAAGAAGAATGTTTAAACTATGAAGAAGGCAGTAAACTGCTTTCAGTTGCGGATTTGTTATTCAGTAGTTTTATGTAAGTTGAAAGCCAGTCAGCACTGTCAGCCGTCATACAATGGTCTTTGAAGTCTAAATGTATCATTTAAAAAAAAAAAAAAAAACACCATCGTGGATTTTACTCATTCAGTAGTTTTATGAAAGTTGAAACCAATATTAACAACATCCATTTAAGAGACAAAATAGTTTGATTATGCCTAATTTGTAAAAATAACCAGATGTAATTTACATAAGGCAGAAATCTGTAATTATGTGTAAACATGACATTGACACAGTAATGACCGTCATAACAAGTTCTGGTCATTACAAAATAATAAATGGCTACAGGGGTATGCATTACAAAATGTTGTTTAGGGTCAGTAAGAATGAGAAACTAAGACAAACAAAAGCACGGTATGTAACCTTGACTACACAGCAGCCAAGTCTGGAATGTGACATTAATAACACCAGTGTCTGATCTAATCATTGGGTGGGGTTTTATAGATTGCAGGGTTACATCAATCAAACATTTAAAATATGAGATTATAAAATGCAATCTGAAGAATTTCCGTTTTCGATATGCAATATTTGGCTCCTATATTTTTTAGTCTACAATCTGAATAGGAAACTTGATGCAGAACAAATCTTTGCTGTTATCGTCTCTCAGCTCCCATTCCACCACCACCTTGAGCTGAAATAGAAACATTAGAAAATAAAAGGTTAGTGAACACTGAAAAATAACGAGGTAATTGCTTGAAGAGAGTGGTTTTTATCATTCTGACAGTCTTCAAACATAATTTTTCAATGGGACAAAGCCATTTAGTTTCATTTCAAGAAGTGTTGCTTTACTTCCTCATTCAAAAGGAAGACATTTGTAAATTTTTAAACAAGATAATTTTGTCCCATTGGCAAATCTTGTTTTAAACAGGCATGTGCTCAAATTAAGAGACATTGTGCCAAATTCTAGCCCTTTGACTAATTTTGTCACTTTGTACAGTGTAAAAAGGCTATACATTTCTCCACAGTACTTACACAGGGATATTCAGACTTGATAGGCAGAGTGGCGACATAGCTATAGGAATGCTGCTTCTGGATGGGACAGTTGATGCCGGATTTGCAGCCATCGTCGACTGGAATTGGAAAAGGGATTGCAACTCCAGCGACGACACCGTGAACCAATGCGGTGCTCTTCTGTGTCTCGTCATCTACGATCAAAGTTATTGCCATTGTTACTTCCCGTTACTCGGAACTCACAAACTAGGAAACTGCTTTGACTCTCGGCACAATCAAGTTATAAAAAGATGAAGATTGAATAAGCCACGAACTAAAAGAAATACAAAAATTATCAACATTTCTTAAAACTTCTATATACACACAAGTACACACAAGACCAATAGAGTTTAAAGAGCGGCTAAACACCAAAGCAACTTTTTTCAACTCATAAACTGCATAAATATGTTTATTGTAGTGCTCTCTACATATCCTGGTCATTTTTTTGACATTTTAGTTCAAATTAGATAAAATATCACTTTTGAGCCAAAAAAAAAGTGTGGCGCCCTCTCAACCTTTTTGGTGGTACTACATTTGAATTTGGTTCTGGCCTCTCCATTGACTCTGAAGTTCTCTATGACATCAGTTTTGTGTGACGTCAGTCTGTCTGTGCCAGTGATATAAACCCATTCAACTCTCACACACGCCCCAGCTGCAGTTTGGAGTATTCTGGCACCATCATCTAGTGCAGGTATGTCAAAGTCAAATACGTCAGAGGGCCAAAAAAAACAAATTTGCTGTGAGCCGAGGGACGGACTGGTTCAATGTTTATTAACTCATTGCCTGCCAGCCTATTTCAGAACAGGTACTCCCATACTTCCAGCAGTTACTGATGATTTTTATTGATTTTTCAAGACCCACAGAATATTGTGTACTATGACTATCTGAAATCCGAAACCAGATTCTGAAAGAATACTGTCTAGTTTCATCAGCAAAAACAATTTTGTTTCTAGCTTGTAATCCCAAGTTGAGTAGAGGGAAGTTTTACTGAAATCACCAAAAAGCTGAGAAAAAAAAGAGGCCCAACAAGTGCATCTTGCTGTTTTCAAACAATTCAGAGAGCGCTGCTGCCACCTGCTGGCTCGATTCAATATTCTTTCAAGCTTATCCCCAAACATATTAGATATAATAGACATCTGGGAACATGAAATTAGCGGAAAACGCAATTGACGTAATAGTGCGTCAATGGCAGGGAATTTGGGTGTCAAGGCCCGCGGGATTTGGCCTGCGGGCCTTGACACATGTGATCTAGTGGATTAAAATTAAATTATAGGAGTAATTCTGAGATTATTGAGTGTGATTAGGTTCAGGTGTGTAGCTTTACAATTATCTTAGTGTGTAAACAAGGGTGGAATGAGACTTTCTGATCCGTAAACTATTGCTTTAAGCAGCAATGACAACTGTCTATTTTTTTTAGTGAGACAAGTGAGCTGTCAATCACAGCCCAGACCACGCCCAGCTCTAAGCCCCCCTTATTGTTCCTTGGTCCTCCAGGCAACGCCCTTTAAAAGAAAATGTTCAAATGTTCATGTGGGCGGAGTAAGGCTGGCCACAGGTGTTTAGTCGCTCTTTAACAGTGCGAATCCCGACAAGATAATAACGACAGACACAGATCACTTACCGCTCAGGAAGGTGACATTGACGCTGTAGTCTTGCCCTTTTTTAAGTTGGCATGGCTGAGTGGGACACGGGGTAATGTCGACGCTGGAGACTTTGCCAACAGAAGACCCTAAAATGCAAATTCAAGTCAGTTCAGCAACTTCAGCAGATAAAAGTAATGATCTATAATGAATCCATAAATAAGTCTGAGGCAAATCATTTTATAGGAACAGGTTAATATATTAAAAAAATATAAAATCCTTAGCCTCTTTTGGCTTCTTTAAATCTGAATTATCTAGATACATTAAAACTTCTCATGTTACTAGCGGTGTTGAGGTTTTCATGCATTTTCATGTTAATAATTAGATAATGTTTGATATTTGCTATATCTCTAGTTTCTAAATTTTATTATCCTACCTTCTGCTGTATGTACGGACTATCAGATTATTGCAAACAGAAATTATGGTATACATTTTGTGAATGTAGTATTGTAGGGGTGTGGAGTGGGGTCTGAAGGAGCAAACGTGTCTTGTATGTGGTAAATTTGTAAATGTTCCCCGTTTGTATTGTATTACATGTATTGTGTAATGCCACAACTTGGGTGTGGCAATACAAAAGCTTAGACATTTATATATAAAGCCACACCCTTAAAAAGAAGGTAATGACCACTGTCATTGCTACGCTCTGAGGCAGTTTCCAAATTTCTGACCATGAAACTAATTTTCCCTACGATAGATCTGTGATTGCGCCAAAACAGAAAATCAATCACATGGAAAAGAGTACTATCACAGGGGAGGAAGTCAGTAAGCCACTACTCCTCAACAACCTGAAGAGATATTCTTGTGGCACTTTTTGTATAGAAACTGTTAACAGCTGTAGAGGCTGTGTTAGTTACGTGATATATCAGCTTTGTTATAAAAAGACATAGTTTACAGGATACTACCATGCAAAATATCCCCACTATGGGACGAATGAAGGAACTCTTATCTTAAAAGTTCTCCTTCTAATCATAACATTGCAATCATGTTTTACCACTTTAATGTGCAAAATAATCAGAGCTATTAATTTCAGGACACACAAAAAAATAATTTTGACAACTCAAAACACTTAATTGTTAAGCAGTTTCTCATTCAGCTCTTCAGTCTTATTGAACTTGAAAGCTATTTTAACGACTCCTATTCTTCAATTAAATGTGTGGCAAACTGCTACAAAGCTAGCAATTCACTAACAGATCAGAGAAGCAAACTTTTCAAAAACAGCTAATTTAGTGATTTAAAAATATATATATATATATATAAACAACATAGGGCCATAAGAGGCAGATGACTTAAGTCCATAAACGTTGTTGAATGACGAATGTCCTGCATAAACACTACTGTCTTTAGACTTTACAATAAAATCATGCCTCCAGCATCTGCAAGGAGGGTCCATTTATAATAGACGAAAACATTATAGAGGCAGCAAAATGGACAATTATGTTTTTATTAAATTCAACCCGTTTGAGTTATGGAAGACTTCTGGTTTACAGCTGTAATTGCAACGTTGAAACTGCTTTGGAAGAGTCTGTAAAATGTATGAATTGCTATGAGCAGGTCACAAACACTGAACTTCATCCAACCACTGCCTGTTCTGAAATGTAGGACAACAGTTTTCCCCACGGAGACTATTGTGATTATGGGGTGTACAAAATTTAAACCCTGAAATCATAGACTGGATGTATTGAAATACATTGATTTACCACACTGATAGGTTTACTGATAGGTGGTTATGCCAGGTGGGTATGCTCACCACAATCGATGAATTTAACCAGATCGGCGCAGGTGAATCCAATCAGACACACCAGCACCAGAGAAGTCTTCCAAGAATCCATTATCTTCTTACAGTCACGCTAAAAACAAAACCCAACATTACTAACAATGTTTGAAGTTAAAAATCATTCGCGTTAGTCCATACAAGTTACATATATACCATTATATTATTGAACAAGTCACTCCACGAATTGATAGTAATTAGAGTAGCGTTAGGGGAACACAAAGGTATAGAAATCTAACGACCCAAAATAATAGAGAACTGACCTGAGACAGCTCCAAAAATAAAAGTGTTGAACTGTGACGCCCAGGACTTTTAGTTCCTCTTGTGTACGTCACATGCGTCACGAGACAGGTTTCTCAATGGCTTTGCTTCCCTGAGTTTTGTCTGCCAGGGTCGACCGATCAAGTAAAAAAATGAAACAAATACATGCACAAAACTACATTTAAAACCAATTCCATGTTATATTTGCTATACTATAAATGTCTAATTTTTTTAATCCAACGAAAGCAAGACAGATTAAAACACATACGCAATAGATTAGTTAGTGAGAAAAAAAACGGTTGTGTGGTTGCATTCAAACTCCATACTATATATCTCCTATGCCAGACTGTATTATGCTTTTGCATCCTTAAAATTTGAGTTTTTATCAGAAATATTATCATTAATTTATCATGAAAATAAAAAGATAGTAATTATGTGAAATGTTATGTCAGATAGTTTATATACAAAATAGATTGACGAACAAAGTGGAATAAGGAAAGAGGTATTTTATTGATTTGGATGCAACCCGCATATCTACATGTTTGTTGTTTGAAATGTCGGCAGTGGTAGGAGCTATGTCAGCTGTGGCAAAGTCAAAAGTGTTAAACCTTCTAAGGTAAGGATAACTGAAGAGAGTTATGACCACAATACAATACGCAAATTAATTCGTTTAGTTAAGCAATAACGTTAGCTAGTTACTTTGCTCTAGCTAACATTGCTAGCATCTGCTGTTAGCGCGAGTGTTGTTTACCTTTGCGGTGTATGGAATAATGATAATCGATTCTTACAGGGTATCATCCCTTATGAATACAACTGCAAGACAACAAGCACATCGGCAAATATTATGCGCCCAGTCGCGTCATATTTTGGGACATCAGCGATTCAACAGTGTATCAACACAGGGGAAGGCAGATGAGTCCAAAGAAGAGGGAATAAATCTAACGGATTCCTGTGTGAAGGTTTGTTTGTTCACAAGAAAAGACAACATTACTTTGTACAACCAGCTGTTTTGTCATCCCCTCTTTAATTTCCTTTGTTTTGCAGAGGCTAATGGAGATAACGGAGAAGGGTGAATACCTCAGGATACACGTGGAAGGGGGTGGATGTTCTGGCTTCCAATACAAATTCTCTGTTGACAGCAATAGGAGTGAAGATGACAGGTACAGAAGCTACATTTCCTGATTAGTTGTTGTCTTCTTGCACCTTTATGAACAACTTTTAATTTTAAATGTGCAGAATCTTTGAAAAGGGAGGTGTCGGTGTGATTGTGGACCAGGAAAGCTTGGACTTTGTCAAAGGAGCCACACTGGACTTCAGCCAAGAGTTGATTCGTTCTGCTTTCCTTGTGCTAAAAAATCCCCAGGCTGATCATGGCTGTTCGTGTGGAAGCTCTTTCTCTGTCAAACTATAGCTGTGAAGAACTATCTATTGTTTAGCTCCGTCTCTTGCAGTTAGCCACACAACACTAGTTTATATTTGCTGTCCTTTCTATTCTCTCTCACAAGTGTTTCTGGAATTAACTTTCCTATGTAAATAAGCTGCATACTGTGTGTGACTGGCCAAGTGTTTATATATTGTTTGCTAATATATTTAGTTTTAATTGATTGTTGTGAAGAGTTGTGTGAAAGCTAAAAGACAATAAACAATATAGACAATGTGTACGTGTTTTACTATTAAACCTTGGTTAGCGAGTATTTTCCTTCCTGCTGCTGTCAGATTGTTCAATGAGAAATGCTGAGTCTACACACGCCTGTTCTGATAATTCACTAGTCACTTTGCCTGTTATAATTATTACTACATTATTACATATTCAACTCTGATGGAAATCTGATATTTCTGTTCTGAAATATCACAAGTCACTACCTCCTACTATTATTGCTATTGTTTATTCTGGTCATAATCCCTGCTAGTACAATATGCACATTTGTAAATACCTCCTGCTAAACAGTGTATACTCAACTCCAGAGTTTTACTTTATCTTATTAGTTTTGTGTTTAATTGTATTATATATTATATCAAACAATAGATTTTGTTTGATGCGTGCTCTTATTAACTATTTTCTTCTATTCTGCTGTAATGTGTCCAACAATGACAATTAAATTCCTCTCTCTGGGATAAGTAAAGGTTTATCTTATTCTGAATCTTCCATCAACGGTGTGACGCTGCTCCTAGTGGATTCATGCTGATTTATGCAATTCACAATCAAACCAATTGTTTATCATAATATTTTTTAATAAATTGGAATATAAGAAATGGTTCACAAAAATATCCAAAAAGAATATGTACAAATGATATTTACAGTGGTGTAATGAAAATCAAAATATCCAGCAACATTGTAGTATTCTTTAAGTTACATGTTTTGCACTTGTTATATTTTCTCTGAAATAACATTCCATCTATGTATATTATATATATGTATAATTTATTACACAAAACATTGAATTAGTATTGAAAATAAATAAGTACTTATTTTATCATAATTGCAACAATATAACATGATAGCAGCACACTGAATGTGACAGGACAGAAGCAGCTGTGCAGTTTCTGTCCTGTGTGTGTTTTTCTTTTGTTATGAGGATCACGGTTTGGACAGATTGTCATTGAATAAGCCATGCACACTCATTTACCACCAACATCTTTAACCACATGTACACAGGTTAACATGGGAACACTGCAGAAGAAGGCTTGAGGTCAACCAGTCAAGAGCACAACCACATACACCAAAAGAACCAGGAGGGCCACCACAGTGAGCGGGTCCGGTGTACAGTGCATAGTATGCTTTGGCATGCTGACATCCAGAACATAACAGTGGATGTTACATTCAGGAGGAAGGCCACAGGGTTTAGAATCAAATTAAACACAAAAATATGTCATCAAAAAGTACAAAAAGATGTCGACCCTCATTTAAATTAAGGCTAGTTGCATTTGCTACATGGTAAAAGTGGCAATGTCTGTAACAACCAAATAGGCATAAAAACAACACCTGCCTTATAAAAATGTCCTTCTCAAAGTTAACTTGTTTCCCGTACAGTTTAGCATCAGTAGGATGTTTATATTATGAATGTGTGAGATTGATCGATGGGTTAAAAAAACAAAACCAAAGAAATGCATGCACTTAATGTTGAGGCAGTGTTATTCTGCCATTTTCTTCTTTAGTCAGCAGCCAGAGCTTTTTCCATTTCCCTTTTACCACTCTCATCATCACGAGTGTGTGGCTTCAGTGAGGAGCGTGGACACATCTCCAAACGAAGAGGCTGTGAAGACAAAACGCTACAATGTGAGACAAGATATCAAAGGCACATTTGTGTTCGTGAACGTGAGTGTCCGGTACCTTCTATCATCTCCTCCAGCGCTGACCACAAAATGATCTCCGTTTGTGAAGCGTACGTTTGTCAAGTGAGCAGAATGCCCCAAGAAACGTTTGTGTTTGGCCTGGAAACATAGACACAAATATTTCAAGCCACTCAATTATACATTTATAGTTTAGGAAGGTCGATTTTGTCTTCGCAGTTGTTTAAGTCATATGGTTCTTTACCAGACAATCACATTTATTTTTGTATAGCCTGAAATCACAACAGCAGTTAACTGGGAGGACTTTACAGAGTTGTTGATTCACCAACAGATCTTAGAATTAAACCGTTTGTACACAGGAAACAGGAACACAGTACACAGGAAATGCAACAATAACAAATAAAAGCCATACGTCCATAAGGAGCAGACGACCAATGTCCACAAATGTTCATGTTAAAACTCTGCTGGTGCCCAGAGTCAGGAGTGAACATGGGGAGGCATATTTCAACTGGAATCTGTCTTCCAGAAAATGTGAGACAGGCGTCTTCTCTGACAGTGTTCAAATCCAGGTTAAACACAGTTCTGTTTAGCTGAGCATACAACTCAGGGATTTTATCTTCACTATTTTCAATGTACTGTGATTATTTTAATGCTATATAATTTTGTTCAGCACTTTGAGTTGCCGTGTGTATGAATCTATACAAATAAACTTGCCTTGCCTAATAAAAGTTAATACATGTAAAATTCCCTGGATCACCACTGTCCTTAGACCTTCCTGCATCTGAGATTTTTCTTGCTGATGCAGGAGAGTCTAAGGACAGTGGTGATGATCCAGGACACTCAACATTCTACAACATTATTTTATTATTTTATTTTTTGTGTTCTTGGATCTGTGTTGGCAGATTTAGTTGTGATTTAGGGCGATCCGAGACGGAACAACTCAAAAGCCCAGGGGGAACAAGAAAGAAACCTCGCCGAGGCCCACATTGATCCATTCCCACGGGTGCACAGGCTGTAGATCCAGCACTCAGGCTGTAGAGCACCCTGTATTATAATACCATGACATGTTCCTGAGGAAGAAAAAGTCATGCCATCGAAACATGTCATGGATATAACATCACAATCCTACATTTGTCTGGTATATAAAAACCAAATCACTTCAACACATTACATTACAGTACTTACAAACTTCTCTGGACAGGGAAAGTCAAAGAGCTTAACCATCCCAAAGTCATCACCAGTCACAATGTTAAGGCCTGAGTGTGACACACAGGCACATGTTACGTCAGCTTTGTCAGTGTTTCTGGACCAAATTCCAATGACCTCATCTCCCAGAACGCTACACACAGCAAAAAGAAAAAATAGATTGATGAACAAATTACCAACGAGTGAGTTCCTATTAAATGTGTCACTCCCAATACCTTGTCCAAGAGGCCCAGGTGATTCTGTCCATCTGTGTCTGTTCTGTGATCTGCTTCCCAGTCGGTACTTCATACACCAAACGTTTGTAAGCACCAGTAGATATCTTTGGATCACACACAAACCACAGCGTAAACTCCAGTAACTTTGCATTCAATTTATTATCAGGTATAACTCGGTTCATACATACAGTAGGTTTGCAAAAGAGAGGGAACATTTCTAGTAAATTTACAGAAGGTTTAGGTAAATTTTCATGGGAAGTAAAGTTGGGGCATTTTGTAATCATACAATAACTGGGAATTAATTGTACTGGTAATGTAACTAAACTGTATCATATTTAAGATTTTCAACAGATTTATTTGAAAGTTCCCCATAATTTCACATTTGAGCCCGTGGACTAAACAGTCTTGTGCTTTTGGCTCAAAAGTCTGGTCCAGTCTTCTAGAAATCTACTATACTTGTGACTAAAGACATGTACAGGGCCAGCAGGAGGTGTAGTTTCAATAGCCATGCTGTAATCAGTGTGCAGTGTGCTATGTGCATGGGACTGAGGGATGACAAGGGTATTCAAGTGTATTTGAATGGCGTCCGTTTGTTTTAGTCTAGATTACGCTAAAAAATGCAGTTCTCAACTATACCTAAATTCCCTATAAAGAACCAACCTTCACTATTAAGATTCCCGGTTAATTCCCCGTGATTCCCGTTGATTCCCATCAATTTCCTTAAATTCCCATGGACAATTTTGATTCTATCCATACATATACACACCTGAATGTACAAGCTGTCAGCAGAGAAGTCCATCTGCATGACAAAACTGGGGATGTCTCTGCAGCAGTTAATGCGGTTCAGTTGTGGGCCCAGTGACAGGTCGTAGAAGTCCACAGCGCTCTCATTCGAACCCACTGCCAGGTAACGGGAGTTAGGACTGAACCTGTTGATAAAGCACTCACATTATTTCACTGAATGAACATTTGTTTTATCTGCAAGATACAGTTGTGTTTAAAAGTCTGCACCCCCTGGCAGTAATGTGCCATGTGAACCAACTCAGACTCTGGGGAGCACAGGGACCGACCTCCTGTGCTAGACGAATAAACTTGCCTTGTTATGCCTTACATTTCCCACTATGAGTATGGTGTGTGCATGAATGGTGGTGGAGGTGTGTCTCTCTAGTTCCAGTCTTCCCTGAGCAGCTGTGGCCATGTGAGGCCTCTTTGAGTATCACATATAAAAATCACTATGTAAAACCAATAAAATGTTATCATAAATTGCATTCAGACTACAGCGCGTTGTGAGCTTTGCAGAGAGGTTATCGGCCGCAGCCTCCCATCGCTGCGGGACCTGTACGACACCCAAGGTTGCGGCCGGGCTGGTTGTAGCACTGATGACCCATCTCTCTCTGCTCATGGACTGTTCCAACCCCTTCTCTCAGGCAGGACGCTACGGTCCATTTGGACCAGAACCTCCCGCAATAAGAACAGGGTCACCCCTTCTGCTGTTGGACTCTTGAACACTTTATAATCTTGTCCCTCCGCCGTATATAAAGTTACTTTACTGTCCTTTATATAATCACTTTACTACCTTTTTTAAAGCCACTTTACTGCCGTCACCTTACTGCACTGCTTAAAGTTTATTGTGTGCACCGAGTGCACTTGTAAATAATGATTGTAATCTTTTTATTTTTTTATTTCTATATTTTAGAAAATGCTATGTACTTCAGAAATGTTTTACAATGCCTTACTCTATTCTCTACTTTTGACTTGTTTGCACCGAGAGCCAAAGCAATTTCCTAATCTGTGACTTCCTGTTACTTAAAATATATTTTTTTAAAGTAATAAAAATGATTCTGACACATTTCTACCAGGGGGTGTACATTTTCAAGCACGACTGTATTGACTAAAGTCCTCACCTGATATCCTGGATTGGGGAACGTCTATCTCTTTTCTTGCCCCATATTTTAAGTGAGGCCACAAGTAAGATGATGAACTCCCCATTCTTCATCCCTATGGCCACCATGTCGCCCTCTGGACTGTAGCTGATCGTGTGTGCAGGGTGGCCCAGGTTCACCTTATTCAGCATTTTCTAATAACACAGACACATGAAGAAGATAAAATAAGAAAAGAGAACCTTTCTGGGGACATTTCAAAGTTGCATACAGGACAGTAGAAAAAGTACACAGGGAGCACACAAAATATAGAGTATAAGAAGCTGCTATGTTTCGTAAGATAGATGGAGGAATGGATGGATTTGATACAGCTATCTATCTATCTCGCCCTCTTACATTATAAAAAAGGGAAAGAGGAAAAAAAAAATCTCTTGAAAAATGTCTCTTGTATCGTAATTGCAGTATTCTGGGATGAACATAATTATGCATACTGGCGAACGGGCATAATGCTGAATATTGATTTACTATTGTTGGCAATAGAAGGAGAGCGGTGTAGGGTCGGAGAGTGTTCGGGTCTGTGTGTTGTCCGTGTGTGTGTTTGTGTTTGTATTTTTTGTCTTACTCAATTTGTGATTGTGGCACCCCACTAATTAAACAAATACATAGCATTCCTACTCACGCTAAAATCAGATTAGACCAGATCTATCCATTTATCCATCTACAGTATAAATCATATATCTGCCATGATATTAAGTACAGCAGTATTGCACAGGATTGCAATATTTACTATTTACAGAAGAATGACATGTACAGGCTCAACAGTTCTCCTTGTTCAGTCTGACAGCAGCAGGATGTATAAGTCTGTCACTGAAGCTTCTTTCATAATGGTCAAGGAATAAACACATTCGCCACTGAGAGCATGCTGACCTTCTCTGGGATGTCCCACAGGCGAACGGTCCCATCCTCTGCAGCAGACAGAAACACGTCTCGAGAGGGGTGTGTCCCAAGTCCCCATATGGGTCCATCCATGTGGCCATTCACCAGGATGTTACAAGCTGCATTCTTCTCTCCGACTTCAATGATCTCCGCATTTCTCGTTCCCACAAGGATTTTCCCCTATACAGACATAACGGTGTAAAACAAGAGTGGTATATTCAAAACAAGCTAGATGCAGCTCGGATCCTGACTAGAATCAGGAAGTATGATCACATAAGTTCTCAGGTCTTTGCACTGGCTTCCTGTGGCTCAGGTCCATAAAGAATAAGATTAAGAGTTCCTTTATATACAGTATTAGAGTGTTGCATCAACGGTTACAGATCAAAAGTAATGAGGCACACACAAGACAAGAAAAATGAACAATAACTCTATACGATAAAAATCTAAGATAAAATAAAATCTCTAAGCAAGAATGAAGTACAAAATCTCTGACCTTAGCATAAGAAGTAGGTATCACACCTCTATCTTTAGAAAGCTAACAGGAACCTTGTAAGAGAGAGCACATTACCCCTGTGTTGGCCTCACTTCTCTGGCTCCCTGTCACATTCAGGGTTGAATTTCAGATTCTGATGCTTGTTTTTTAAATGGTTTATACCCTCTGTATATCTGACAGAGCTGGTCTCTCTGTATGGGGCTCTCTCTGGTCTCCATGGTCTCTCTCTGATATCTGACAGTCTGCTCCTGTCAGATCAGTGAAAACAAGCTTTTGTTGAATCTCAAAACTCAAAGAAACCTGATCTTTTCCTCCCAAACTGTGGAATAGTTTACCTCTGTACATTAGAGTGTCTCCTTCATTAATGAATTTTAAATATAGTCCAAAGACACATTTGTGCCTCGACTTTTAACACCAAGTGAATTTTACTGTTTTACATTTTACATGCATTTGTGTGTATCTACTTGGGCAGCAGGTATTGTTGTAAATAAAGTTGGCATTGACCTTTCCTCTGCACACTGATCGGACACAGTCTATGATTTGTCCTGTCTCCAAACGAAATGCTCGACAACGTTTCAGCTCCTGGTCCCACAGCTTCAAAGCCCCTCCCTCTTTTGACCTGCAAAGACAGCAGTTCATTGGTTACCCATGATGCCTCTGTGCAATGACCTCAGCCTGTGATTCACTCACGGTCGCTCTTTGCCTCCAGTGACGATGAGTCCGTCTCTGAGGGTGGTGTACATGGTGAAGACTGGGCCTGTGTGAGCCTTTGCCACTACTCTGACCAAGATGTGTTCCTTCCACACACACACATCTCCACTTATGGTACCGGTAAAGGTCAAGTTGTTCTGAAAAGATAATACAATTTTACTAATCTAGAGGTGTAAGACAGCAGCGTTAGCAATGCAAAAAAAACAGCATTCTGAAGTAGACCAATTACACCTTTAGCACATCATCATAATCATCATTTAGTTCACAGTCACTTACGGCTCCGAATGCAACAGAGAGCATGGTTTGCATCCGTGCGTCCTCTATGGAGCTCATCACGCCCTTCTTGCTGAGTAAGGCTCGTCCAGCCAGCGTCCAGAAGCGCACATGCTTGATGCCCACAGACACAAAGTGTGTGTCGGAATCTGGTCGAAACTCTCCCACAAAGATCCTCTGAGTGTGACCGATGTGGCTGGCCACTTTGGCACCTGATGTACGGAGGTTAAGGTTAATAGATTGTTTATGCGTCCAACAGTGGAAATGTCAGTGTTGCATCACCGCTTACAAAACAGTAGGAATGAGGAGCGCACAACACAAGATAAATAGACAAATATCTAGCTACATCGTAATAAAAAAGCAAGTATAAAATCTCTAGCTTCAGCCTAATAAGGAAGCAAATCATCTCCAACTTTAGCATGATAAAGAAGCAAGAAAAATAAACTGTATATTCTAGTGCAAGAAATATATAAATGTATGTATACATCTGTACATGTTAGCTGCAGATGTAAACAAACAAGTATGTTATTCTTGCACTAGAATATCACTGTAGTTTCATAGTTCAAGAGTAATATAAACATGCAGTGTTCTTACCTTCTTGCCACTTCCAGATGGTCACGGTGTGTTCGGGATCCAGCCCCACAGACAACAGCAGTTTTCCTGTGGCACTGAAGCTGACGGAGCAGACTCCCCCCGAGTGGTAACAGCGCAGAACTGACAGAGTCTGCTTGGTCATGGCGTCCCACACGTGGATGGAGGGAGAAGTGGCTGAAGAAGCAATAACACATGGTTACAGTCAGATCCAAAAGGAGAAGGTTCTCAATTAAAGTATTTTACTAATGTCATGCTTTACTACTGACCACTAGATGGCAGTAACATAACAAAATCAACAAAGTGTACTGAACAATGCCTGGTCTTACCTGACATGTCACCTGTGTCACCTGCAAAAGGTAATAAGAAGTGAATGCACTTTCAGCTCATAAACGGAGAATATGACTTTAAAATACCATTTCATATATAACAATTAAATTATGTATAATATAACATCAATTCAACTGCTACTAGATAAATATAGTAGAAAGGAAAAGGAAGTTGATGACACAGGAAGCCATCTTCTCACAAACATACCTACTTGGCCAGTTGCCACCACATTGGGGAATTTGGGATGTTGATTGATTGTCAGGCACAAAATGTCATCACTGTGTTCAACATAAAAACTTTGGCAAGCTGCAGAAACACAAACACAGAAGCACAGAGCGGTCAGGTGAGTCAGACACATGTTGTTTCTGTGTATTAAGAACAGAACACTCCTCACATGTCGTAAGGTTGAGGACGATGCCGACGGAGGCCGTGTGGTAGATGATGTCCACCCCGTCGTTTAGGTAGTGCACATTATTGCGGCAATCGTTACCACGGTAACCAAATACTAACTCCAACACCAGGTCCTGATCAAAGTAATTGAGAAGCAATAAAAAGTCAAATTTAGAGCTGGGAAACCTAATTTTGTTAACGTCTGGTAAAATGGAAACTTTATGAATATTTTGTCTTCATCTTGATTCTTTTTAGAAAACACGTTCTCTTTTGCATACTTGTAGGAATGAGCCCTGTGAGTCACTATTTGACGGTTTGGGCTGAGAACTGATTGGCTGAGCAAATGTAGTCCTCTTATACGTGCTCACAACATGCCTGTTTGGTTGGCTAACCAACCAAACAGTGTTGAGAGAGAGTATGTTAGATGGCTTCTATTATATAGTTTCAGTTTGTGTGGTTTGAATGTTAGCTCCTTTTGAATACTTGTAAGTCATTATTTGGCTCTTTTGGTCGAGAGCTGATTGAATAAGCAAATGTAGTCCTCTTTTTTGCTTTTCCGTCTGAGAAAGCTGACGTGACTGAGGACATAAATACATGCGAACAATATGCAAAACAACTAAAGTGTTTTAAGAGTGAGGGCATAAAATTGCATTACATAGTTCAAGTTTGTGTGCTTTCAAAGTTAGGTACCTCAGCTTTAACCTTTCTCAAATGGAAACGGTGCTGCATACCTCAATAGGCCTTTTCTTTTTGCCCACGTTGTTTGTCTGCAGCTTCTCAGGATGAGGAAGCGCTCTGCTAACAGGAGGCCTGAAATGGACAGTTGGGCTGAGAAAGAGACAGATGCCAAGAATACCAGTAACATTCGAGTCAATACTGATCATTCACATTCAGCTCAAAGTGCACTAAAGCTTTTCTGGTGGAGAGCCAGCCTCCCTCTTTTCTCCATTGAGAAGTTACTGCCATTTATTACTAGGAATGTGGCACAGACTGGCACTAAAAGCAAGCATCTCCATGGAAACAAGACATGCAGCTCTGTGGAGGGGCAGTAAGAAGCCACAATATTTATGGGTTTTTTGATCATATACATATTATTTTTTTAGAAAGCTGATTTAATGCAATGTAAATACGTGGATCGTGCTAGTCAAATAGAAAACTTGGTCACACTTGAGTTTAGCCCTCATTTCAGCTATTAACAGCTAAGTGATAATTAGTATAAAATGTATGTTTAATCGGTACTTTTTCTACATGGCCTTATTCACCATCTAACTAACTACTATCTGACACTGTCCCATGTGGGTAAGGGTTAGGTTCACTAATTAGCACATGGTTAGCCGTTAATTAGTGCAGGCAATTCTAAAGTGTTACTGAAAACACAAGTCAAAGAGGTGGCGACCTCCTCACCAGAAAGGTCGTACACACAAAGTATAACAAACAGTATCAAAAGCTAGGGTACCTAACTCCCCCCAGTGAACACGACTTGTTTGTGGTCACAATCATAAACCGTATGTATTAATGGACGTGGTCATGGTGTTAGCAGAATGCGGAAGTAGCTGATTTCACCGTAAGCTAGCTGGGGCTGATTTCCTTAAATGGGCATTTGTTCTGATGGGGTTAGCTCAGTGGGGGCGGCAAAAATGATGTGCGCTGACATGCTTGCAATGCCACCCTGGGCCTTATGGGGGTGGACCCGGAATACATAGTTCCTACATGACGTCACTACATACGGGGATTTGCCGACCCGGCGCCATTTGTGTTGGCATTCTGTGGGCAAAACAATAGAAAAAGAAGCTGAAACGTGTTAATGTCGTGATAAAGTTGAAAATGGTCATCTCCTGCTGGGTCAATGGATGTTCAAATCGTGCCGGAGGTTCCGTTAAACTTGGATTTTACAGTATACCCATCATTAGACTTCATGAATGTGAGAAGACTAAGCTTTTGTCAGAACAACCACGGAGGTTATGGCTTGCGAAGATAAACAGGCAAGAAACTCCCTCAAAACACGCAAGAATATGCTCGGAGCACTTTGTGTCAGGTGCGTATCGTATCTTATAATGTGTTGACAGACGTAATTTACTCAGTACTAACTTGTGTATGCTGATATCTGGTAACTTGAGAGTTTCATTATTTAGATTACTTTATTATGAGGAGGATCGGTGTCGCGTCCGAGGCTCTCGAGGGCAACGTAAATGTATTAAATAGATAATAATAGTTCTATGGTGGGCTAAAACAATGTTCACAAACAGCATTGCTTCTGTAAAAAGATCTGTGTCATAAAATAAACTGCTCTTTACGCCTGGAAAAATCAGTTGCCCACCATTCACCAAAACATACGGTCAAAAACGCGGAAATAAACAATAACAGCAATCCAGAGTGTCCGTGTGGCATTAGCATTAATTAAATTAATTGTTAATATAATTAAAATAATTAAATGGAGCTCCAACTGGTATTAAATCTAAAGTTTTTGAGAAATGTTTGCATTGCTTGTTAATTTTTGCTGCATAATTTGATCAAATATGTAAAACATGTCCGTAGCACGTTAAACTGTGGTGCCATTGTATTAATATACAATTATTTGCTCAAAAGTTGCCCTTTTTTTCCAATTTGCGTTTGAATATCTACATTTATTCTCATTCTTCTGTTTAATGGAATGCACAAACACAGCAGCGTGCCATCAAAGATGGCGTCTCCGAGGAGGTCATGTGACATTCATTGGTCTGTGGGAACTATGTATAAGAATTAGCCAATGCTAACATATAGCATTGGCAGACCTCTCGAAAACGTCTTTACAGGATGGTCCAAAAGTTGGCTCTTGGCCCAATGCTCCGTTCCACATGTGTGTCAATGCAGAGGGGGGTGAATTTTTTTGGACCAGTCTAGTTTACTTGCTGTGAATTTTATAAGTCTCTCGTTCAAATGAATGGAGCTCTCGCCAGCTGATGCATGGCAGATACGTTTTTTCACAATTTTCTTGTGGGCGGGACCACTCGCGGCCATTTTGGATAGCTCCAGTAGAGCACTATTTTTGGCCCATTAGTTTGAACGCCGGAGATAGGCGTGACTACGTTCATTAATTTTTACAGTCTATGGGTTAGCTTCATAATGGAACAGGGCAGACATATTGCTAAAACGGTCACTAACACAAGCTAGATTTGCCCTCACAAACGAAAGGATCAGATTGGTCAATCCTTATGGCTGTAAAAACCGGAATCATAGAGTGCAAAATAGTGCAAAATTGTGAGGTTAGAGACTTCAGAGTAATATGGATTTTGTTACATAGTTCCTTTTATGTGCTTTGAAGATAAGATAAACCTTCAATCATATTTGTACACATCACAGCAGACTAGAAGGAGAAATAAGAGCACTCAGATTATGCACAAATCAATCAGGATCTGTTATTTAAGATAATAAAATAATGTAAAAATCAGATGAAAGTTAGGTACCCCAGCTAAATCAATATAAGTATGATAAAACATAACATTAAAATCCGATTCTAGGTGGGCAGAGAACAGCCTACCTTGATCCCCTTTAAGTCAGCAGAAACAAACAGAACAGAAAGTTAGAAATCTTCTCATACTGAAGTTCACAGGGGACATATGCAATACAGCGTCAGCAGCGGCAACCATGGCAACAAAACGTTTCATTTCTATGACAACTGGACCCAGTGTTTTGTAGCGCCTACTAAACATGACACTGCTTTATGGAAGCTTAATGCATTCACTGGAATATGAAACGTGCCTGATTTGATGAGAAAAGTGTCTGTTTTTTAGCTAAAATAAAAATGTTCTCATCCTGTTTGAGGCAACAGTTTCTTGTTTTTTGAGAAAATCTTTTTTCAGTTTTCATGAGATAGGATGAGTGCTGTCTTTTTGTCAGCTGATATACTGCTGAAGCTGTCTTACCACCATGCACGACACCGCCATCTGCAGTCCAACTACTTCAGGGCAGTATACTGTATGTGGACAGGTGTGTTTGAGAAACAAGGCCCTCTAGACCCGGTTCAAAGTTACATTCCTGCTTCGGTCAAGGCTAGTATCTTCAAAAGCCTGCCGATACAATACTTTACTCCATATAACTGCTTCAAACGGAAAACTTTAAATTTTATACAATTTGATCCACTCCATTTGAGAATAAACTTAATAATAATTGGATGAGCCTTATGATTCGTCGTATAGGACAGTGCCCACAGTGTGTAAATCAGATGAAAGGTCACAAGAACATGTGACCACGTTTGTAATAGATTGTGCTGAAGTATTTGAAAATCATTAATTTGCATAACTTTTTTATGAGTTTTAAGAAAGGTTAACGCACATTCAAGAACTCACCTGACCACACCTTGTCTTCAAGTGGAAGTAAAGAACGGAGCAGGATAATGAGAGGTGGACGGCCATTACAGAAAATAAGGAGAGCAGAAGAGGCCGAGTTATTTCAGACAGCAGAGCAAAGACTCACACACAGGAAAAGAACTGCTCAGAGTGAGCCGAATAATAACATGTTTGAATGCTTTGTCAGGATGCATTGAGGTTAAGTTTTGGTAGTTATTCTTCCTTTTTTTGAGTACCTTTCATCGACAGTGGGTTCTTTGAGTTGTTGGTGAGGTTTTACTCCACTCATGGGCCGCATGTTTGTGGATAAGGCTTTGATGGTGTAGGTGATCTCGTTTTCTCTTGTCACATCACTGTCGTAGCCTGACAAAAGCAAAGCTTGATGATGTAATCATCGTCCTCTTTCTTTTCATTCCAAAAGCCGGATGTACCAACCTCCATCATCCTCGCTGTCGATGTCGGACTCCTCGCTGTCACACTGCCGGATCTCTCGGCGGCCCTCAGGCTCATGGGCCCAGATCATGAGGCACATGTCAGACCCGCCCACTGTCACCAGGAGGCTGTCGTCGTGACTCCACCTCACATTGGTGACATGAGTACTGTGGGCCACATACCGCTTGAACTTTGCATATTTGCCCTGCGGAAAAAACATAACCAATAAACTTTTCTTTCATTGTACACATGATCACACTGTCATTAGGCTTTAGGCCACATGAATCAATGTGGTGTCTTGCCTTGACTGAATATCGGAAGAGCTTCACATATCCTAAGTCATCTCCTGTTGCTAGCACCTTACGGTCATTACTAAGGCAGGTAGAGGTCACCTCAGTGACCTCACTGATAACAGGCCAGATGCCCTCAACAGATGGTCCCAGGACACACGTCCACGTACTCCAGTCGACTTTCTCCACCTGAAGAAAGAGGATTAGTTTTTACAGAAAGGGAAGACGCAACAGAGGAGCTCATAACAGTGTTTGTTTTGGATTTTTTTATACTACAGACTTCTGACAACATGCTGTTAGACAGATCAGTGTCAACAAGTGATCAATGAAAAATTAGAGGAATTTGCAATAATTTGCACATCCCATAAAGGTTTTTGGTTGGGGGAGATGCTCCTATAGAAGCTGTGTGGATGTAAAGTTGAAAGTCTGTGTAAAAACATATAGGTCAAACATAAGATCACAAGTGACCATGTGCCTACAACACTCACTTCTGTAGATGGAATGGTTTGTCTCTTTCCACGAGGGGCTTCAAAGAAGAATTGCTCCTTTGCATTTGTATTGACCTGAAGTAGTTTTCCTGGAAACAAAAACAACCAGAATTATTTATGACAAACAGGGTTAAGTATTGTATTAATAGGGCTCATTGTTACCTCTCCTGTCCCAGTCCAAATGGGTGATGTAGCTGTGACAACCTTTGCAAACTCCAACACGTTTGCTGCTCATAACATTATAAATATCCACAAATGTGTCTGCAGATGCTACGGCGAGATACTTCCCAACACCTAAAATCAACATGAAAGATGAGAATGAGGATAGGGGAACTGCTAAGATACCAAGACAGCATCACAGCAACAGGATCCATTTCAGCAAGCTTGCACGAATACTATGATTGTCGAGGAATGAGATGTGTTGGGTGGAGAAAACAAATACTCTGCAGCGTGGACTGAGGTTAAGTCTGCAGCCAGTAGGGTTTAGTTTCCAGCTCTGGCTCGGTCCTCCCCCACTGTTTGCCATTTATTTCTTACACACGCTCAAGTCTGGCCTTATTACAGCAAGCTATTAATGTGGGTCACGCCGAGAGCACAACCGCTGATTCACATTGGAAGGGCAGTATCTATTCCGGCTCCAGCCCAGGTTCAATTGCAGACTTTACGGGTGCTAATAATAGAATTTGACGTCACTGCGGACCGGGCACACGTCTCTAGGACATGCAGGTGAAGGCAAAGGACTATATCGGAATATATCAAACACATTAAGTGCAATTGTCAGAGGTGAAAAGAGAGCTATGTGAGAGAAGCAAACAGAGCAGAGCTAACTAGCAAGCAGTGGTGTGAACGGGGGGTGCCAACAGAACCACCAGATTGATATGTTTATCCAAACAAGGAAGAAAAAGGCTCTTATTCACAGGTAGAGCCCCACAAATCTGAAGTATGACTAATAATAATAATGTATTGGGTTTAAATCGTACATGGTGGGGATAAGCAAACACTGTGGCCACAGCTGCATTGGGGCACACTAACAGGTGCGAGGCAACCAGTATGTGCCATCAGCCCTTCGGACCACCACCAACCATTCACACACACACACCTGACTCCATCCATCCATCCATTTTCTACCCTTTAATCCATTTCTGGGTCAGGGGGGTGGCAGTCAGAGATGCCACCCAAGTCTCATAGCACCAGCCCCTCACTGACCCTCTGCAGGTGGTGAGTCCACAGGAGGACGGCTGCTCTCTGAGTGTGAGCATAGCCTTGATCTTTCAGTGGGAGCTTTGGGCAAAGTGGGGTTAAGTGTCTTGCCCAAGGACACAACGACAGCAGTCATCAGTGGGAGTCAGTGGAGAAGGTGCAGAGGTGGGAATTGAACTCACGACCTTCTGGCCTTAAGGCCAATGCTCTACCAAGCTACTGTCGCCACACCTGACTCATTCAAGGTAATGTGGATAAAGTGTCTTGGCGCTTTACTGCCACAGCCGCCTCACTGTGGCACGTAGTGTTCCCTGACGTCACCCATCACAGTATTAACCATGCCTTGCCCTGCTTAGCATCATAGTTCTGATGGGATCTGGCTTTCAAATGCAGATGACTGGATATAAAGATAATGTAAGCAATTCTCACAAATGATAGTCAGTTACTAAAAAGATTATATATAGCTCAATTATTTTGTGGATTGGATCCCTTAATGTGTTTTTATACCTTGTTTTTTACATCTCCTCCTCCATGTGCAGCTGTTTGTCTGAGCATGAAGCTGTAAAATGTGTAAAACCGAAAAGGAGTAAACCGAACCTGGTGAGAATTTGATTTCTGTGATAAAGTCTTTGCGGTGGTGGAAAGACACCAGGTCCTCCAGGGTGTCTGCGTTCACGATAAGGAAGCTGCCGTCGTTCAGACCCACAGCCAAAGCCTTTCCGTCGGGGGAGAAGCAGCAGCAGCGGCCTCCTGTGTGGAAGTACGATAAGATAAGAGGGTCCATGGACAGTGGTGATGATCCAGGACTCTCCACACTCATCAACATTAATGGAAATTGGTCATCCACCCCTTCGCAGGACCAATGGTTCTATGTGTTTTTTACAGTGGGGGTGGGTCCCAGCATGAAAAGGTCCATTAGCATGCACGCTGACATGTTTGCATTCTGGCTCCTTGCCAGTGGTGGCGTACCCGGAAACAGAATAATCCAATGCATTCTTAGGGGGCCTCTCCTCTCAAAAACTGCTTTACAGCCTGACAATTCGGCTCTTAGCACAACGCTATGATCCAGATGCAAGTGAATGCAGAGTATTTCTTTTTGGGACCAGACTAGTTGAGCCGCTGTGGACTTTTGAATGAATGCAATTTTTCAGCCATGTGTCAGGCTTGTGCCAGCTAACACATGGGGCTACTCACGGCTGTTTTGAAAAGGTACATGTTGATCATGCATTTCTCAGATCTGTGTCGGTGAATTTGATGGTTTTGTAAAGTCCAAAATAACTATTGTTGTGATTTAAGGCTATACAAAATTATATTGAATTGAATAAACCGTTATTAGTAACTCAGTGGGGACATTTTAAGGTCATAATTGCATTACAGCAGAAGAAGGAGAAATAAGAGCACACAGAATATATACTATATAATAGATTCTGATTGTACAGATAAAATAAAAATAATAATACTAATAACAATAATAATAAATAAATGACATTCTAATCCAGCTTGTGGATCCCCACAGGCCGCTCAGTGCTGACTCACCTTTCCTGAGTTTGCGGACGGCTAGCATGCAGTGGCTCGGGGAGAGGTCCCAGATGCGGAGGGTTTTGTCATCGCTGACTGTGGCACAGAGCGGGAGATGGGGATGAGTGGCCAGGCCCCACACTTCACCCTCCATGTGACCCTGAAGGAACAACACACATCACTAGGCAAGGCATGTTTATTTGTATAGCACAGATCATAAACAAGGCAACTCAAGGTGCTTAACAAAACCATATACAAACAATCATAAAATGCATTAAAGAAGGAATTCATAAGTAATCACATTACATTAAAAAGAAAGAATATGCAATCCTTCAGTTGTCTTGCCTATTGGGATTTTATGAGCTTTTAATTTTCCATTATTTGATGTACTACTTCTGTACTTCTTGTATCTATATTTTTTTCAATTTTTTGCATCGCATTTTATTGGTAGGATTTTGGTGTTTTATGTAAATGTAAGGTGCATTATATATAAAATTATTATTATTATTATGTAACCTGGATTTGAACAGTGTCAGAGTATAAGTCTGTAACACATTTTCAGGAAGACTGTCCGAGATTTTACCTGATGCAGACAGTTGCAAAAAAAGTTGCAAAAAGTTTACTGCAATAAACTGAACATATATTATTCCTGGACATCCACACGTTCCAGTCTGTCTGGCCACATATTTTCATCTACATCACTAGTTCAACAATTTTGTACATAATGACTCAATGAAGACTATTACTATAGTTTTAGAGGAAATGACTGTTCAGCTTCAAAAGTATGTTTCATTTTGACTGACAGCAGAGAAAACAGCAAACTATTGCATGAAAGTAACTGACACATGTCCAAAAGCATTTGCAATTTGTTCAAAGGAGAAACTGCTACGATGATGTGCACAAAGGACTCAATGTTGTGGAGGTTTAGCTAACAGTTGTGAGAGCTTTCATTCTGATCTGAGAAAGCACCGAAGCGACTGAAAAAAACCATAACAAGATAATAATTCTAACTTGCCTTTCAAAAGAACCACAAACAAACATTATAACTCAAGACAGAATAAACCTTTTTGAATCATTTGGTATTTGATGTCTATCCAGGTCCGTCTTACTTTGATTTCCCATTATTTCTTGTTCAGAACCTTTTTATCTTCAAAGTTAGAACACACAATGATTGTTTCCTTTCCATTTCAATGTGGGTGGTGTGTCAAAAAATATGAACATGGTGTCTATGCCCTGATTTTTATAGACCTGACTGTACTGTATAAGCTCAGAAAGGCCACTCAACTGTACTCTCACACTTGCTAATTTGTGGGGAGGCGGCCGCAGCAGAAGCACTTAACTAAATGAGCAATCTCGTTTAGACAGACTAAATCATGCTGAGCTATGACCTCCGCAGTTTGATTTATGACGATACAATAACAATCTG